ACTTTTATCTTATTTAGATTTAAAATTAAATAAATCCTAAGATATTTAATAAAAAAAGTAAGTTACTTTTCTCTTAGATAATTATTAATTAATAACTTATTATACTATTATAAGAGATAATACTTATATTCTACTCTCTTAAAGTTAAGTATTTTTATATTATATATATTTTCTATTAACTTTTTAAGTATATCTTTCTTTAAGTAGCTTACTCTTAAGTATTATAATTAAGTATTATTTAATTATAGCTTTAAATATTCTTAAGTTAATTAGAAACCTTAATAAATACTTTTCTTTATTATTAGAAATATTAATAAGTTAGTTCTTATATAATTAAATATAGTATGTGTACTTAAAGAGACTAAAAAATAATTAAAAGGCTTATATTTAAAGAAAGCTAAGTTAAATTAATACTTTAGCTTTTTAAAGATTAAATTACTTTTTATAAACTTAAAATATAATATATAATTAAACTTATTATATTATATATCTTATTTTAAGAGCTATATTTCTAAGATTATATTAATATCAAATCCTTTAACTCTAGCTACTTTAGTTAATTTAAGATTCTATATTTAAGTTAGTTATTCTATTAAAAGTACTTTTAAATAAGTATATACTCTTACTTTTAATTAAGTAACTTAAAGTTCCGGCTTTAATTATATTATTAATAGTTACTTTTATTAAGTTTTTAAGAACTAAAAGCTTTACTAAATTAACTAAGTAAGTAGTTACTTTATTATTAAATAAAGTACTTATAAAAAGTAAGTAGTATTTTAAATCTTATTTTATATATACTTTAGAGATAGCTATTATATTATTAACTAACTAAGAGCTAATTACTATACTTATAACTTTTATAAAGTAATTAAGATATAATAATAAAAAGTAAGTTAATTATAAAAGTATAAAATTAAATGAATTAAAAGAAGATATATTTAAAAAGTTATTTTAAAAAAAGCGATATTAATTTTATTTATTTAAGAAAAAATTAATAATTTAAAAGACTAAGAGTATTTTTTAATTATATTTATTAGTCTTTATATATAATTAAAAGAAGCTTATTTAAAGAGTATTATATATTTCCTTGATTTAATTAATAAAAGGAAAGTTTTAAAAGTTACTCTTAGCAAAATTATTAAAAGTATAGTATAAATAATAATAATTAATTAGCTTATATTAATAATTTTCAATTTTATATAAGTAAATTTACTAAGAGCTATTAGAGTTATTTTAAATAAAAGAGAAGAGACTTTTAAAAATATTTTATTTTCTATTTAAAGTAATATATAAGCTAATATATCTCTTTCTAAAGAAGCTATATTTTACTTAATTTAATAAGTATACTAATAATATTATTATAATTAATTAAAAATAATTACTTTTTTTCTTTTCTTTTAATTATAATATTCTTTTAAAAGCTAGTAAATTCTAATTATACTTTAAAGTTATTTTCTTTTAGAATACTTTTTATTCTTAAATCTATTTTTAAAAGTTTACTTATTAAAAGTATACTTTCTTTAAGATATTAAAGTAAGCTTATTATACTTTTAAGAGCTCTAATAGTTTTAATAATATAAAGTCTTATTTTAATACTCTTATAAGCTATTAAATAATTTAGTTACTATTATATTTTAACTTATACTTAGTAATTATACTTATATAAAAAAAAGTTTTTATATACTTTTAAACTTACTTTATAACTATCTTATATCTTCTTATTTTCTTAGTTTAAATTATATTTAGAACTAAATATTCTATTAAAAGTAGCTTAAAGTTATTTAAAATTCTCGCTATTATTACTTTAGTAAAAGTAGCTTAAATTAGCTTTACTTTTTAATCTCTTATAATATTTCTCTTTCATTTTACTTACTTTTTAACTAATATAATTACTTCTCTTTTATTATTTTTATTATTAAAAAACTTCTAAATTATTAGAAGCTTTAGTTAGCTATTAAAAATACTAGAAGTATTTTTTATATTAAAGTTAAGTACTTCTTAAGTCTTAATTAATTAATAAAAGTTTTAAAAAGCTTAAAACTACTTAGACTAAGTACTTTAGTTATTTTAAAAAATGATTTTAGTTAATATTTAGTTTAATATATTAAAATAATTACTCTTAAAAGCTTAAAAGGAATTAAAATATTAAAAAATTAGTTATTAAAGCTTTTAAAAGAGATATTCGCTTTTAAAGTTAAATTAAAAAAGTAATATAAAAAGTAGTAATAAAAAACTCTTATAATAGATACTTAAAAGCTCTAAGCTTAATTCTAATTAGTGAAGTGTAGATTAAAGAATATCAACTTAATAGCTTAGCTTATAACTACTATACGCGATAGTATTAAAGACTCTCTAAGTAATTAAATTAATTATTCTTTATATTAAAATTATATATAAAAGAAATAAAAGAAGTGCTTCCTTAAGTAGTATAAAGCTATAAAATCGAATTAAGTATAAATCGAAAGCAGATAGTTATTCTTATACTTTAATTCTTTAGTCTAACTAGTAAGTATTATTATTTATAATATATACTTAGAACTAATTCAAATTATTCCTAGAGTATCTTTTAGACTTAGATTTAGAATCTTATATAGTTTCACTCTTATAACTATATAAAGGCTATTTATTAGTATAAAGAATATAAGAGATAACTTTGTAAATTAATATCGATAATAGTCTAATATTTAAGATAAAACTAGTAGGTCTATATATCTATATCCGGATCCCTATATTATATACGATTTCCTTATATTCTAGGTATTCGGATTCCTCGGATTATTCCTAGATTCCTTAGTATATTCCCTTAGTATATATCTTATCCGGATTCCTTAGAATATAAGTTTTAGTATGTGTTTTACTTAGATTTGTCTTATCCGGATCCTTCGGCTTATTCCTAGACCCCTTGGTATATCCTCTTATTCTTATAAACTTAAATAAAGCTATTTTAAATAAAGGAATCCTTTAAAACTCCTTATATTAGCTTATTAGATAACGTTTTATTATTTTATATATTATTATCCTTGAGACTTAATTAAATACTCTAGAGCTCTTTTATAAAGCTTTTTAATTATATTAAAGTCGATTTATCTTTTTAAAATAACTTATTTTAAAATATAGAAAAAGTTATATTAAACTATTAATTTAAGTATTAATTAGCTCTCTTCTTTATCTTATAGTTATTATAAGTAGCTTATACTAGCTTATTTAATAAGTATCTCTTATTCTAAAGGTACTAGTAATAATATAAAAGAGCTTTATCTTAGAGTATAAATAGAAATACCTTATACTATAGTATAAACTTTATTAATACTTATTAATACTTATTAATACTTATTAATATAATCTCTAGCTTTACTATATTAAAGCTCCTTAGTATATATCTTACTAAAGCTTATAAGTGACTTAGCTTATTCTAAAGAAATTAATTTTATATATATTAACTTAGCTAAATAAGTTTTAAATATAATTTATTTTAGCTAAGTACTTAAGAAGAGAGTAATATCTTATCTTTTAGATATATTATAAGAGCTAAGATAAGATCTAATAAACTGTTATTCTTTAGTCTTTATATAAAAGGCTACTTAATATACTATCTCTCTAGTCTTATTAGAAATAATTCCTCTCTTTTAATATTAATAAGTAAAGAGGCTTTATAAAAATCCTCGCTTTTTATTAAGAGTTTAATATATATAAAAGTACTTAATAGCTTAAATACTAAAATAAAACTTAGCTCCTTAAGGGATTATTTATTTATATTCTCTCTTAGTTATTATAATACCTAATTTCTATATTTTTAAAAGCTATAATCTTTATAAATAAAAATAATATATTAAGCGAGTTCTAATAAAGTATTTATTATACCTAGCTTCTTTTTTAATTATAATTCTAAATCTGGTTTAAAAACAGTATAAATAATATATATTATAATAGTTTAATTTCTTATTTATTTAATTAAGTATTCTTTTATACTTAAATTACTATTATTAAAGTATTAATAATATATAGTCCTTTCTAATATTAAATATAAATCTAGTTTTTTAAAAGATAATCCTATAGCTCTTATTATTATAAACTTATTACCTTTTTAAAGTCTTTTATTATTTAATTTAGAAAGTACTTTTAAAAGTCTTAAAATAATATCTCTCTTTTAATACTTTTTCTTATAAAATAATCTATAAATCCTTAAACTAGACTATTAATATTAGCTTTTATAAGACTTATTAAAAGTATTCTAAGTATTAGTATTTTATCTTATATTAAAGTTTTATTACTTTTAACTTTTACTTTAAATTATTTTATAACTTAGTTTATTAAAGTTACTATTATATTAAAGGCGATTTATAAGTATTCTAGAAGTATTTTTTATATTTTAGAAATATTTAACTAAATAGCTTTAGAGATATCTTAATAATTATTATAAAGTAGCTATTATTTTTTAATAGTATAGAACTTACTTTACTTATTAATAAGAGCTTATTAATATAAATTTAGTATTTTATCTTAAGAGTTAACTCTATTATATTTAACTTATCTATTCTATAGTATAAAGTAACTACTAATTAGTATTAGTATTATACTAGTAAATAAATAATAAGTGTATATTAATATATATTAATATCTAAGGTTTAATTCAAAGGTATTTAAAAGTATATATTATAAAAAGTATCTAAGAGTTAGAATATATTATATTACCTCCCGAATAACTCTCGGTTTATATCCGAAAGAGATCTACTTCTTAACTAGAATTACTTATACCTCTTAATTACCTCTTATATTTCTATAGTATAAGTCTGCGAACTAATATAAATAGCCTCTTATTAGGCTTTAAAAGAGGTTTATTCTTTAATTAAGATTATTTATCTCTTTTAATTACCTTTTATATTTCTATAGTATGAGTCTATAAACTAATAAATACTAATATTTTTAATTAGAACTAATTATATATTAATATATATTTATTATTTATTTACTATTATAATACTAACAGAAAGTATATTAACTTTTTATATTTAATATAAGTTTATTTTATATTATTATAATTAATATATAACTTAAATACTTTATATTATAAATATAAAAGTAAAGCTTTAATACAAGTTACTATCTCTTTATAAGTAACTTCTTTACGTAACCCTAGCCTCCTACACTGAATCTCGCAAACTCGGTCGCTATTCCACTTTCTACCAACAACAACAATAACAGGATAGCCAACAAGGTCTGCATCATGCATTTTCCAGGAGAATGACTGCAATCGATCGTCGAGAACAAGGTCAGGCGAGGTCCCAGACTCAGACGGAGCCTCATGGATCAAGTCATAAACTGACAAGGCCTCCTCCTCGTTTCCCTTACTTGGCACAACAAGCACCTCAAACGGTGCCATAACTCGCGGCCAATTCAAGCCCTTTTCGTCCGCTAATGTGTCTGCAACAGCACCGATTATACGAGACACGCCAATTCCATGACACCCCATTTGCATCGGCATCTTTCCAGTGGAACTTTGTGGGCCTGCTGACACACGTGTTGACCGGAGGTCCACTGGCACTGCAACAGTCGCTGCCAATGGCTCGCTATACCTCGTGCCGAGATGAAATGTATGGCCAAGTTCGATAGCCTTTTGGACTTTCAACAAACCGTTTGGGCAGCGAGGACATGGATCGCCATTTTTGATACGAAGAAGATTGAGTGGCTGTTGAATTGATGGGTCTCGAGGGATAGTTTCAACCTGAATACCATGTGATGATTCCTGTAGCATATCCGAAAAGAAGGGCAAGCGAATATCCCGTAAACTGATACATTGTTGTACCGAGGGAGGGACCCTAGAGTCTACCAGATTCACAATTCTAGGAGACCGATGACCCCCGACTTCTCCCGACGCTCCTGCTTGCTGACATTCCACCCAGAGCGACAACGGATCATCAATGGACGGGTCGATATATGGCAATATTGTCTTGACGGCATGAATGTTGATCTCGTGCTCAACAGGCGAATGACTTGGTGTAGAGGTTGAAGATAGGTACCAGACATTGATAAGAGTAAGCCGATCTCGAGATATGCCATGCCATACCGACACGTTGCCCAATGATGAGGATTCTTTCTCGATGAAAAGATGCTGGTGTGCGGGAACTGGGCTTTCTGCCAATTCTTCATTGGCAACGTAATCGCAAACAGAGCAGCTGATAATGTGATCCTCGCCCTTGGGAGTTGGAAAATGGAACTCATGGCTCAGGTTCCCACCCATGTCACCAGAATCTGCTTCTGCAATTAAATATGGAAGCTTGAGCTCATCAAACAGACGAGCGTACACTGCTCGGACCTCGTGATAAGTTGCCAGCGCGAGAGGCGAGCTAGAATCAAAGGTGTAAAGATCTTTCATAATGAATTCCCGAGAACGAAGAAGACCGTGTCTCGGTCTTAGTTCATCGCGATACTTTCGAGCTTAATATAGTCAGATGTGAGCACAGTTACGGCTGCAGCTACTCACATATCTGGTAAAGGCGGACTGGGAGCTCTTTGTACGATTTTACAGTACTAGAGACAAGTGTGGTAATTTCCTCCTCATGCGTAGGCGAGAGGAGGTATCTCGCATCTTTCCTGTCAGAGAAACGAAAGAGCTGGGATCGTTAGACTGGAAAGGAGTATCGGAAGGGTAGCACTACTTCCGAGGTGGCATTCTTCAAACGGCCACTTCTGGCCCATAGTTCCTCCGATGAAATGGATGACAACGCGAGTTTCGAAGCACCTGGTGAGGTTGTCAACACAGTCCAGCCAATCAAAGATAGGCACATTACCCAGTTGAAACATGTACTTATCGATGAGAGCTTCCAACTTGTCTTGGACCCTCCGACCTAGGGGCAACATGTGAAAGATACCAGGATGTGCCTAAAATGTCAGCATCTATTCCATAACAAGAAAAGATGGAATCTAACCTGGCGCAAGAACCCAGCTCGCACCAGCTTCGCATGAGAATCTGGAGTCGATTAGGGACCAAGATTAGTGTAATGGACAGCGAAACCAACCTTCCATGGCAGACGCTGCAATTCCACCCGTTGGCAGCCATAATCTCGACAAACGTGCGCGACCATCCAGCTGGGGGCCTTAGGATTAGCATGCACACGTGATCAATGAAATAATTAGAAGACTAACGGTGGCCTCATGTGCAGGCAGTGTATAAATACAGCGAGTAAGTCGAGCAGGTCTAGTCGGTGGGGGAAAGTTTGGCCCAGGCCACATTGACGGACGGCGGCTGCGTAGACAGATCCCGTGTAGGTGTATATGGAAAAGGGAGGAGGGAATGGAAAGTGAAGCCATTGCGGCCGACAAGCAGAGCAGGTGAGGTGAGGAGAGGTATGGTACCCAGGTAGTTACCTACAACGCAGGTAGCTGGCAGGCGAGTAGGTTGGTTGACGTTGCGATGGCGAGGACGAAGCGAGCAGATTGGTTGGATGGTGGCAGTGATGACCGGGACAAGAGAAGTACCTGACCACCAATATACTCCTATGCCTAGGTAATGCACGGAGACCCGTACAAATTCAATTCGACTTTAAAGGCCCATGGATATTGGCAATTGTCAGTAGTTCTGTCCCACGCACATGGCAGGAGCAAAGGATGTAGGGAGAGCTAAAGGAAAGGGGAAAGTCAACAATGTGTTTTGTCGAGACGTTCAAGGGCTATGACTACCTTGAAGAAGCTGCCTTAGGTACCTAGGACGTAAGGTAGCGTAGCGTAGCGTAGCTCTTAGATGCCTTAGGTAAGCGAGGCGAGTTTGGTAGGGACGCAGAGAAAATGACCTGGCGTTAGGTACGACCGTACGAAAGTACAGTATCTGCAGGCTCGCTTGTGATAAGATCTCAGAGCGAAAAAAAATATCGGACCGACGATCGACCCGACAGGACGACTGTACATACCAAGGCCACTAAACTTCTTCACATCGCATTAAAAGCTGCAATCCCTCCATTTTGGCCCTCCCTTACTCCTGCCACAAGCCAAAGCCATGGCCAGAAAGAACAAGAAGCAGCAGGCTGGTGCTGGCGGGGCTGCTACAACAGTGTCAGAGGCGCCGACTTCGAAGCGCAACGATTCTGCATCCTTCGACGAGCAAGCCCTGTCTGTCTTGACTACGAAAATTGAGAAGGGATTTGGACAGAGCAAGTCAAAGTCGACGTTCAAAAAACCGTCAGAAACCCACAACAACCCCGGTGGCGGTCACGACAAAGAGAAGGCAGACGTGAAGCTAAAGAACAAGGACGGTATTGGAAGAATCAAGCCTTCGGAGCTTGCGCGAGGGACGAAGAGAGATGCAAATGGGAAAGCCAAAGCCGCCGTGAAGCATACTTCCAGGAGTGACGGTACGCCAACAGACTCGCAAGACAGTAGGGGCAAAGATGAAAGAGCAATTCTACTCCAGGAGATACTGGCACTCGGGGGCACTGAAGAGGATCTGGACTTGGTGGCAGACGCTACGTCTGACGAGGATGACGATGGGCCTAACACCGCAGACCCTCTCGACGGATTATTTCAAAGAGACCTGGTTAGTTTCGTTGCCGGTTTAGGTATTGAAAGCGGAGTAGAAGAAACATTTGATTCACCCGCCGAGCATGACGTCGATGATGGCTGGGAAGGGACTTCTGGTTCAGAATCTTCTGGTGAGGATTCCGAAGACGAAAAAATCTCGAATCTGCCATTGAAGAAGGCGAAACTGTCTCCTATTATAGAAGTCCAATCGTCAAGTAATCCTAACCGCCTTGTTAGTATTCTTTCCTGGGTAAACACTGGTCTGACTGACTCTCAATAGGTTTTCGAAGCACGACCTGACTGGCATGCCGCTCCATTACCTGTTCTCCCAAGCCCCGATGGACAAAACGCGTCTCGTTACCAGAATGCCATGATAAGTCTGAAGGATTACGCAAAAAGTCTGATGGAAGCTGATAGTAAACTGTATGCATCTAAGCATCTTTCGTCCTCATCATCCCATCGATTCTTGTCAACCATCATGGCCTCGGGTACACTTTCTGACAAGGTCTCCGCTTTGACATTGGTCGTCCAGGAATCTCCAGTCCACACTACAAAGTCTTTTGAAAGTCTTCTATCACTTGCGAAGAAGAAGAGCCGTGGGCAGGCCGTGACTGCACTGGGTGCGTTGAAAGATTTGCTCGGCATGGGAGTTGTCTTGCCAGCCGACAGGCGCCTACGATCCTTTACGGGACAACCAGGCCTTATTGGTACCCTACAGGAAGATACGATAACATCATGGACAGTCGGGCAGCAGCTGCCAGGAAGTATCACAAAGCCGCAGCTCATCTCATGGGCATACGAAGACTGGTTGAAGGAAATGTACTTTGACATGCTCAAAGTCTTAGAAGGCTGGTGCAATGACGAATTGGAATATGCACGTCTTCAGGCTGTGACATTTGTCTACGAGCTTCTTAAAGAGAAGCCTGAGCAAGAAGCCAACCTACTTCGGCTACTAGTCAACAAACTGGGAGATCCAGACAAAAAAATCGCATCGCGAACCTCATATCTACTACTCCAATTACAGACTTCTCACCCGTTGATGAAGCCCATCATTCTACGATCAATTGAGAGCGAACTTATCCTACGTCCTGGTCAGAGTTTGCATGCAAAATATTATGCAATCAATACGCTGAACCAAACAATTCTGAGCGGTAAGGAGGAAGAGGTTGCTAGAATGCTTCTTGGCGTTTACTTTGAATTGTTTGTGTCCCTTCTTAAAAAGCCGGAACCAAAGGCAGTTGTTGGACCTCTCATGAACCGAAAAGGCCAAGTACAAGGCGGAGGTGCTCCAATGGGAAAGAAGGCCAAAATGAAGGCTGAAAAGGAGGAGGAAGCCAAGTTGACAAGCGAGGAGACAACAGAAAAAATGATATCGGCCGTCTTGACAGGTGTCAACCGTGCGTTCCCTTTCTCAAAGTCAGATGACGGCAGGTGAGTAATAGATACAAGTCTGCATACCTCTACTAATAAATGCCCCAGTCTCGAAGGCCATATGGATACGCTTTTCAAAATCACACATTCATCCAATTTCAACACAAGTGTCCAGGCCCTCATGTTGATTGAGCAGCTTGCCACGTCTAAGCACCTTGCTGTAGACAGGTTCTATCGAACACTATATGAATCGCTCCTTGATCCACGACTTGTCACCTCGTCGAAACATGCTTTGTACCTCAACCTTTTGTTCCGAGCATTGAGAGCAGATCTCAACATTAAGCGTGTCAAAGCATTTGTCAAGAGGATGTTACAGATAGTAACGCTCCACCAACCGCCCTTTATTTGTGGTGTCCTTTTCTTGATTAAAGAGCTGGAGGCTACTTTTCCGGGAGTGAAGACCCTACTCAGTGATCCCGAGGAGAGTGATGAGACGGAAGACGAGGTTTTCCACGATGCCCCAAAGGATGAGCCCGTGCTAGATATCAAGGATTCTGATGGTCAGTCGAGGCCATCGGTGCAATATGATGGCAGGAAACGAGATCCGGAATATTGCAACGCTGACAAGAGTTGCTTATGGGAATTGGTGAGCTGAATTCTTGCAGTTTTCGACCTAGGTCTGACTAACCTCTGTGTAGGTCCCTTTCCTTGTGCATTTTCATCCATCAGTGTCGTTATTTGCTTCCCGTCTATTGAACGATGAGAAGATGCCACCAAAGCCCGATCTGGTATCGCATACCCTCACCAACTTCCTGGATAGGTTTGTTTACAGGAATGCGAAAGCATCTGCCGGTGGAACCAAGGGTGGCTCAATCATGCAGCCTCTTTCAGGTGGAGATAGTAAGGGAATTCTCCTCTCGTCGAAATCAGCAAACAGAATACAGCAGCCGTTTAATACGGAAGGATTCTGGAAGAAGAAGGTGGAAGATGTCGCTGTAGATGAAGTATTTTTCCACAAGTACTTCAATCAGATTGGAAAGTCAAGAACTATCGCTGGGCAGGGAAAGACGCCTCCGAAATCAAGCGTAAATTCTGGGGACGAAGAGGACAAGGAAGAAGATGAGATCTGGCAAGCTCTTGTTGAGTCAAGACCTGAGGTGGAAGGCGACAAAGACTCCGACATGGAAATGTTAGACCTAGATGATTCTGATGCTGGATCTGATATAGATGACGTGGAAGTCAACATGGATAGTGAGGATGATGAAGGTCTTGAGGCTGAATTCACTGGCTCGAATGCTTCTGTGGATGAGGTTGACAATGCTGGTGAGAGCGGAGCTGAATCAGATATCGATGAATTCTTCGCAAAGGAGCTGGATACAGACCAGCCGAAGGAACCCGAGAGAGGTGACGAGACCAGCAGGCAACGGAAACAGAAGTTCAAGAGTCTGCCAACATTTGCATCTGCCGAGGATTATGCAGAAATGCTGGATAATGACGAAGATGAGGATCTATGAGATTCGAGATGGGTACGAAGTTTGGCACAGCTTGGAGATTCAAATTGGCCGGCGTTATTTCAACCCAGTACTATGAATGACACAAATCGCTAAGCAGGTCGTCACCTGAAGAAATTCTGGCAAAAAGAATCATTCCCAAAGGTGATAGATCGTAGTCTTGTCAATTCTTGCTCACGTATCAAACCACTCGAGAGGATCGTTTTGAAAGAAGATGGCCCGGAAAACTTTATCTCCATCTGACTTGTCGATTTCCTCCATGTGGATACAATGAAGCTTTGCAGTCTCTGCTTCGCCTGGAATGAATGCTCTAAACATGAAGTAACAGTCAAGTCCCCTATTGTCCGATGTCAGCTCTTTGAAGTCAATAAGAACACAGGAGGATGAACTTCTCTGGAGAGGCGTGCGAGCGACCACTGTCTGGCAATAGAACCTTTCCGAGCAAGTGCAAGCCGTAGGCTGATTGCGCAACCCTGACTTCCTTCAGGTCATCGGCTGACGTTGTGTCAGTATTAGAAGATTTTTACGAGATTTACGTGGAGATTCCTGCATCACTTACAAGAAAAGTTTGTGAGTTGTTCATTTGACAGGTCTTTGACAGCCGTGAAGTACTCAGGCTCGTGCTCTAGGGAACATAAATCTAGGTTGTGATTACAAGAGGTTAGGAACTTACTATCAGTCTCATGACGGAGGTGTTGGAGAGTCTTCTTTAGGTCGATCTCAATCTCTTGGAACGCTTTGATAGAGTCCGCCCTTGTCGACGCATTAGCAGCATTTCGTATCAAGTGGGCCGTCGATAATACTTGGGAGGATGAGGCAGGCCCAAAGTCACGGTATCGGCAGTTGCCATGATGATGTTGTTGAATTTGTGTTTTGGTTTATTTGTTTCCGAAGCGATACCTTGGGAAGCTGGGAGCCAATACTGGATGTTACAGGTTTTTGGGAAAAGGGATGTCGAGTGAATGGATGGACTGCACGGCCTGACCTGGGAGCACGAGCCCTTTATATCACCTTATGGCAGGCTCTGGCCAGTTACGAGCCTTGAAGTGGGGGAGCAGGATGATTGCATGATTTGCAGATTCCCACACGTTGCGTTGGAGACTCATGCCGCTTCATTGGACATGACCAGCCACAATTGACAGGTTAACGTTAGCCTTCAAGTATAACACTGGAAGCCGGACTCCAGATACGCGGCCAATCGTGCTGGTGACCCATATTCAAAATGGCATTGTGGTTTGAGGCCACAATCACAGTATAAATTCACAGAAGGTTCCATGCTTCCCAACACAATACAGTCGCCAGAGTAGGTAGCTCTTCAAACCGCACATCGCCGTGCCAGCTATAAGTTGGCGTCAGCGGTGGAAATGCTGGGTTTCGAAAAGACAGGGATTAGAGCAGGAAGGAGCCGAATGACGTCGGCTAAGGGTCTGCAAGAAGGTAAAGCAGGGCATAACCGAAGCTCGAAGGCATAACCGAACAGCAACAAGATTGATCCTGCTTGCTGTTGGTTGTGCCCAGAAAATGAAAAGAAAGGAGAGGAGGATTGGATTGGATGGTGCACCACGACAGCTACCTTAAGTTAGTTCAAGACACAATTGTGGAGTGCGCATACATACATATCAAGTGATAAAGCTGCGGCGGAAACTTTAGCGAGGGGCTCAAAACAAGCTCTCAGGACTTGCTTTCTACTTGAGTATCTAACCAGACCAGAGACCAACCTAAGCAGAGAACATGCAACAAAACACATAAGGCCGTTTGCTAGAACACGTACTTAATTGTTCGGCACTGAACTCTATATAGAGCGCTACGTGGTTTATGTCAAGCTTGCTTTGTTTTCAACATATTTCGGTGATTGTACCGAATCAGCAAGTGGCACAAAGCGGCCGGCCGAATCGCCACCTTGACGTGCGACACGCTACAAAGTAGGCATTAGGGGAAGTTAGCAACTGTGTAACTCACATGAACTGAGTTTACTGCTATACCCTTTTTTGATAATTGTGTAGAACCTATATATTCTTTACATTTAGATATTTAGTAGCTACTTTTCTACTCTTTGATATAGTTTAAGAGTTTAAGGTTTCTCTTAACCTTAAAAGTACTAATAACTAATACCTTAATAATAAAAGTACTTTAGTTCTACTTTTACTTAACTAAGTTTTATAAAATATATAGAAGTATATAATTTATACTTTATAATTTAATTTTAAATTATTAACTTATAATAGGTTTAACTATATATCTTATAAGTAGAGATATTAAGGTTTTCTAAAGACACGGGGCTCCTTTGTAAGATTTCCCGAATAGGTAACTTTTCTAAAGTATTTACTTATAAACTTTATTACTAACTTTCTTTATTCTATAAATTAATATAATTGTAATATTCACTCTTTTTTAAAAATATATCAGCAAAAAATTCCAGCGCCGGGTGCACAGATCACCCGCTATTTTCGCTATTTCCGCTAAATAGACGCTTTTTCCGCCTAAGGCAGCCTTAAAATATAAGAGGCCGCTATACGTCGGCTCTAAATAATAAGAGGCTGCCCTAGGAGTCCTAGGAGCTATTACTTATTATATAAGCTAGGCCTAATTAGGAAAGATATAATATTATTAATTAGAATTAAAAATAAAAAATTTATTTTTATTTTTAGATTTTATACTAACTAAAAACAGTTAGACTAGCGTAGATTTTAACCGAAAATCTAAAAAGATATATACTTTTCGCGTATATCTTTAAAACTAGTCTTACTAAGCCTTTAACGCTATAAATATCTACGCTAAAAATTCGCTAGCGTACTTATAATTCGATTCGAGTAAATTCTATATAAGAATAAGTCGCCGCCTTACCTAATCGGATAATATAAGCCTAATAATACTCTCTTATAAGGTATACCTTTATAAGTACCTTTAATATCCTTAGTATTCTTAGTATTACTAAGCTTTCTAAGCTTACTAATATATCTTCTATAATATTAAAAAAATCGGACTTACTTTTATTTTATACACTAGTCCTAATTAGGCTTATAAGCACCTATAGCGCCTTAGTCGCCTTAGGCGCCTACGTCGTTAATTTAAATTATTATATATAGTCTTAGAGGTCGCTAGCTATTAAATTTATCGATATGTAACTTAGGCTGGAAATCGCGAAAATAGCACCTACAGCGGCTACCTGGAGCTAGATCTTTTTACTAATATAACGATTTTATCTTAATATATAATATTATAGAAAAATTTATATTTTTCAAGTTTTAATTATTCTTAGACTTTCATTAGTAGTAAATACTAACTTATATAAGTTATACCTTATATAGTTAACCTGTCTAGTCTATACTTTTGAAATAGAACTCGCTATCTTATTATTAGAGCCTACTTAACTTTATTTTCTAGGATATCCACTGCGTTAAGGTAGGTAAAAAGAGGTAATCTACCCTAGTGCTCTATTCTATACAATCTCAAAGTCATAATAAACATAGGCTGTATACTCATTGCCCTCGCCCCCCTGACCACCAACCCCAGCCGCGGCCATTTCCGAGGATAGTGCCGAGTCATCTTTTGTAACCTTGCCCTTCTTATCTCGTCCGAATGCATTTCCACCAAGATATGAGTAAGTCGAGTCCAGCGCAGTCTTCGCTTTCTTCGCAGATTTGGTATTTGCCTGTCGGCAGTTAGCCATACTCCTTCCAGGCCAATATTATCGGAATTACCTTGATTAGCCCGCAGACGAAGTCAAGCGGAAGTCCATAGCGTAAGACGGTTTCTACGAAGACCCGAAGTGTCAGAACATGTATCCATATCATGACAGCTTCGCTCCATCCCGTCCGTCCAAGTCGCAATGCCTCGCCCCAAACTTTACGCTCGTCCTTGCCCACTTTCTCAATCTCCTTGCGCTCCTCCTCCTTTCCGCCTTCAACATACTTGTAATCTCTTGGCGTCCATTTCATCTCTCTGCATTTGTGCTGGAACTCTGCGCTATGCTTCTTAAAGGTTGTGACAGCAAACAGAACGAATTCGTCGTCCTTGGTGATTTCGTAAGCGGATCGGGGAACGACCATCGGTGACAAAGTCTCATAACTTCTTAGGAAATCCTTCTTGGAATTGTTAGGGACAACAACGAGGTGGGTCTCGATGTATTCCGATTCGTGGATCAGTAACTTGGGGTCAACAACTGGAGTGAGTGACCTGGTGGAGAGATTTCCACTGATTTGGTTAGCAGGAATCCGCGGGTAAGTAGATTTATTGCCCAGGCCTACGTTTGTTTCCGTTGGAGTGTTGTGAGATTCGTCTTGACTTGCGTGTACTGGGTGGTCTTGCTTTTTACATCGTTGTCAATGCTGGCAAGCTCCTATAAGCTAGCTGTAAGGTGGGGGTTTTCTTTCATGGGACATGCGCGTGCATACCTTCTGCAACAATTCAATGAGCTCTGCCAGCGGCTTATCGGCACGATACTTGACTTTGTTCCAGTTGAAGGATCGTAGATATTGATCCGAAGGCTCTGCGGAAATGGTTAGATTTCATGTACCGAAGCCACGGCACGAGCTGCAGATAACGTACTGTCATTCACCGTTTTCTGCTGGGCGATCTTGTCCTCATCGCCCTCGAGTAGGTTCTTTAAAGAGTCGCCCATCTTAGCCACTACACCTTCGCAGGCATTCTCTAGTTTCGCCAGGTCATCTGCTTGCTGCACCAAAGCATCGAGAGTTCCAATCTTGAATTCGGGAATCTTGAACGGCAGTACGGCAACGCTGTCTCCTGATACTGTTGAACGTAGAGCCGTAAAAGCCTCCTCCTTGTCGCTGGATGTTGAAATGGACGTGGGCAAAGACACCAGCATGTACTTTGTGGAGCCCGACATCGTGTCTGTTGATTCCGCCTCTAATCGATGCCTCGAGCAACTGAACCAGAACAATGATTTAGGAGGGTTCAATCGACGTGTTTTCGTTTGCGACGGGAAGGAGATCGTATAAGTAAGGACAATCCGCCGGGTGTGGTCGGGCAGCTGTAGAGAAAGATCGCAAGGCAGGAGGCAGGCACGAGCGCGGACAGCTGGAAACTGGAAGCTTGAAGCTTCTCTGGAATGGGAAGCTCTTATCGGGCACGTGAAGGCTCCGATAAAACCTAATTTCTACCTCACCTCGCCGTCATTGGCAATTCACCCATCATGGCATCCTTCGAAAAATACAAAATGGCCGGAAATATTCGTTTCCTCTTTTACTGATGAAATATCTGACAATTCCTCCCGAACCTCAAGATGATTCACTGCCTAATAAGTCCCTACTGGTCCCACTTGCCACCCAACATTCGAGTCTCTCCAATACCAAGACTGATCCCCATGCCTTGTCATCTCGCTTTTGGATAGCTCGATGCCGAACAACTGGTAGTACGTGTTATCCGTTTCGCTTGTTCGCAGGAACACTTTTACTCTAGCTGGGAGTGGAAGCAGTTGTTACATACCTGTAACCACTAATGATAGGTCTCAAGTATCACCTGGAGATGGATTCCTTACGTACTTGGAAATTTATTAGTTGGATTTGATTTCCGTACCTTAAGTGTGGCCGCTTTGCTACTCTGCTGTTTTTGTTCCTGCCTGTGCTGAAATTAATCCTTTCTACTACAAGTCCGTGAGCCTGCAACAATGTCTAGTCGAAGCTCCCCGTGGCATTCCATGTAGCTCCATAAGTGCTGAGGTACATTCTTCGATGAAAGCGTCTGGAAGTTGAGCGTACTTGAAAGCATCAAGCAGGTTCCGGACATTGTCATGGTCAAGTCATATTCGGGTCTTCAAAGTCGCGTGACAGTCTCCAGTGCCTAGAAGGCAATGGAATGCTATCAGAGAAGGAAGCCAGACGTGCATATCCCAAGGAACTCCCCCTCCAGTCATTTGGTTGTGGGGTTTATACGAATATTGCAGAGATTGGTCAGTGAGATGCAGGGGTCTTTACGCTTTTGGTATCAGATTTCATGTTCCTCGTTGTTGACGTCCTTGCAACGCTATATGTATGCAAGTGCCTCAACATCTGGAAACAAAACGTACAGCATTCTTCCGGTATTTGTAACTACTCATAAGTGGGCACCGATTTTTTACTTGAGAGAAATTGCTTGTAGGTTAGGGCAGTAGGGTTCGTTTCGGTCTTGCGATCGTCATGCCATTCATCTCTGTGATTAAGACGTTGCTGTTGAACACATCAGCAATTTTTCTCGCCTGAAGATTTCTTTCTCCTTCATCCCACACAAGCATCTTTGCTCCAACAAACACAAACCGTTACTTGGCGGAGCAATACACGATGGATCTTACCTTGGAGTATGTAAACAGAGTCCTCCTGAATCCTCTCATCGGACTGGCTAGATCCCGATCGCTTTCCTGGCTTTCCACCGGCAAGACCGACTCGATCCTGGACAACGATATCGCCCTGGTATTCAAGCAGACCTTATCCTGTCCTGGATCACCGCTTTTTATTGAGTCGGAGGATCAGTGGGCCGATCAGGTTGACTGAACGGCGACTGAAGCCAAGTAATCGTATTCCCAATGCCCATACTCAAAAAATAAGTTCTGATCTCCCTTAGTATATACCGACAAGAACTTTGGAATCTCTGGCGTCGCCGGGAATTTGAAAGATTGGCGAGACCGTGGGTCAATGGATTGGCTCACTCTACGGTCATCTGAAGCCGCAATACCATCTCACCACGCCAGCAAACATTCGATTACAGAGACTTAGTCGGGATGGTTCTATGTCCGTGTTCACAGCAGAAGGTGCCCCAAGACGGTAATTATGGCCATGTTTGCGGATCCTAGAGTAGCGACTGCGCGCACGCCCACCGCTGCCTCCATTGCCCTGAAATTAGCAAGAAGCCATTGACACTACCTCCTCTATCTGTTCACAGGCATGATCCGATTGTATCCGTCGTCGCTACCTCCTTTCCCGCTTTGGGGTAACTCTATGTTGAACCCCATTCGTGAGTTTGCGCGGCCGATGATGATCAATGCGGAGGAGGCCGTCACTGGTGTAGCCAAGAAGACTACCCCATTCGGAGAGGAGATCCTGGTTGAACTCTTCGACTCTCAAGGTCAGGTATGCTTCATTTGCATCATTACATGGCTTCCAGTGTCTGTCGATGGACCTCGGAATCAAATGAAACGGAATCGGTGCTAATATGCCCATCTAGCATGCGATATTGCTATCAGTCCAACAAACATTCCCCTCGATCCCACGAAGGCATTGGACAAGAAGGCAGCCGAGAGTTCCAACGATAATAAAGTCCGCGACAGCATGCTAGCTATTACTAAATATGGCTCTAACACGGCCGAACCCATGGGGCAAGAGTCCACCAGCCAAACATCATTCGGATACAAGGCCGTCACTAACCCCCTCATGTCCGGAAATTCTCTGATTAGACGCTAAACCAAGACCCATGGTATCGCGGTTAGCCCACTTGTATCTCCAGCCGTTGGCCCAGCCGTCCCAGTTGCTCCCCTTCCCCCTCGCCGCCCAAGATACTTGCTCCAACCGATACCGCATTATTCACACAAACTAAAGGTTATCGCCAAGGGAGAAACCACGACCGGAAACGTCATCAAGGAGATCGTCAGCTGCAAAGATCCAGGTGAAGAGGTTGAGTAGCTACCGTTCCACCTTAGAGCTTCAGCGTGACCGACCGCGATTGACAGAGGCTCATAACAACATGACGCAGTCAATTCCCGCCGAGCGAGAAGATGAACAGACCAGTCCGTAACATAGACACTCCTCAATGCCCACAACACCCTCCGGTAATGGCTTGCTGCGAGCCTCACGCAACTATTCCAATATCAAGAAGACGACCATGTCAAGTACTTTTATTGAGGTCGCCGAAGTTGAGGAGGTGGAGCACGCTGCTTAGACACAACACAAGTGGCAGGCACTTAGACCACTTCAACTGCAGAAATGCGAGGGCTTTTTTTGAACGGAAAGGAAGGATGGAATGGCCTTGGCAGTGGCAATGGACGGTCGGTGTTATGGAAAGCATAGCATTCATCTCACTTGAGATAAGATCGGGGTCTATCCTACACTAATAGAAAGCTCATCGTCGACAGTTTTGCATGTTACCTTTTGAAAGGCAGACGTTTTGTGCACGGTGTATCAGCTGATACCGCAGGAGCATTTGAATTTGTTGAATACTCTCGAGTGGAGTCGGCCATACAGCCAATATATGGCAGCCGCTCATTTGACTTGTGCCAGGGACTAAAATAAATCTTACCAACCCCTTCATCTCACCGTTATTAGGCGAATGCAAAAGGGCAGCCAGCTGGTCTCTCAACCATTAGCTTTTTCTCCCAAGCCCTAGTCTCCCCTAGTCCTCGATTCTTCATGATCTTCGGTCCAATTTCTTCGAACTTGTAGCCTTCAGGCAGGTACAAATTGCCCTTTGAGCCGGGTCTGTCGCCACCAGAAATCCACACAAACAGTCCTTCTGGGCCCCAGCGATTAAGAAAGCCCGGTTTATCTGCACGGTCTTCAGTATGGTGGACGTTTTTGCAACAGTGGAGCGTATGATCCCTGGGAAATATCGAGAAACAGGAAATAGGACAATACGAGCAGTGTACATCTACTCACTGTAGAATGGATAAGCCACATATCTGTTAGTGTGGAATCGTCCGGTATTCAGGTCGGGGTGGTCGCTGAGCTCCCGCACTCTCATAAAATAAGGTCGTGGGAGTGCCAGGTATCGGAGGACGAAACGACGAAGTCCGAATAGAGCATTAGCAACTTTGAAGTAAGTCGGTGGTGGAGTTGGATGCCTGTGTACACTAGAGTCAGCATGTGACCTCGGCCAATTTTTCTTTTACAGAGAAGCAGTGATGGCTGTAAGGAAGTGACGACAAACATCATGGCAGCTCTTAGACGTTCACCCATCATGACCCCAACCATATGAGAACCAGCTGCTCTGAGCTGATGTGGGACGTAGAACAAGAGAAGAGGGATCAACTCGTCAGCAGTAGTCTTGTTTGTTTTCGCAGGTACCATGAACTTGATTTCGTAATCGTGTGCCCATGTTTTGATGTCCATGTAGAATTCCAGACCATCGGTCCATTCCTTCTTGGTTAGATAACCTACATATTTAATTCCCATGGCATCGCCGATTGATTTCCAAAATGTAGCGATCGCACACACTTCCAAATCGTTCATGCTTCTCCATTCATACTTCTCGATCCAACTGATAGGCTCTGTGATGAAAACGCTCAACGTGTAGAGCAGATCCCCATTTGAAATCTTGCCAGCCTTCTAAATTTCAGTGGATTAGCATCGAGTACCGAGTCCTATGGAAAAGCCCGTATTGAATCCATGGAAGTCACGGTCAGGGAAAGTAGCGGAGAGGGCGCTTACCTGGTATTGACTGTGGATATAATTCATTCGAGCAATGGCTTTGATAACACGCTCTGACTTTGGGTGATGGCCAGCAAATTCTTGGATGAGAACTGTAGTATCCGCGTACCTCTTTCCAGCATTTTCTGGAGTACTGAACTCCTTGGTGGCGCAAAGCAGCTCGGAGATTGTCGGAATGCCGTAAGTCTGACAACAAGATCAGGATACGAGGAGGTGATAAAGGCTGGACACTTGTGACTTACTTTGAACAAAGCAAATCTGCGTAGTCGTAAATTAGAGAGGTCTAGATTTAGCTGTTTGAGATGGACCAAAGCTGGAAGCCGCTAGTTGGAACACGCAGAGAAATGACCTACTGGACACTTGTGTAGTAAATCTTGGGGAATTCACGCTCCGCCAGCTGGCACATGATAGCTTGGGCCTCCACATTGGTCATGCGAGCCAATGACTTCCGACCAGTCAAGTTGTACTTCCTAAGCATAGAAAACTGACGATGGAACCTCAAAGCAGAACAGAGCATGACATAGAGCAAAAATCCACCGACGACATATGGAGTCCAGGGAATACAGCTAACAGAATATGTCGTCTCGGGGGAGGATTTTGTCACAGTCGCCATCATGGATGGAACCAGTTGGTTTCTGCGAAGCAGCTGCGTTGATGCTATAACTGAGGAAGGAGTGTTGACTTGGTTAAGTGCCCCAGGACAGCTATACAAGCGTATCTTGTCAAGCGAAAGCCACAAGGGCCTGGAACCAACAGCTAGTCAGCATGCGACGTTGCCAGTATGTGTGTAGCTGAGAGGATAGAATAGAGATAGAGTAGGTAGTGTCCACTAGCCGTGGACCCGAACCCTTGCTGGTGATCGCACTCGCACTTGCACGGCCATGCGAGTCGAGGGCGAAATCGAGCCTGTATGATTGAAATAAAATCGGAAGCAGGTACCTAGATAGGCCCAGGTAGAAGCAAAGACAATGTCGTGCTGCGGAAATTCGAAAGCTGGTGGTGGAGTGTAGTGTAGTGTTGTTGCAGAAGTGAGAGGAGAGGCTAATCTGGTGCCTTCCCTGTTTCAGTACACTCCAATGCAACCGTGGAGCAGAGGAGCAGTTTACAGTGCCCCAAGCCGTGGACTGCTAAAGCGGAAATACTAGCACGGTTAAGAAGCTTGTGCGTATAATTATAGTCACACAAACATAGGATATCTAGAAGGTTATTATGCTTGTTTAGTCTAGATTTTGAAGAAAGATGCAGGAAAAGGACAGCTGGCTTGGTACAAAGCGCCGCCATCCCCCCTGGTTCGTCATTAAAGATCCAAATAAAGCGCTATTTGGTCAGGCTTCTACAAACACCACTGTGATAGCCGGCAAGACTGCGATTCTATGTATTTTCGCCAAACTCTCAAATTCACACACTTCACCTATGCTCCAAGCTCGGTTCTAGCTCTTCTCCTCAAGTTCTCCTGCCTCCACATGTCTCTCAAGTGTTTTGATTCTTATCGGCCAGACCACAACTCAAGCATCTGCCACAACGATAAGTATATGCCAAGGAAGATATTAATTGTGTTCAAGAAGGGTATACGCCCAACAGTAAGTATCTAACGCATAAATTGGCTACCGCATGTTTCAGATCCCCAAACTCCTCTCATGCACTCTCTCTCTTTTCTCTCTTTCATTGTCGGCCATTAATGATCAGTTTTGAGCCACGGGATGGTCTCGCTGCTAGAAAAACTGAAGGGGCTCTTCTGCATCTCTGGACTGCGAGGACTTAGCTTTACAGCAAAGAGATCCTCTTCGGTCTCTGTCTCATCTCTGGCGTCTTTGGCGGGAAGGGGGCCACTTGCGATGGCGTTCAAGGAGCCGACGCAACCACTATCATTTTGTCGAGCGAGGAGATGCTGTGGCGGGGTTTGGAAAACAGCCCGTGGTGCCCGCGAGGATGTTCCATGGAACAGTGAGAAGGACGAGACTGCAACATCTCCAGTGTCTGGAGATAAAGGATGGGAATCGGAAGCCGAGGAATCATGCCCTGGCCGCTGCTTAGCACAACCTTTCCACAGACAGGATAAAATTACCTGATGAGCTTAATTCCGAAACACTTGTTCCCAGCTTCAAACCTTTCAGCTTTCCTGATAGCCTTCCACTCCCACCTGAAGACTTCGGACTCGTGGGTGGCATCGTAAACTGTAAGTCCGGAATGACTTTCGGACCAACACCAAAATTCTCTTCTATCCACTGCTTCTCTTGTATTGCCATTTCCAGTCCAACACCTTCTCCATTCCTCATCTCTAGTTCTATCTCCTGCTGCAAAACAGACAATCGTTTCTTAGCCCAGACTGTATGCAGAACACCTTTCCGCCCTTGACTCGTAGCACTGACGCCCAGCTCCGGCGGGAATATGGCTGGCAAAGGATTTGTCTGCATAGTCTTCCCTCCAGTTTGCGAGAGCTTGATAATACTCGGTACGCTCGACCCGGGGGCGAGTAGAAAGTAAAGTCGGTGTAGTATCCCCTCAGAACCATCCTTCGCTGACAAAACGGTTGACTTTCCTTCCCAAGATACCTCCCAATCTCCCATGTTTGGCGGCCCATCCGCCTCCTCATCTGACCATTCCACCATCAATATCTTGGTTCCTTCATTCCCCCTTCCCGACTCAAACTCGAAACGGGCAAGAGCTCTTGACGAGGACACAGCAGGGGCTTCTTCGTTGCACAGGCTTTCACCAGTTGCAGTAACTCCATCTGGCTCGAAGTCAGGTCGTCGTGGCGATGGGTCCGCCATTACAAGATCTCGCTAGGTCTGCAGCTTGGAGAGCTTGTGAGGAGCCGTCAGTCCATGCGGGGAGGCAGACAGAATGTCGGAAGGGATGAATATGAGCCCAGGCGAATGAAGCGTCGGGTCGGTGATATTCCTCCAACAGTCCGTCCTTCAGGCTGCTCGGTGACTCGGAACAAAGAAGTTGTAACCTCGGGAGGGTCTGGACGGATATATGTGCAGTGTAGCGCCAGATGAGGGCTGGAACTCAGAGACCGCGGCTTTTGTTTGCATCACTTCCTTTCGTTGAGGATTCGTACGCAAATGCAATGTGGTGAAGTGCAGCGCTGTGCAGCGGCTCTTGAGGAGGACTGGTGGTTATCGCCAAAGGCCTGAAAGTTCGGACATTTGTTTCTGACCATGGGTGTCCCATTGTGTCCAATGAATGATTGCGCAGCGGGCCTTGGGTTGTAGTTTGGACTCGGACTTCCACTGGATCGTTCACGGATTTGGTGGAAGGGAGGGGCTGACAGATGGCATGGCTTGCCACGCCCTAAGAATAGAATATGGGTTCGGCCAATGTTCTGGAAAGGGATGGGATGGGATGCATGGGATGCCATACCTGGCCCTAACCTTAAATAGCGTAGATCGAGCCTTGGCCATCTGCCGCTGGATAGTAGAATAATCTCCAACCAAGGTAATTTTCTCGACTTCCAAGCCATTGCTTGCTACGAACTTACGAGGCATTCATTCAGCAAACACTTCATGAGTTCTGAGGCCCTAGACGGATCCAGATGACCAGGCGTCGTATTCGATTTTGCAACGAGTAAACCAGGCTTCTATATCGGGCGATGACTGCAAACCAAGTGTGGCAAATTTACCCCACGCAACATGTTGAGGTCAGAAATCCAGATAGGTCAGACGCAGTGGAGGCTCATAGTACACTCAGCACTCAGCACCTTCGAATGTGGAATGCAATGGAATATTCAACCAGTATCCGTTCTCCGAAGCACAGAATAGTTCAAAATGCCCCATGTGATTAGATATTTTTACTACCTACTTGACACTCCACACCCTGTCTCACCTACCTCTCTTAAAAATGATATTCAGCAATGATCTTTTCTGCGGCAGTCTCTCCGACAAGATATGCCGTGCTCTGGGTGTGATTGTTAGGAACCAAGGGCAAGATTCCTAAATCAACCACGCGCAAGTTCTGGACGCCTCTAACGCGAAAATCGGTATCGACGACAGCACCCTCATCCTCTTTCTTGCCCATACGAGTCGTACTGCACATATGCCAGGAGCTGAACATATTGCCTGTGCAATGTTCCTGTTTCATCTTAACACTTATCCACAATAATACACAGCACAGAAATTGACGTACCCAAATATCCTCATCCGAGCGACTCTTAGGACACCCAACCATTCTCACAGTGCTCTTTCTAAAGACAGGCGCTTCCAGATAATCCATCAATTTACGCACTCCTTCGATGAGGACCCTTCGATCATAAGGGTGCGAGACGAGTCTAGGATCTGCCTTGGGGGCGTCCAGAGGATTTGTGGAGGCTAGAGTGACTTCGCCGTACGATTGAGGATTCATCACGAAAGCGAGTGCAGTGAGGTAGCTGTCTGTAGGCTGGAGTTGATAGTCGCCTACAAAGAGGGGCGGTGTGTGCTTTCTGCTTCAGCTTGTGCAATGTGCAAGGGGTCACTGGGACGTACCGTAGCGAACTCAAAAGTTGGCACAGTTGGTTTCATGAGATACTCCTTTGTGTCCTTGTCAAGAGCTTTGAATTCATCGGAGGCGTACACGGCTTCACTCTTGAACCATCCCATAGGAACGGAGCCATACAATGAATTCAAAATGCCGGTCTTGTTTTCTGCATGTTGTGCTCTGGCAGCGGCCACGGCTTCTGCGTCTGCCTCAAATGTCATCCTGTCATTGGTCCCCGGCTTCTGAAGAAGAGTTATGGTGGTGAAAGCATGGTCTTGCAAGTTCTTGCCGACTTCGGGTAATGCATGGATAATTGAGATTCCGAGCTTCTTGAGCTCATCGGCAGGACCAATTCCCGAAAGCATCAGTAGTTGGGGAGAGTTGAGTGCCTGACTCATTAGTGGTTTGGTCTGACGCAAGTGGGAGATGACTTACTCCACAAGACAGAATGACATCCTTCTTCGCGAAGAACGCCTGACCTTCAACAGTCTCAATTCCGATAGATTTCTTTCCATCAAACAAAATCTTAGCCACGGTCATGTTAAGTGCGAGCGAGAGATTTGAAGGAGCGTCTCGGAGATACGACGATGCAGTGGTCCTCTCGCCCTTGTAAGCGCACGTCGCTCCCATTCCCATACCGATGGGATTTCCAGAGTTGACATCAGGATTGATATCCATCCCAAGCTCCTCGGCTGCTACAAACACGTCTGAGATACCTTTCTCCCATATATCGGCATAGCTCAGGTCTAGTGGACCAGTGGTACCATGATCTAACTCCTTAATTGAGCTCAAAAAGTATTGCGTTGAAACGACCTACCTTGTTCTTTCGGGTTGATATATTTCTGATGCTCCTGTGGGATCTCGACATGATATCTCTCAATCTTCTTGAATCTCTCCTTAACATTTTCCCAATTCCAGGCATCGTCGCCGAGCTTTTTAGCCCATTCATTGAAGTCCTCATCAGCGCCAATGAGCCAACAGGAGAAGTTGATCGCCGTGCTACCACCCAGCCCTTTGCCGCGCGAATAGTCAATCTCTTGTCCTTTCAAGTGACTTTGGGGAGCCGTCTTATAACCCCAATTGAGCTGTGGTTGGGTGAAGGCCAAGTTGAATCGGTCGCCTGGGACAAGATAGGCAGCATCTTTGTTGTCCCCGCCAGCTTCGACGAGCAGAACTGAGAATTTGGATGAAGACTTGGCAAGTCTTGTTGCGACAGCACAGCCGGATGGCCCGGCTGATAAAGGGAGTCAATAAAATTCGAGAGGGGTGCGTAAAGAATCAGCTCACCTCCAACCACAATGAAGTCATACTGACAAGACATTCTAATAATCGTTAGGTGAGAGACGATGCTTGGGATAAGAATAGAGATGGATTCGAAGGCTGCATAAAACACTCAGAAGACATACTGCAACCAGGAGATCAATGGCGGAAAACAAACTTATATGCAGAACGACCCGCTGAACGGGAAGTGCGCATCGATGAATAAGACTGTCGCTGTCAGCACGGACTGCAGATCTCAAAGTCCAGCATGCGACGAACATACCGCGCCGATTTGCAGGTGCCAGTCCGATGCAGTCAAGGTATGGAAACAAGTAAGCTTGTCCTTGGGAATGTGCTTCTCCGCGAGGCGGGGACAATTCCGGTGCCTTTCCCCTTGGCAGAACGAAAAAGAGGAGGTGAGTCGTTTGGAGAATCCGAAGGGTCAATTATCTTTGGGAGAACAAGAACATATAAATATAGAGAGGTTCAGATGTGTCAGGTGAGAACCCCCACAATCTGTCCCTCGGGGAAATCCATGGTATTTTGATACTGCCTGAAGCGGGACCAAACGCGGGGTTGCGGGGGGGAGGAGCAGAGGAGGTCCATTCTCTTGAGGCTGACTCTGCTGAATGGAAGGCTGGCCTTCGAACTTTGGTTAGTGGGACGCCAATCATTGACTAAGAACTTCGGAAAACATTTGCGGGATCTCGAAATCCATGCAGACTTGCAAGAATATGAGGGGCCATTGATCTGTTGGATATGAGTACAGTACTATCCTCCCCCCTGAATTCATGTTAAATCTCTAGAAAACTGGAGTCAGTGTGGGTAGCTTTCTAGGGTGTCTATCCAACAGATATTACTGCTTCAGGCCCTTGTAGTCCTCTCAAACCTTCTACTGTATAGACACCCTAGCTTTTACAACAGACCTAATTCTGGCTCGTGCCTCGAGGCCTCCAGGGTTACGTGACTACTCAGAAGTAAGTCTTCAAGCCTCCGCCCCATATTCTCAACACTTTAACATTAATTCAGGGGGGGGGGGATAGTATGAGTGCTAACAGGGGCTTGTGTTCTGTCAATTGGACTCTTCGGGTGAGCCCCATTGGCTATCTCGGAACGCCTCGTATCAACCGGTCCTTTTGAAGCACCGGGAACAGCAATAGGTGCCCTGGCTCTGGCATGATCCAGCAGCTTGGGATGACTTCGTCTTAAAGCTTGCGATTGAGTAAATGAGAACATGTGATCCTGTAAAATTTATGGTACGCCTAGGTGAACTGAATGGCATGAGCATGCCCTATAAAATCAGTATACAATGGATAGTCCCACCTAATGTTTGAGTAGCAGTTCATGCGGCCGCTGAACGCATTGGCATACCCGCGGGTTGCGGGCTTGGCCCGATGAGACGAAGCCTGTCTGTAGCATAATTCAACAAACAAATGGAAGCGAATGGAGAAGAGACCTTGTTACACGTAATAGCGGACGAAGTGCTTGGACTGCTTAGCGGTACAGTGAGCATTGTAACAGAAACACAATACACCGCACTGCATCTCGTGCATAATAGTAACTCAGAGATCATACTGACGTTTGGGTATATATATGGATGGAGGAACTACTTTAGCTCCGCTCCGATACAACTAGACTATGCGAATCAGCGACTCCACCTAAGAGAAGTTGCACCAAAACAGCTGCTCAAAACTTGGCGTTCAAGTGAAGCTTTACCACCAACACAAAGTCTAAGAACATTATTGGTATGAGGAACAGGATGACAGGTTCTGGAAAGGTAAGATGTTGTAGCGAAGATTTGACAATCGGCAACAGCTTAGCTAAGGGCGACTTTGATTTGTGTCAACACTAAGCCGCCGAGAGCTCTACCTTGGGGGAATAAGTAGTGCCTGTCAAGTTAAAGACCTTGGCGATTGGATCCCGCGCTATGAATTCCGTATCTCATCCTCATACACCCCGCTTTTGTGGCTCCGATCAATGTGTAGCTGTAGTGTCGTCTAAAAAAGCATAACTTTCTCAGAAAGAAATCATTACTTTTGGAATGCCTTTCCCGCCGAGATCTTGCGTATGATAGAGCATCTTTACGTCTGCAGCCATGATACTAAGTGCGGTGATCAGTAAAACCCGCCAAGCCAATCCCAGGCAAGGCATGTGACGGCGAGAGGGACGCGATCACACTTTGCGGTTGAGATGTGTGATCTCAGCCCTAGATGCTTGCCACAGTGTTGACGTTTTCCAAACGTAAACGCCAAATGGGCTCATTGACCGAGTGAGGGTAGCTTGAAGGCAGCTCGTTATGGAATAGTGATAACGCCGCAATAGGCTGTCGTGGTTTACCGCCATCCTCCGACACGACCTTCGTCCCATCTCTCTTTTCGCTCCTGACGTGAGTAATAGACCTTTTTTGCCTCACGGTATCGTCTCACCCACTCAAAGGCTTCTCTCTCAGACGCGGTTCCGCCATCTCCTTCAAGGAAACTCTCTTCCAAGGCCCGGCAAACCATCTCTTGTTCCTGCATACCTTGGTTGAGACGCTGATAAAGGGAAGAAGGTGAGAAGGGAGCCAATGCACGATCCATGTCCGACTGCTTCTGCCGCCATTGTCTCTCAAGGGCATGCGTTGACAGGAGCTGAGCTTGGGTGGAGGATCGCAAGTGGCTAATTCGTGCTTCAAGCTCTTTTAAATGCGAAGCAAGAGAAACGTTCTCGGTCAATGCAGCTTGCAGCGGCTCTTGTGATGTGGCGACTGAGGGGTGTGCAGTAGAAGACGAGTGGGCAAGTGCTGCTAGGAGAGCTGGTTTCGCCAGTACATCGGCTAGATCTTGTTTGCTGGAGAGAAGTCAATTCATGTCCTGGGAAAATATAGTAACGTTACAAACGATTTATCCTCTAGAATTCTGGGAAGCCATCTGTCGCCAGGATCTTGGGTCTGCTGTGCATACGGCTGCTCGCGGAATCGGGCCTGTTGCGAGGGCTGGGATTCTTCAGAGCGTCCACCATAGGTATCGAGAGCTTCTTGTGTCTGTGGAGGCGGGGGAGGAGGCATTGGTTGGCTGCCGGCAGGTGTGCTACGACGACTGACCTCTTGACTGCTCGGCTTTGGCGGAGGTGCAGGTGGTAGATTGGGGTCAAAAGACTGAGAGCTTCGATGCGGTTGGTAGGGCGGATATACTGGTGATGGAGAGGACATGTTTGCTGGAGACAGGCAGACTTGTGTGGATGGATCGGAAGGGCAGGGCAATGGCACAGATGGAGAGGAGAGGAGAGAGGAGAGGAGAAGCGAGAGGGGAGAAAAAGAGGAAAGATTGTAGTATCCCCGCGAAGTGTCGCAAGTACTGTCGTCGCGAGGGCAGTTGGTGGATCAATGATGAGGCTTACCTACCTACTGTGTCGCCAAGCGGCGTCGGTGGGGTTGAGGATGGAGGCAGGAGACCGAGGAGAGCGCACACGTTTCCATTGTCTTGTGTTGCACGTGCGAGAGACCCTGCTCTCGGCCCGCCAGTCGAATCAAGAAAGCTGTGAATGGATACCTAGGTACAGTAGGTAAATTACCAAGCCAAGTCCCTAGTAGCCAAGGGGACGTGGTTTTCCTGCCTCCGTAGCTAAATGTACATACCTGGGTGACTTCGTATTAGTAAGGTAGATTACTCTCAAAAAGTTGAAAATTTGGTCAGTAGAGGATTTCCGTGCCTGAGCATTGTTGAACTTCACGCCCAGCACAGAAACGAAGTTACGAAGTAAGACGTGGAAGTTTCAGGGCATATCATATCGATTTTGGGCTGGATTTCTAAGGTAGGCAAGGTGAATTACCCATTCCCCCAAAATAGGTACCATGCGAGGATCATTTACGTGCACACAGTACCACCCTTATGTGAATTAACGAGGTATGAGGGCCCGAAAGATGACCTAGGTACGAAAGGGGGTTGACAGTGGGTCTCGCCACCCCTTGTAAGGCGGTGAGTATCATCGAAGCTCGTAGAACCTATGCCTCTAACACCATATGAATGACACTCTCACTCTGTTTAGTATTACTAAATCATTAAGACAATGCCGTGGACACATGATACACCAACTCGAGTGCGATTCAAAACCCTCTTAGCTGAAGGCTACTCAGTTCAAGAAGCTGCCCGTAAGCTTAATATCCCTCGTTCTTCAGCACGATATTTTATTAATAAACCCGATCGATTAGCAAAGCCTCCTGGTGCTCCTCCGAAAGTCTCTAATGAACAAGTTGAAGAAATAATTAAGTGGTTTACAGGCCACTATGATCGACGAACTCTTTCCTTACAACAAATTCGCAAGCAATTCCATCTTGATTGCGCAGATATTACTCTCCTTCGGGCCTTTGAACGATACGGCTATCATTATCATGTTCCTGATTGTAAGCCTTTCATCTCTAAAGCGAATAAGCTCAAGCGTTGGAGCTTCTCGATTGCCAATTGGGACCGATCCAAAGAGTATTGGCGGCGAGGACGATTTACAGACGAAACAATCACTCGAACGGATATCCTTCGTAGACGAAAAGTCCTTCGGAAACGAGGGGAAAGAAGGAGACTCGATTGTATCCAATTCACGTTTCATTCAGGCTATAAATCAGTTATGGCGTGGGCAGCAATTGGCTACGGATACAAATCGAAGATATACTTTTGCTCATATGAAGGAGAAGGGAAGGGGTTTAATCAAAAGAAGTATGCAAATCAAATTCTGAGGGGTCCATTGAAGGAGATATTCGAGCAACCAGGAGACTTCTTTTGCGTGGAGGATAATAGTAGGGTTCATGGAAAGACAGATACTCGACAGAATCATGGACTCTGTAATGCCGTACGCTTAGAATGCCATATATACTCAATTGACTGGCCTCCTTGCTCGCCAGACCTTAATCCGATTGAGAATATCTGGCGAATTCTAAAGCAAAAGCTAAGAAATCGGAATCCCCACGGTAGTTGGGCTCTTGAGGACTTGAAAAGAGCTATATTAGATATCTGGGAAAACGAGATATCTATTGAAACAATTAATAGATTTGTTGATACTATGCCTCAAAGGCTAGAAAAGGTCAGACTACGAAAAGGAGGACCATCAGGATGGTAAATCATTACTGTAAATAGCTATAGCATACGGCAGAAACAGGGGGGGTGGCGAGACCCACTGTCAACCCCCTTTCGTACCTTACCTCGGTACCTACCTAAGCGCAGATATAAAGTCACACTTTAGGTAATTCTCGGGAAACAGATCGTCATAGGATCTCCTCTTCTCTCGCTTCATCTTCACTTCCGGGAACCAGAACCGGAGACATACCTTACCTTACCTTACCTTACCTTACCTGCAGTGAGGCGACCCAGAGCCAGCCGCAGCCCGGCCCCGGCCCCGGCCTCCAGATTGTAGGGCAAGCGCAGTTCGCAGCAGGCGGGCGCGGTCTTTGACGGCGCTCCCGACGCCTCTTTTCATATTTTCAAGCCACCCGACCCGAAACTCAAAGCAAATAATACAGTAATGGAAGCAATGCAGACATCCAGAAGCATGCATAGGTGCTGTACAGACAGACAGACAATAGTACTGTACAGTAAATCTACAGTACACTGCAGGAACTTAATTTACATCCAGTCAGCCTCTACAAGCGTTGCTCTCTTCCCTGGCTGTCCGCCTCAGCTTCCACATTTATGTATGGCACCTCTGGCTAGAAGTGACGACCTCGACCTCGACCTCGACCTCTACTCGTGCGGCTGGTTCGAGTACAGATGGGGATATCTACCTCCGTAGGGAGCATGGCATGGATGGCATGGAGAGCGAGCTGGCTCCGTCAAGTCGGCTGCAACTCTTGACGTTACGCCGCAGAAAGACCGACTGATCATCCACAACCACCACGAAAGCTGGAATGTTATCATCATATTATCAATCGGATCAAATCAACCTCGAATAATAATGCACGTCGAGCTTGGCCGTGCAGAGAATAGAAAGAATACTATTCATAAGGTACCGTGGCGAATGTCATTCTCCACTGATCGCGCCATGGGGAAATTAGAAGGGGGCTCTTCGACATCTGTAAGCTATTCTGCTATCTGGGGGTGCAGCTTGAGGCCCACGATCCAGCAAAACACGGAAAAGATCGCTCGGCACCTGCGATTGTATCGTGTCTTAATATTGGAGCAAGATTAGCAAGATGAGCTTACTGTATATCAGCGCGGCAGTATTATTGCAATGCAAATGAATGGCACAGTATCATGGCGAGCATGGTAATTTTAACTTAGGATTTGGTGTTGAGAGAGAGTAAATTTACATCAAAGCGCAGATGGTGTACCTAAGTTCTTGACCAAGGCTGGCCGTTCTCTCCGCGTGCCTTTTCTGCTCATGTCGCATCATCGTAGCTTCATGGCATCTTGACTATCCAACAAGCCAGTTGCAGCAGTCGCATTTCTGTCGAACATTATTCTCTTCAGAGGAGCTGGGCTGCGCAGCGAAGTACAATCCTAAGCTACCATAGCAACCCCATCTCATCTCCAGCCTCCAGATCCCCATCCCCAGAAACAAGTGAGTAGCTTCTCCGCAGCGTATCAACCCTTTCCCTTTCCCCTTCCTTTCTCCGGCATGACAGCAAAATGAAAACGGAATCGAAAAAACACTGGAACTCGTTCCTCCACTTTGCCTCACTCCACACACTAGGTAAATTACCTACTACCTAACCTACTGTGCGTTCTTGCGCTATCTCCTCTATCCCCACCAGCATACAACCACGACTGTGGCAGCAGCTCAGCTGCAGTGGGAGACACCATACAGAGTTTGAAGAGAGCGGAGAATGTGCAACAAAGGAGGAACGGGCGAGATAGTTAAGTACACTCACTGTTCCGTGGTCCATCGATTCATCCACTATTATTATTATTATTATTATTATTATTGTGACCGAAAGCAGGGCCGGATGGCAGCCCCAGTCTGCGCATTCTCGGCCTCATTATTTCGAGTTTGTCCCTTTTGGGTATTTAGCCAGGCTGGTCTAGCATTTTGCCGGTGGTGGTCGCGGCGGTGTCTCTCCACTCCCTCCACTACTCCCTCCACTCCACAGAGTCCCGAACACTTTGAATCCCCACCACAGAATAAGGCCGGTCCAATTATGGTCGGCAACAGGTTGTGGGACCAGGGAGTGACAAGGAGCCAGGAGGGAACCGACAGGCAGTGACGAAGTGAAGTGAAGGGAGGGAGAGGGACCAGGACCGGGGCCAGGACGCAGTACAGTACAGTACGGAGGTAGAGGCAGTAGGAAGGTAAATTACTCGTAGAGGGGAGAGTAGGTAAGGCAGAGGACAGTAGAGTAGAGTGGAGTAGGACCTTAGAGTCAAGTAGAGGAGAACAGAGTAGAGTAGAGTAGAGTAGAGTAGAGTAGAGTAGAGTAGAGTAGAGTAGAGTAGAGTAGAGTAGAGTAGAGTAGAGTAGAGTAGCGTTCTAGTCAAGGATACTCTTGGGGGAGTCCCTCACCTCGACACAGCTCACGAGTCACCACACCTCACCTCACCTCACCTACCTTGAAGTATTTGCCCGCCCGAGTCCGATCATCAACCACCCCAAGCGCAGTGCAGTGCAGTGCACCGCACCCCAACCAAGACATACTGTAGGTAATGTACATACACCCGGGCCTAAGCCTGCTCGCCGCCCAAGCTCAAGCCCAAGCCCAAGCCCACGACCACGGCCACTGCCACGCCCACAGCATCGACAACCACATCTTCCCTCACCTCAGTTCACTCACTTCACTCACTTCACTTCACTTCACTTCACTTCACTGGCCGGATACCCCCTTCCCCCGATAGGCTTCACCCCTCCTCCACGACCCAAAGACACTCTGCGACTCCGACTACAACGACTGAGGGCGACCATCCCGAAACGACTACGACTGGCAAAACGAAACCAGACAGCATCTCTTCTCTTCTCTTCTCTCACAACCAACCGAAGCACAAGAAGCACTCGACTGACTGACTGCCTGGCTGCCCCGGACGCATTTGAGCCGCTCGCTGGGACTGGTTTCGTTTGATTGTTGATCCTCCCATCTCTTCCGAAGTCAGTCGCTACCTACCCTCGAATTCTCCTCTCCTCTCGATCAAGACTCTGGAGTCATATTTTGGCCGACGTCTCTTGCGGACTTGTATTGGACTGTTATCGCCAATCCTCTTACCACGACTAGCCTTGAATCCAACTCATCATCACTGGGCACGCTGCCGCGGCTCTCATTAAACTGATCTGGCTGTGGCCTGTCCTCTTCAATCTCACGATGCATGAGCATCAAACGTGCGACGACGTCTCTCGGACCCTCGACGCCGCGTGCGCGATCCTGACGGCCCTCGTGTGAAGAGTGTCGTCCTCCTCGCTCCTGATATGCTTTATCAATTACGCCCTTTCAAACCCTCCGGCCGGATGACATAACGGCCAAACGCAGGACATTATGGATCCTCTCCACATAACTGAATTCGCGTCGGAGCGATATTTCAGTAAATTAAGGCAGCTGAATGAGCCCTCCGACAATGCTACATCCACATCAGAAGCCTCGACGGCGACGGCGACTGCGACCTCCCCTCCATTGCCGTCTGGCCCTACATTTACTCTACCATTAGGACGACAACGGTCTCTCAATAATGATCTTCCACCTCTCACATTCAGGCCTAGCGAGCAGAAGAAGCGATCGCTGGGTCACGATCTCACCGCATTACGAACACAACGCCGCCCAAGTTTTACCGGCTCGTTTGGGAGATTGACTTCCAAAGTTACTGTTATCCACAAGGTTCCTTCGATTGTTGAACACAAGGAGGAAATTCTGGCAGTTGATCCAGTTGCGGCCCCGAAGTATGTTGTCTTTCATGAGAGACTTCAGGAGAATTGCTGACAGTTTAGTTTTAATCTTAGTGACCTGTTCCTTGCCCTACCGAACGAGCTTCAAGCTCAAATAATTGCACCCCTCCCCATACATAGCGTCCTCACTCTCCGACTAGTGTCCAAGTCCTTTCATACGATTGTGACCCTTAATGAATCGACAATTGCTCGGTATCATATGACTAACAGCTTGCCTGCGTACGCTTTGCGATTGTACCCATTACCTGATACCGGTTGGATCAACCTTCACTACCTGTGTAGTATATGGCATCGACTGCACGTTGCTGAGAAGCTATCGACAATGATTGCAGCACAAGCAACGAAAGAAATATTTCTACGTACCACGGAAGTCCAACGGCAGGAATTCGAGCCACAACATAGGCGGATGCGTCAACGCCTGATGCCTCTTGTCTTTACACTTTTTCATTTTTTTGAAACATATCGCGACATTCACGCGAAGCGACTTCAGGCCGAGCCGCCTTTACATCATCAGGCATATACCATAAATCCCATCGAGGCTGAAGTAATGGCCATGTATGATGATCAAACACTACTCAAAGTCCACCAAGTTTTCCCCCTGGTGATATCTTCTTTCTCTCGACGGTTACGACCACCATCTTATGTGGGCACTTTGGAGCGTTCAATAAAAGGTTACTTAAAGGACCGACCAGCAGACGAGGTCTACGCTACCATTTTAGCTGTTGGAGGGCTTCGCCAAGCGCAAAGGTTCTGGGAGACGAAAGGGTACAATGCTCGCCGAGCAGCAGTCGACACTTGGTATGGCATGGTCACAAGGAGTCCTATTGACGCAGCGCCCAAGTCCAAGATGTCCTTGATAACGCACCTTGGTCGCAAGAGGTCCAAACAGGTAGCGGAAACCTCATCATCGGACACCACCACAACCACCAGCACTACCAACCATGATGCAACGAGCTGCCGGGAATGGTTTTGCGTCAAGCCAGCGTGTCAGGTCTCTCACCGGCGACATTCCACCGACAACCTCGTTTTTCACAGCAGTCTTGCGGCCGGACCACCAATGAGTCCATTACCACGTGATCAACTTAGACTCATGCTCCCAGACCTCCAACACCTCTCCAACATCTGGATGCACACGGCTGAAGCACTCATTCTGGAGCGGCAAATCGTGCCTCGACCGCAAGATATCAAGCGGAATACACAAGTTCTACTCGATTTGATTCAAGACAATGGGTTGGAGGTTGACCACTGGACATCTGGAACTCCACCACGAACAAATGTGAATACGGAACAAGAAGAGGGCATGGAAGCCCCCGGAGGCGTTTCTGACTAGGTTGGAAAAGAAGCAAGCAGCATTTACAAGGCGTTATGTTATATTCACTTAAAGCTTGTGATCGGCTTCATTTGTGTCTGGACACTGGGACAGCAGCTGCGCCGAGACACCGGTCTGGAGTTTCAGGGAATTGGGCATTTTTGGGAACATAGATATCGTACAATTCTCGTCGTAAACCGAAAGGCCTTGCACAATAAGATGCCCTTCAAAATCAAGCTTATATTCACTTCACACGTTGTAACGAAACCCAAGGCAAGATTTCCGTCCGTGTCTTGTAGACCACAGTATCCCTCCTATATATTCATCTGGAAACTTATTACTCATTACCTACTACAACGTCGAATCCCCGCGCCTATTTTTGTAAAATTTCCTGGTGGTTCTCGGCCGTATTCCCCAGTCCATCCAAATCGCCATATCAAGCTGATAGGGTCCTACGATCCCCTGCCCCAGACTCCCGTTATTATATGAAGCAAATACAAAGGTTTGCGAACAGGAAAAAGTACCATTGTGAAGAAACGCCGCCCAAATCCCGTTGTCCCGCTCCATACTCATGCCCTTCGTTGTAAATTCACCCGCAGACCATATATTCCGTGGCTATCAAAAAAGGCGGTATCAATCAATTAGTTCGGTCAAACAACCAAGGGTATCTTTCAACGACGCCCGTAGCCTCTCAGCAACTGTTCCCTCATATCTTCCTGGTTTGTTGGGTCAAAGGAGTTGCTGATCCTCGAAGATGACGTTCCATAAGCCGAACCGCTGTTACCTGAAGTTCCATATGCACTGTTACTCCCTGAGCGTGAGACGCCCACACCTCTAAGAATATCATTGGCACCAGCATCGTATGGATTACTCAGGCCGGAAGTGCTGCCATATATACTGTTGCTCGTGGCTGAGGATCGGGAGTTTCCTAGCCCAACAGCAATGCCCTGCCCAAAGCCACCAGTCGTGCCATAGGTGTTGTTGCTTAGGCCCACACTAGTATTACCCACGCCGCCGGAATGACCTAGAGACTCTAATGTCGGTAGATCAATGTAGGACGAGTCTGAAAAGTGGTTATAGTGGCTCTGATGAGACGGCTGGCTCTGGGAATGCGAACGTGCCGTAGTGTATGAAGGTGATGCCTGGGCTATAGAATGAGAACTTGGATTTCTGTAGCTATTTTCTGCCTGCGTGACGGTAGGGGAGTGTTGAGCGAGGGTATTTGCACTCGGATTTCTATAATTGGTCCCTGTTTGAGAGAAGGATGGAGAAGGATGGCCAAGGGTGTGTGGACTAGAAGTTCTGTAAGTGTTCTCCGCCTGGGAAAACTGAGGGGATGCTTGAGCCATAGTGTGCGTAGTGCTTGTCCGGTAGCTGTTGCTTGTGGTATTGCTCAACTGAGGAGACGCTTGGTGTGTACCATAGAGTTGTGAAGGTTGGTGAGAAGGGTATTGCTGGCTAAATGTCGCTGACGCTGGTTGATTTCCCTGGCTATAGAAACCTGTGGATGAAGGTCGGGCAGATCCGGACTGGGTCATCTTCTGGCTATCATCACGGTGGCTAGTCTGTTGAGTAACTTGTTGGCCCTGCTGGGATTTTTGATGTTGCATCAGATTCTGCTGTTGCATTTGTGGGGTAGACTGCTGGGGTGTTATTGATTGTGGTTTGGAGTGCTGGCGAGAGTGCTGTTGTACTTGCTGCTGAGGCATAGTTGGAGTATTGCTTCGACCATTTTGCTGCTGCTGCTGCTGAAAGTAGTTGTAATGAGCCTCTAGGCCTTCCGCGGCTGGCCGTGACACTGAGGTAGTCTGGGGCATGCTCTGTTGATTGCTCTGTGGAGCAGTCTGTTGGATACTTTGCTGGGAAGATGTTGCTTGGGAATCTGGAATTGTGCTTGGCGGAATCGGAGGGGTTGCAGTGCTGACTACTGATGCGGTCTGATTTCGAGAGGGGGTTTCAGTGTTGGCAGGGGGCTTAGGTTTACGCTGGCGAGGACGCTTTGCAGGTGGGATGGTCGGTGTTATCGAAGCATTAGTGGTAGTAGTGGTGGTAGTTGTAGTAGCAGCAGCAGCAGCAGCAGCGGCAGGCCCAACAGAAGTCCATTGTAAAGCATCCTTAGCCACCCCCATAGAATTATCACGGCCAGGAGGAAGAATGGGTGGATGATTGGTTTGTGGTAGATTTTCAGTCGAATACTTTGGGGTAGGAGTAGGGTTGGTCTTAGGTTTTGCAGGAGCACGTTTTCTCTTCTGACCCGTTTCAGGCGGTGCAATCTTGGGAGGGACTATCGGAGAAGGCACAACTTGTTGGACTTGTTGTATGCCAGGTGGGTGATGTCTGAATGCCTCCAATACAGCGCGTTCCTCTGGGCTCAATTCGTCCGTTGGAGCTACAATCGCAGCACTATTAGTTTGGTTGAGCTGGTTACTTGCTTGCCATCGCTGCCCGGAATATTGGTTATTCTGGACGTGATTGTTCTGGACAGTCTTGAGGGCTGTATTCGAGGTTGAGCCGAAAGAACTTGCCATTGGGCTAGCAGTGGTAGCTATCGCAGGGCTCGGTTGTGCGACCTTGGCAGTTGTAGATTGTACGTGAGGAGACGCCTGACCTTGGTTTTGGCCATCGGTCATGTTTGCTGTCTCGGAGTCTGGCTGTCCATCTTTGCCCTTATTACGCGACCCCTTGGGTCTGCCTCTTCTCCGCTTATTTGTAGATGAGCTATCTTCCGCCTGGTTTTTAGCAGGAGTTGTTGGAGATGGCTGCTCGAGGGTTTGTTCGGGTATGTGGAATTTAGGTTCACCGAGGGGTATAGTACTTGCTGCCACTGGTGTATTGACCAATGCTAAAGACTGTGGAAGGCCCCAGGATGGGGCAGAAACCGCTGGTCCATACCCGTATCCATTTCTGGAATTGGGGGCTTCAGAGGATTCAGCAGATGGAGTATCCTTCACACCTTTTGACGGCCTTCCTTTCCTCTTCGCAGCAAGGTCTTTCGAGACTTCGGGGCTCTTTGGGGTAAGGTCAGGAAATATCTCTGCCAGCCACCCGATGAAGAGTGCTCCTGTTTCTCTAGTATTCGCGCTCTCTGGGAAGATTCCATCCTCGGGTGGGGGAGCTCCAGGAATTCCTCCAAAGTAGGCCACGGCTTTGCATATCTGATCCACTACCGTAACAGGATTGATGCTTCTCAAAAGCGTCAGTAGTCGAGCTTGTTCAGACTTCGTTTCGTCTGGAGCCAAAGGTCTAGATCTCTGGGCATCGCGTGAGCCTCCAAAAGGCGAGTTGCGACTTCGCGTATCCGCGTTCAAGCTCGCATCTAATCCTCGTTTCTTCGGTGGCACGTATTTTTCGGATTGTGCAGCTTTTGCACGAGACGCTGTATTCTCGCTGGTTCGCCGTGCCGCAGCGTCGCGCTCTGCAGCAGCATCTCTCCCCTGACCTTGAACCTCAGTTTTCTTCCCCGGACTCATTCCCATGTGCATAACACCAAAATTCCCCTGCTTGTTATCTGTCTTACCCTTCAGCTTGCTGGGGACAGGGTTCCTGACTCTGCCGTCCTTATTCGGTCCCAAGACGCCTTCGATGAGAGCTTTCGTAGAGGCCAGCTCGACTGCTTCGAGCTCTGCCATACTGGGCGAATTGGATTGATTGAGATCGAGAGATATAGGTCTCGCTGATACTGCTCCCGCCGGCTGGTCTCGTTGTTGGCTCTGATCCATGTTATCAACTTGAGCGTTTGGGGCGTGGGCGTGGGCATGGGCGTGGGCGTGGGTGCCGCTCTTATTGAATGAGCTGGTAACCCCTCCGACGAATGGTCGAAATTGAGAAAACGAAGAGCTGTCGCCGGTCAGACTCGCGGCAGCAGTCGCCATGATTGCTGCTGGATGAGGCTGGTCGAAGTAACTATCGCCATCGTAGGCTCAGGCTCAGGCTTAGGCTTGTGTTGAATGCTCGTTGCGACGAGAGGACGCGGCTAGCGGCTCAGGTCAGCTAATCACGTTAAACCAGGTCTGGTCCAACAACACGACAGCGCGATACAGACGGCTATAAATAAATACACTCAAAACAAAACATACGAATCGGGCGACGTCTTCATGATTACGAGGAAGCATCGGAAGCAACTGGGCATGTGTGGAGGTAGTTAGAGACCTAGGATATCTATATGGTACGTCCATGTACACACACAGCTCTGGATGTGAATGCACACGGCATCTGTATTTCGATTCCACAGGTTACAACCGCTCAGGCAAGGTATTGCTGCGTAGCTGGCATAATAATGAGCGCCCGGTCCACCTTTTAATTCTTGCCAACAATGTCATACCTGCCTGCCAAAGGGTTGAGCAGGGACCCGAGTGCCAAGAGCGAAGTCAAAGTCAAGACAGATGTTACGAGTAGGTAGCAGTGGCACAGTGTTTTGCAGGAAGTTGGGAAGGGTTCTTGGACAACTCTGCTTCTCCAGCCTGCTTCCCGCATCAACTTTGACACCAAGTAGGTACTGTACATACTTCTAATTCAACACATCCCATGCATAAAATTTGTTTGATGGAAAGGCTGGTAAATAACACCATCGCATCTGGACCAAGGCTTCCAGTCCCACAGACCTTCGCATTTTGTCCTCCGTTTAATACAAGCGTGATGTTGCGTGTCATTCAGTCTAGCCTCGAGAAAAGCCTGCCCCTGCCCTTATTTTTGGACTCGAATCGAAGTCTCACCCAGTACCTTACGATTTCACGTTCCAAAGTTCAGGTGTCCATCCCTTCCTCCTAAGCTTTTTACTTCTCGTACCTGGAGCTGCCTTTTGCGCTGTGAGAACAAGTAACTCTTTGCTGGCCAAAGCGAACGCCTCAACCAGCTCCTTCACCCGACCTGTCCTCATGAAGACCTCGAGCACGTCCGAATCCTCTCCCGCTATCACAGCAGATAATTCCATGCACTCCATGAGAAGGTCTCGAGTCAGCGCAGAACCTCCGAACTGTAACAGGGCAATGTAAGCGAGTATCGTTTCTGGTAGATATGCTTTTCTGAGTTGCTTGAGTTCGGCTTCGGCGCCATCTGTCACAAGAAATCAGCATTAGCAGGTTGTGGAGGAGATCATGAAATACCATTCTGGCATGTCAGAAGCCACCCTTTAAGGAGAGGCTCTATGCAAGCCCGCATCGGCCCGTACGACTGTGAGAGACCCTTTCGCCATTGTTGCTGCGCTGCCGCCGTCCGATCCCTGAAAATCGAGTTAGAACGATACTTAAGTATCTTCGACGGTACGAACTCACTCAACCAATAGGGTTGCCAGGGAGGAACAGGTTTCAACATTGTCCAAGCATTCGATGAGAGCCTCAAGCTCCCGGTATGTCTTTGCTTCGGCTAGTAAATGCAGCTTCAGAAGTCTCTTCTCATCTGCCGAACCATCTAGCACCTCAGTCAGATCTTCTTCTCTGTCATTGCTGAGTTCTGCGAAGTCCAAGCTTTTGCCTAGGAGCGCTGGCGTTTTGCTTTTCGCAATTTCCGAACTCCTAGCTTTGATGGCCAGTTCTCGAGCTGCGCTGAGGTTCATATTTTCTTCGCCGCATTAGCATACCGCACAGAAGAAAATGATACAAGAAACACTCACTGAAAAAACGGAGATAAAGCATAGTGCCAACGGTAAATATTTCGCTCCACATTCCATCCACAAGCAGATACCATTCCATGCTTCGGATGAGAAGCATATCGGTCCTTGATACGTTGTCATTGTCACCTCCAATGAAATCGCTCCGAGGTCGCCTGCTTGTCAGAGGATTTTGCGCGACGGACGGATCAGCATCATCGAAGAGCTTGAAATTTTCTGAGGCAGGGTAGGAAGGTACCGTATCAGGGAAATCCCCAAGCAGAAATCGTGCCTGCAAACCAACAAATTCTTGTACATCGAGCCCAAATTCTCTCATTAATCTGATCTGGGTAATCCGCTGGTCGTTGTCTGTGATGTCAATCAAGTTTCGACATAGTATTGCATACTTCCGTTTCCCAGTAAGTTGCGAGCAATAAAGAGGAATCAGCTCTTCTTTCCCAGCAAGTCGGAGAAAACTGATGTAAGCGACAATGACGTTCTCCACTTCTGTTACTCGAAGTATACCACCAAGGTCAAGCCCTAGACCCATAAAAATCAGGAGAACGTGGGTGAGGACTCTCAAGCTATCGTGATCATCCATAGTGACATACTTGGTGAATTCCTCATTCTCCGGTTTCTCGTCCTTGGGTGGAATAAGATTTGAATGTCCGTTGGCATTTGCAAAATGGGAGAGAGCCAAGCCTTGCTGGTAAATGAAGTGCGCGAACTGATCTGCGACAAGGACTCCTTGAAGCATCTTCATGGGCTGCAATGTCTCTGGAGCCGTCTTCGGGTTGGTTTTCAAAGTATCGATGAGCTTTCGACCTGCTGCCTGAGGATCGCCATGAAATTGGACGGCATCGAATGATTCGAGATTCAGCGTGGCAAGGGAAATCGGGCGGGCTCCCAAGGCAGTCCGAAGATAGTTGTCGTATTGATTCTTTAATAGCGCGTTGTAGTTGGCGAACACGAAGTCGTCCCAGGATCGACAAACGACCTCCACACTCTGGATGTCACCACTCAGAACACCATATACAGCGCGTTCATAATCATCGCCTCCGCCCCTGCGAGCGAGAGCAAAGCACATCCGTCGCCAGAGAGCACTGGATTCGGGATCACCAGATTCGAAATCCTCTTCTGATCTCTCATCGAGGCTACCACTCATGCTGACAGCTCTCCATACCTCCGTGCGTTCCGTGCACCACTCTCTAATCTCAGCGGAGGATTTCCCTCGCCGAAGCATCTCATAGCATCCTAACCAAATGGCGCGCTCAAAAAACTGGTCTTGTTCCTGCAATGTTCGCTTCTGTCGAGTCATTGCATCAGGATCAAGTTGTGTGATCAAAGGTTCGATTTGGCTGGCATGCTGCGCTATGTTCAACTTCGAGCCTTTGATGGCGTGCTTGGTATGAATCCAACCAGCTGCAATGATATCTCCGCGATCGGCATTCTGTTGGAGGTCTTGCACAAGGATATCGATCTCCTCGCCCGACTCGTCTGCTGTTTCCTTCAACCACTGCAGCACCGTCTTTCTTTCAAGAGCAAGGTTATCCTTCGCCAGAAAATCCTCCCACAGCTCATACTCGGAAGAATACTGGTTGATAGCAGCGTATCTCCGTAGAGATTGGCCTGATTTGCCTGGAACAGGGAATCGAAGGTGAACTAGGCGCCGTAACAAATCCCATGTCTGGGCTTCTTGTTCCCATCGTTCTAGATCCTCAAGCGTCGTTTGTCGGTCTGCAGAGGGCAACTCCTTTTCTTCTGAATCCTCGATTTCTATATCCTCATCATCGCCTAGAGATACCTCGAAGCCTCGCATTTTCCTCCTCCATCTAATACCATTCTTCTTTCGTCGTTCAAGTGCATGTAATTTCCGTAGCTTTTCGACGGTTTCCATGGCAATTTCTAGGTACAGATCGATTAGATCTACCATCATATCGCGTCTCTCATCCTGATCATTAGTCCTCTGGGGGTTGTATCCGTCTAAGACTTCGGCGAATCGCTCCACCTCACGACCGACGCGGTTTGCGGTCTCGCGGAGCGGGTGCAGAATAGCTTCAGTTTCTTCGGCACTTCGATCTGGGAGTCGCTTGGTGAAATCTAGATGGTTCGGTAAGCTCCATACATTCAAGACTCTACTTGTTCGGCGAGCTTACCATCGTCCTCTTGAAACCCATTCGGCGCCATCTCTGCATCTTCGCTGAAGGAGGAAGGAGGTTCTGCAGAGAGCTCTCGTTCGGAACGCGTGTCAGACTTCACAGGATGTCAGTTATTGTCGGAGATCGGGTTATTTTCCTGCTGAATGAATTATATTAGACTTACCCCTGAGAATTGCCAACTAACATCGCGAGCGCGAGGTTGCTGCTCCAAGTTAGCCCAAATCATCGGCTACTAGGGCAGAAGCTATGCACCTGGGGAAGAGCTTGCCTTCCCTGTGGAGGGGGAATGAGCGCATGACTCCGGGTCATTGGAGCCATGATAGCTGGAGTCGGGGGCTTTAGGTGGATGAAAGGGATATCAAATAAAGGGTTCGAGTTTGTGGAAAGAAGAAGTTGGCCAATCGATGATGAGTTCGAGACTTAGCACAGTAAGGTAAATGGAAGCCGCCCGTTTTGTAAGGTCGCGCGCGTCAAAAATATCTGGTAGCCTTGCCCGCCTGGTAAGGCACCTGCGAAGCCTTTGCTTGACCAAAATCAGCTAGTCCGTCTGAGGACTAGCGCGCAGCTTTTCTCTGTAAGTGCTTAAATTCGTCCTCTTTCTCAAGACCTCTCTTCTTCTCACATAATGTCAAGGCCATCTAATTAGAGTCTCGGAATAAGCCTCTTCGGAGTAACCATCATTGCTTGTTCAGGTCCATGCGACCTCTCTGCGCGCTCATGATCGCCTAGAGAAAATTTGATTCTTCCTGTTTCCGTTTCTTGACCTTCGCTGGACTGACAAGGGACTGTAAACTTGGAGATTCACAGATCCGTCCATGGCTCAAACCCTTGGGCTCATCTATCCATAGACAAATTGACCTAGATGCAACCCAGAAGGGACCTTTCCATCAACCAGCGCCTGCTCCTTCTGCCCTCTGCTTCATCTTCAGCCTCAAAAGACTTGCTTTAGGACAGCTGACTGATTTGGCATCATCGCCGTTGCGTTGGTAGAATCTGTTGCAGCAGTCATAGAGGGCATCAACGTGGCTCCTGCACTTGGATTCCTTGTACGAGTTCTTGGCCAGACAATCTGCGAATGCATGAGCAGCCACTCTTGTGATCTTGGACAAGATGAACACGCGAAACTTACCTTGAATGGCACACTGGAAGTTTGTCCAGTCAGTAAGTTTGACGTGAGGGGAGTGTTAAGAGTGGAGAATATAAGGCCACCTAGGTACATACGGCACGAGAATGACATGGGAGATCTGTTGCAAGATCGTCTTTTGATGCCTGCTTGATTGAGTCGGCGAATCAGCAAGGTAGCAGCCAATGTACAATACCGATGGCAGCCAGCCGCAGTCTCAAAGGGAAGGATGAGATCTATTCACCATTTTGGGCGGCCTCTCGCACCTTGGCGTAATATACTATGATTGACAGTTTGGTACCCACAACAACCCAGAGGATCTCTTATAAAATTGATTCCCTTTGGGCTCAGATCAAGTTTGATACGACACTTTTGGGTTGCAGGAAATAGAGATGAGGTGAAAGTTTGTTGAGCCTTTGCAACCACAAGGCACTGTTGTCGTTGGTCAGACGCGCTGCCCGGCCTGGTCAGATCAGTTTCCAGAATCGTCGCTGCCTTTCCTCCACTCCCGCGCCTCGCTTTAACTGGAGCGCCATCAGTTCTTAGCGTAATTCGCGTCGTGAATCTAACTGCACCCCACTACATACTTCTGGTCGTCAACCACCTCATCTTCTTCGCACAACACAAACACCCAGCCTCTCCTCAGATCTCTTCAAAGCGAATCTTTCCCCTCATAGTAGGTCCAGCCCATGCCACCCTAAGATATCCTATATCTCATGTACTAAGACAAGCGATAGCCTCGCTCACGTACAACTCTACGAACTCTGATCCGTAGCCAGCATGTCCGGCTCTGATGATAACGGCAGTCCTGGTGCCCAAGAGAAGCCAGAAGCCGGCGCCAGTGAACATCTCAATATCAAGGTCACCGACAACAATAACGAGGTGTTCTTTAAAATCAAGCGGACCACTCAGCTGAAGAAGCTTATGGATGCCTTCTGCGAGCGACAAGGAAAAGCTCCCAATTCTGTCCGATTCCTCTTCGATGGAAGCCGTGTTCAGCCTACGGATAGCCCAGAGACAGTAAGAAAGTCCTGTCCCAGATATCTTTTCCCGTTCATCGATCACCTTATAGTCTGACACAATCTATTGCAGCTTGAAATGGCGGATGGCGACACTCTTGAAGTCCATCAGGAGCAAATCGGTGGCGGCATCTAGGCTATCAGATAATGGATTGCATATGGGTGGAGAGTGCAGCAGCATATGGTGGCAGCGAAAGGGGATGGATACCTGGACTTCGGGTTGATTGATTTGCATTTTGGGTCATGGTCTGGGCTATTCCAAAGGGATTTTTATTTGCAAAGGCGTGCAAGGCGTCTCGTCTCATGGCATGCGTGCCTCTCGGGAGAATGTGAGATCTAGAGGCATTACTTGTGCTCAAGAGGTCCGCCCACTATCACAATGCTTGCTTCTGGTATGGGAGACATCCAATGAAGCATTTACAAAAATCGCATGAACGCCACCCATGAGGGGTGTCGCACAAAACCAAGAACAAGGACCACTTCTTGAATAGTGTTGCTATTTCGAATTTGAACCATTACTCGGTATCCAGTCATGAAGTTCTTGCACCTAACGCCGTTTCGATGCACCTACAGTCGCCCAAAACAATGGAACACTCGTGTACGCCGAATCTAGTCATCCCAGACAGCAGCCTTTGCTCGTTCGGCATCTTCTTTCGCTCTCACAGCGGCTTCTTTCTCCTGATTCCGCCGTTTCATCTCTTTCTCCTTTATGGCTTTGTCATAGGCTTTCTGCTCCTCGGTCTTCTTCGGAGCCTTCACACCCAAAGCACCAGCGATCATCCTCTTTGCAACCGCATCAGTCTTCTCTGGCCTCGAACTGGGTCGTTCACTTCTTGCTTCGGCCACCCCATCAATGCCACCGTATCCGTACGGGTTCACAAATGTAGTATCGCGGGCAAATGATGTAGATGGGGAGATCGGGGTAGGCGGCGGGGCAGAGGGGTAATCTGCAGATTGCTGTTGGGAGAGGGGTCGATCCGTATCATTTCCCGAGTCGTCGAGTTCTTCGTCGTCCCAGGACTCCGAAACGGGCGGCTTTTTCTTGAAGGAGCTCGAGGGCTTAGACGGATGGGGATTTATGGACAGTTTGTTCAGAGACGATTCGAGTGCTGGGAGGGTCAGTAAGAGAATAGCTGGCTCTAGGGCTTTGCAAACCCTTAGGTTCCGCCATGTTGATAGCTTGGTGGGTTGGTATGTACAGTTCTCAATTACTTCAGGTGAGGCTATTTGGTATGAACTATTCTCTGCAGCTACGGCGATGACAGTCTTCGGTGGATAGAGCAGAGCAGAGCAGGTCTTGAGGTCGAGGTCGAGGTCGAGGAGGGCTTCGAGTTCGCCCAGCAAGGTCGCATGCACCTTGACACAGATTGCGGAGTAGATGTGGGGGGATCACGCGTGGCAAGCGCTGGCACTGACACTGACTGAGGTGCTTCGTCGTGAATCGCCCAGGGCAGAGCAGCTCAGCCGTTGCGATTGCGATTGCAGTGCATGGACTGGTCTGGCTTACGGCTAGAGGCCGGACGAGGTAGGCCCTGGCACTTGGCACCTGGCACCTGGCAGTTGGCAGTTGTTGATGTCTGTCAGTACGAGCAACCCGAGTCCAAAATGTTGTCCTTCTCTTTCTGTACTGGTATAATAGCATCATGGGCGAAGCCCGAATGTCCCGCCCTGTGAGATCTGCCGGTGGGGTTGCTAAACTAAGGTACCGAAAAACAGCTCCAGATTTGCCAACATTGAACCAGAACCAGACTACCTGAAGTAAAATAGGGTTACCTGTAGGTCTTACATTCAGGTTCGAGGTTGCAGGTGTTCAAGGCTCTTGTTCCCCGCAAAAACACGTGAAGAAACACCTGCGGATCCCCTCTTCACAGTGCCTAGGTAGGTGGGTAAGTTACCTACCTTAGGTATCTAGCTGTCTAGGTACCTACCTCCTACCTATCTATTCCCGGTTACCCATGTTCCGACGGCCGGGCGGCCGAGGTCAATCTTTTTCGCCTTCCTACAGTGTTAGATCACTGTTTGGTTCTTCGTATCTCGGGTTTAGATTCTCAAGATATCAGAAATTTGTTTGTTTGTCCAGGTACTTACTTCCGTCTCCATAATCATGATTCGACAGCACCTTGTGCGGGGTAGTCGGGTGACGAGGAGGCATGGTTCTTTCAGTACTTCGTCCTGCCACCTATCTTATCAGGATACCATTTCCAATTTGAAGATTGGAGAGCATACGCGAGTTATTTTCCAGGGCTTCACTGGTACGTCTCACAGGTTGTTCGGCGAATTTTGACTCTGATTGGGCTCATTGTGGCTGCAGGGAAACAAGTATGTTTTTTACTTCCAAGCTTCACAGACGTAACTTGTGTTAACTGAAGCTGGGCAGGCGACAGCGAACGCCCAAGAGTCAATAGCGTGGGGAACCAACATCGTAGGAGGCGTTACGCCGAAGAAAAATGGAGAGCATCTTGGACTTCCAGTGCTTCCTTCTGTTAGGGAGGTGGGCTTTCTCTTATACTACCTCACTCCTATAGCTAAGCCACGAAATACAGGCCATGGAGAAGCTAAAGCCAGATGCAACCGGTATATACGTAGCAGCTCATCAAGCACCTGCTGCCATTGAAGAAGCAATTGAAGCAGAAGTTCCTCTCATTGTTGCTGTAGCAGAACACATCCCGATCCACGATATCATGCGGGTAAGTTCTGAGCATTTGGGCTTGCTCATACAGCTAACGAAGGTTTCTAGATACACTCAGTATTGAAGACTCAATCAAGATCAAGATTTGTTGGTGCCAATGCTCCAGGCATTATATCTGCAATTGGGAAGTGCAGAATCGGGTTCCAACCTCTCCCGTGTTTTATGCCTGGCCGTGTCGGAATTGTTGCAAAGTCTGGAACTTTGAGTTATGAGGGTGGGTTTCAAACCTGGAGAGGGAATGCCGTTACTGATATTCGACAGCTGTTGCATCGACCACTAGAGCAGGACTTGGTCAGAGTCTGTGCATTGGTATGGGTGGTGATGTTCTTGCCGGTACAAACTTTGTTGATGCTCTAAAAGTATTTGAGCATGATGACGATACTGAAGGTATCATTTTGATTGGTGAAATTGGTGGAGAGGCGGAGTTGCAAGCAGCAGAATGGATTAAGGAGTACAAGAAGCGCTCGTCAAATCCAAAGTATGTGCAAAATCATCATTATGAGGAAGAAGCATCTAACTCCATCGCCTTAGACCAATATCAGCAGTCATTGGGGGCATTCATGCTGCTCCTGGAAGAGTGATGGGCCATGCTGGAGCCTTTACTTTACCCGGAGAACCTGATGCGTCGACAAAAATAAAGTTTCTCGAGGACGCCGGAGTGACCGTCGTCAATCATCCAGAGAAGCTGGGAAGTGCAATGACAAGGCTGCTTGGCAGCTCTGGGCGAGTTAGTAGTGGTGCAGCAATTTCAAGTTCTTTTCAAAAGAGAGGCATGCACATGTTGAGAAGAGCACGGCCAACCTCAAGATCAGCTCCGGGTTCTGCAAACGTAGTACAGAAAAGGGATCTGTACATCCGAGAGGAACTTGCGCAGGACTTGCTTAGAGAACGGGGGTTCAATGCCTCGGAGTACTCTGGTAAAGGTGCGAAACGACTCCTTGCCGTTGGCGTGGACAGGAAGAACATGTCTCCCTGCATCATTGCCTCACCCGCAAGCGATCCAACAAACCCTCATGCTGAAGCCAAGAAGTTCCCATTCGACTATCGAAGAGGGATTGGCGCCAGCCAAATTCAGGAGATCGCTAATCATATTCATTTAAGCGAGTCGTCTAAGGAGTCACTCCCGAAGCTAGTCAACGGTCTCATCGACCTCTACATGGAGAAGGAAGCATTTCTACTGGAGGCCATGCTCGTGGAACGTCTAGGTGACCTGAAGATTGTTGGCGCAAATTTTGGATTTGACGATGCCGCTTTCCGAAGCACGAAGCGGCAAGCTGACATCCATGCTCTCCGTCGAGTCGAGGACGAGGATGCACAAGAAGTCGAGGCTGAGAAAGATGGTATCGTGTACATTAAGCTAGCAGGCAGCGGCAATATCGGAACCTTAGTCAACGGAGCTGGCTTGGCCATGAACACCGTAGATGCTCTGGCGGATGCTGGAGGAAAAGCAGCAAATTTCCTGGATACGGGTGGAAAGGCAACGAGTGAGACTGTCAAGAAAAGCTTCCAAATCATCTTGCAAGATGAGAGAGTGAAGGTGATTTTCGTCAACATTTTTGGTGGATTGACTTTAGGCGATATGATTGCCAATGGGATTCTTCTAGCTTTCAAGGAGTTGGAGATGAGATTGCCTGTTGTGGTGAGAATCCGAGGTACTAATGAGGAGGATGGACAGAAGATTGTGAGTAAACAGGAGACTGTCAACCGAGTGTATTGAATGCCTGCTAATGTGATACACAGATTGCGGAGAGTGGATTGCCTCTGCATGCATTCGATGACTTCCAGGAAGCTGCAGCAAAGGCCATTGAGCTTGCAAAAAAATAGGGGGCATGAGGCGCTTGTGAAAACTCATGTCTTGAGCGGGTTTGTAACATTTCGGCGTTACTGTACCTTGGCTTTCACAGTTTTTGTTGTACATAGTCGCATGCCTGGTGTTGTATTTGTCCGTGCGTCCGTTGTTTACTCGCTCAAAGCGAACTTACCTCCGTAGTGCTCAAGATTGAATATAAGTGAACCCCCAAGGCAACCACGAAGTAAGGAGTACGTACCACAACGACATACACCATGTCTGTGCAAGGGCAACCTTCCCTTCCCTTCCCTTCCCTTCCCTTCCCTTCCCTTCCCCTCCCCTCCCCAGAACAGTCTCACTCGAAGCAGTAACCCAAAGTTAAGGCTCGAATTGGCTTGGAATGGTGGAATAGGGAGGTATGTACGAGTGAGTAGGTATGGATGGGCTCTAGCTCTCGCTAAGGTACCTCCTATCTGGGAGCCTGGTAAGGTGTCTGGGTGTACTCGTAAGGTAGCGGTAGGTAATTTACTGGTACCTACCTATATTATGGACCCCGCTTCCTCCCCACTACCTTACTACTGTACCTACTACCTAAGGTAGCCGAGGGGAATTGACATAGGGAGGGGCAGATGCAAATGCTAATGCAAATGCCTCACGACGTCATCTAAAGACGAGAATTTCACGAACTCGCGCAGCAGTCCAGAAGAAGTCAAGCATTGAATCGAATCGGGATGGGAAGACATTGCATTTCAGCAGCACGTCAGTGCTTGGCTTGACAAATAGATAGTGATGATGAAGATGGTGGTTTTCGCTCTGGCTGCCAATAGGACCGACCAGCTAACTTACCAGTTGGAGGTCTTAACTGCAATTGTTGTGCCGTTGAAGTATAACTTAAGTACTCTCTCTACTATCCTTGGAACTATCTAGGAAGCCTGGAGCGTCCAGGACTTTTCTTCATCGCTGACAGACACAACACAACACAACACAACACAACACAACAGACAAAGCCCACGAAGAATTTATTACGAGTATTGACATTGACATTGACATTGACATCGAACGAATAAGCTGCCGTGCGAAGGCGCTACGCCGCGCCACGCCACGCAGTCTTGTCTGGCTCAAGCAACGAAGTGCCAAGAGATTACCGTAGCCCGGTGGCACGGCGATGAGGTCAGGCATCGGATGGCTTGTCGAGCTTGTCCAAGCCTCCAAACCAAGGAGCTACCGTCCTGTACAATACTGCACTGCACTGCACTGTACAGTCTTGTTGTACAGTAGGTTGTGAGCGTGCATCTGCAGCCTTCGGGTATTTGTACCTGTCGTTGCTTGTATTGTTTGTGCTTGCTACGAAACCGTCGTCGCCAATTGCAAGTGCCTGCCACAGTGCCTTCAGGCTTGCTCGCGTGAGGAATAATGCAGAACATGGATGTCAATGTAAATCAGATGTATGCCAGAGGCAGAACAGGTAAGGTAATGGAAGGTAAGGTAGTGTGGATGGAGTTTCTTCGGGACCGCCCCGCCGCGAAATTCCTGCAGACGTCGAGTAGGTAGGTAGATGTATCTTCCCTTCGAATTCCCCTTATCCTTACCTTACCTATCGAGTATACCGTACCGTGCCGATCTGAGCAAGCTATCGATGCTCACTTGCCTTTACCCTGTCGTAGAGGGTCGCCATCGCAGCGCCAGCATGGCTCTTGATAGGTGCGTCGTGCAGAGCAGCCTTTCCATTGGGTATAAGTATCCCAGGAGCCCAGCTATAGCTAGCTGCTCGCTCTTGCATGTCGAGATGATGAACCCTTCCAAGGACAGGATAAGCATGGGACCTGGTGGACCTTGTTAAAGCTTCTCGCTCCCAATTCACCTTCACTTTTCATCGAGGAACTTGTCCCCATTGTCGTTATCACCAGTTGACTCTTCACTCAATATCCAACAAGCTACAGTAATCCCCCGGCCCAGGTCTAAGCGAAACATCCTCGACGCCTCTAATTGTGTTGAACACCTCGCATCGAACACTGATTCGCAGTACATGCAGTCGAGAGGCCCTGTCACGTCTTATCCGCTTCCCTATCTTCCCATCATCCATTTCCCATCACGAAGATGGCGCTGAGACAGCAAGATGAGTCGTACGCGGCTTTGCAGAACCCAAATAACGAAAAAGATAAATCCCAAGATGCCAAGGGCGATTCCGGCAGTGGCGACCTCGAATCGAATGAGGCCAAGAGGAGAAGTGCTGTTGCAAATAAGACCACTGGGAATCGAATCGCTCCAGTGTTGCCACACTTGATGGGATACGATTTTGGAGATGATTCCAGCATTGAGGGCTCGGATATCTTGGGCAAGCAGATCGAGCTTGAGGCTGACAACGCGATTCAATACAGGACTTGTAGCTGGCAGAAGGTAAGATTTACTTTGCACAGTGGTTGCTATTCAAGTGGCTATTTAGAGGTGTATTTCCTGTCCAGCCTCTTGGATCGTATTGACGTCAACATTTACTGGTTCTTCACGCACCAGCCCATGATCCCATGATCTCATTTCATCAGCCTTGGACAAACGCTATCGTTCTTCTTGCTAACTTTAAAACAGACTGCTGCCTTGCTCTTCTCAGAGTACATCTGTCTGGCTATCATGTCCTTCCCCTGGTCTTATCACATCCTGGGTCTCGTTCCTGGCCTTATATTGACAGTCTTAGTCGCGGCTGTGGTTCTGTACACTTCTCTGGTCCTCTGGAGATTTTGTTTAATTCATCCTGGTGAGTATTTACTCTCGAGTAACTCATCGACTTCCATAATCCCTTAGCTAGAGCCTTTTGCGATTGTCAATAGCTTTACCATATGGTGTTCGAACATGAGCTAATACCGATGAAAGAAGTTAGAGATGTTTGTGACATTGGGCAAATGCTATTTTGGGGCAAGACCTGGGCATGGTATGCAACTGCCGTCATGTTCCTTCTCAACAACTGCTTCATTCAGGTAAGCTGGAATCGAACCAACTGTAGATTCACAAACTTACGATGCCAGGGCTTGCATGTCTTGGTAACCGCCAAGTACTTGAACACTATCACCAATCACAGCCAATGTACTATCGTTTTTTCAGTTATTGCCGCTCTGATCTCGTGGTTCTGCTCTCTCCCGAGAACATTCAGCGCTCTTTCTAAGCTGGCAACTGTGTCTGCGTTTTTCACATTCGTCTCCGTTCTTCTTGCTGCCATCTTTGCTGGGATCGAAGCACATCCAGCTGGCTACAATCCAGACCCCAATTTCGTGGATTCAGTAACCGGAATGACAGGGGGAGAACCAATTGTTACTGCCTTTCCAGTTGCAGGAACAACATTTGTCTTGGGGATGAGTGCCTTTCTCAACATCAGCTATACATTCATAGGCCAAATCACTCTTCCCAGTTTCATCGCGGAGATGAAGAACCCAAAGGACTTTCCAAAAGCTCTTTGGGCTGTGACTATCGCAGAAGTGGTCGTGTTCGGCTGCGTGGGTGCCGTCATCTATGCCTTCACCGGAAACCAATACATGACTTCTCCAGCTTTCGGCTCCATAGGGAATGATGTTTACAAGAAGATTTCTTTCAGCTTGATGATACCCACTCTGATATTTCTCGGTGTTCTTTATGCTTCGGTCTCCGCACGCTTCATCTTCTTTCGAATCTTTGAAGGGACCAGGCACAAAAGCAATCACACGGTTTTGGGTTGGTCTGTTTGGGGAGGTATTCTTGCAGGAACTTGGCTTATAGCGTTCATCATTGTAAGTCGGCTCCCTTCAGACGAAACGGCGTGAGCTAATTCATGTTCTAGGCGGAAGTCATACCCTTCTTCAGTGACCTACTTTCTCTTATGTCATCCCTCTTTGATTCTTTTTTCGGCTTCATCTTCTGGGGTGTTGCCTACATTCGAATGAAGAGAGCCGATGGAGGTGTCCAATGGATTCGTGAGCAGTCTTCAATGGGGTATCTTGAGCTTGGATTGAATGTCTTCATAATCATCATTGGACTCTTTTTCCTGGGAGCTGGTACCTACACTAGCGTGGAAAGCATTATCGATAGTTATGCTGCTGGAGCAGTGTCGGGTGTTTTTACTTGTGCAAGTAACGGCCTCTAGGATATATCAAGCTGGTTGTGGAAGCATCATTAGGAGTGTTGGAAACATGTGTACACAAACCCCCGTGTTGGCATGATGCTGGCACAAACCAGACCCAGACTCTAGGTCACAAGTCTGCCATTGACGCAGACTTCGTTTCTATCGAAAACTAGAAAATTAAGTGATTGATGATGGATGGTACATGTTATTGGAAACTCCAAAAACTTGATCTATGGCCATTCGGACGATTTCACGAAAATTGAGCATCCTGCGGACGTACCGGATTTAATTTAACCTGTGAGTAATGAACCGGTTTGGTTGGTATCATTAAATTCTTTCATCAGTCTATGATTTAGTTTCCAGAAAGGTTCCAGCTCAGACAACTGAAGCCAATGACTCAATATCCCCCAAATGCAGAACCCAGCACTGTACAATGCTGAAGAAATCTAGGAGCAAAGCTCAATCATCCACTGATACGCGACCAGAATCCCCTTCTCCTCCAAAAGGTAGGCAATAACAAAACTCCAATGTCCAAATATATATACTATCCAAGTGCCATGCCGTCTGAAGACATCTAAGGGTCATACTTCGTCATTTCCTCGCAATGTATTTGAGGCAAGCCTTCAATGTGGTCCCAATACTCCCAACCCTTCATCGACCAACTCTTCGTCTTCTCCTCAAACTGCTCCCTACTCTTTAACGTATAATGATGCAATGCAATCCGATCTCTTGTGATCGGCTGCCTGATCCCATCTCCATCTTCGATTTTATCGCCATGCTCGCCCACGGTACGTGTCCCATTCTTTGTCTTGAACATATGCGGGCTCAGGGGCTTCTCGTACAGGGCTGTTCTGACAATCGATTTAATGAGTCGATTGTCTTTGTAGTCGGGGAGTTGGTCAAGTGGCAGGACTTCCGGGTCTCCCACACAGCTCGTAAAGCCCTTGCGCATCGAATCCGGCCTCTTCGTGAGGTTCGCAGACGAATGCAAGCGCCAGTTCACCCCCAAGGCTCCAACCTCCTCCTGCTCCCCGAATTCGCGTAAGATAGAAGTAAGAGTCTCGCCCTCCTTACGGGCTTCGAAAAACTCATCCGCATCTACAAATGCCATCCATGTATGCTGCGATCCGTACAACCTCACACACTCGCTGTAAATGTGGGTTTGCATCACTTTGTCTTTATGTTGTGCTTGCTTATCGTAATATTGGAACGAGAGCATCGACCGTGGGACGCCCCAGTCCTCGACAAAACTCGAGAGGGGTGGACTGGACTGGTCATCCATGATGTAGAATCTGCGTATGCCATGATGATGGTAATGATGTTTGAAAAACTCGGCAAGGTCACTGCGTTGATTGCGATGCGCGACGCAGAAGGCTACGTATTCGTCCTCTGGGGCGGCTGATCCTGATGGGCTCGGCGGCGACGAGAATACTGGTACTGACTTTCCACTGCCAAAAGTCGTCGAGTCGTTGGTTGCATATATGAAGTAGAGAATGGCGAGCAGAGCTGCAACGAGACAGATCTGGATCTTCCTAAGATGCGAGAGGTTCTGAAACGACATGGCTCGAATTGCTTACGCTGCGCGGTGCAGCAAAAATGTGTGGGCTTAAAATACAGAACTGGTCGCATGCTCATACCTCGCTCGCAGTGCGATACAATGCAGCTGTTCCAGGACGCCCGAGAACAGATGAGAAGAGCAGGAGCAGGCAGCTCAGAGTACAAACGAACCTGGTGACACCAAACTAGAGATGAGAGGAGAGGAGAGGAGAGGAGAGGGGATCGCTGCATATGCTGATCATTAGGAAGGTTGCCCACGATTCGGCGCTGAGCACAGGACTGTGAGTCTGTGACTGATGGGATGGTGAAGGCTGGTCGGACCGGTGAAGCTTAATTCAAGAGGCGCTCTGGTGCTGCAGGGGCACGGGGGCACGGGGGCACGGGGGCACACCACACCTTCCGAAGTCGACACCCGAGACATCTTATTATTTGAACAGGCACAAGCACAAGCGAATCTCTACCTTACGGCTTACCTTCTTACCCTTACCATGGATGTCAACAGCACTGCATTTGAAAACCCTACATGAGTTGGGCAGGTAGACTCTCACGAATATCAGTCTCCCAAAGGATCGCCTCCACACAGTTGCTCTTGAGGTAGTAATGTACTTGATCCTACAATATCACTGGACCAGTGTCTTGTTGCACTCGTGGCGGAGGACATCTGCCAGCCAAGCCTTGTCAGTCAGGGGTTGCAGGAGAGCGGACTCAGCGGAGCGGACCCATCATTTGCAGGGAGACTGCAGGTGGTCAAAGTTGAGATGAAGCTCCAATTTTTCAGGGGCCAGGCCTTAAAAGGGGTCTGCCTCGGCCACGTGTGTGCAGGTGGCCCTCTCATTCAAATACTCGTCTAGGGAGACAGTCGACGAGTGCCCTAATCGTAGGATCCTCTGGCTCTGGTACCACGATCATGCCAAGTCCAGGAATCATATAAAGGAGTGGTCTGTCATCTTCTGTTTCCATATTCCATGCAGTTGCGACGCTAATTGCGTCTTCTAAATGGACGGCAGCATTTAGGCTTCCGGACCATCGCGACATAAATTCAAATACGAAGTTCTTGTTGTGGTTTTGTGGAAGCTCTCTTCATTGAATGGAAACTCAAATGAGATCTACTGAAAAGAGAGCTTCTTGTCCCAGCTATCCGTCTTTTTGGAGTTCAGGGGCTCGCTTGTCATTAAGCGAGCCATGGATCCTGTCTCGTCACTACTATTGTTTATTTACATAACGATGTTACATACCACTCTCCGAACCCAGCAGAATAAAGCAAGGAGAGTTGATGGCAGAGCCCAATCCGATTGGTCCTTACTTAATCCTATGCTATGCTCACCTGTGCTTCCGCTGGAGTTTGCTCTTGTGTACTTGTCTTCTCTGGTCATCCTTGTGTTCCTACTTACTGCTTATCCCCTTGACTTAGATACGCATATTATTTTTACTGTTTTATCGAAGGCGAACGCTATTAGAATTTAACTGTTTAATACATAGTAATGTACTTTCTTGTACTTAGAACTTTATTAGGGTGTCTTGAGCTACTTTGCTATATCATTCCTCCATCTCATCGCTTCGCTTATTTGAAACCTTTCCCGTCATCGATCCCAAACTCTAAAATACAGAACTTTAGATGAAAACATGTGTCGCATAACCCTCTTTTATGCAGCTACATAGAAGGAATTTTCCCTCGGACATTTTTCATCAACCTTGACTCGATATCACAGGGGAAATTGTTTGAAAATCTGGGCTCTGGGTGACCTCCTCCTCAGATATTACGTTGAAACCCTTCAAAATCATATCGTTGAATTCGATTGTTACGAAATCAGAGGTTGATTCTTCTCCATCACACCACTTTGCTAGACCTTGGGAAGTAACATCTACCTAGCGATGGCATATTTCATCCACGCCATAACATGTTTGATGTGAAAACCCCGGGATTGCAGCCTACCCTTCTTTTGTATTCACTGTCTTGAAACCGTCAACCTATACGGGTTTTTACAAACTTGACACATATTTCGTATGTGTAATTGCTTATTGATCATCAGCTACGCGTGATTATCTCCCTCTTCTGTCGAAATCCTATCTTCCGCAAGCTGTATTGCGAAGACAAACCATTTCAAACCCAGTTTTCCCCCCTCTGCGATAGATCGATCGACTGAAGTGCTTGGAGACTTTTTTTCGTAGTGCTCTCAATGGCTGCTTGAATAAAAATTCCGGGCTTCTCTCGTCCAGCCTTTGAACTTTTTGGCGAATGCTCAAAGTATGCCATGAACCATCTCGGTTTCTACTCGCTGTGAGCTGTCTGAAATATTCTCCCTACAGCTTATTCCGGCTTACCATCCACCTTCTCATTATTTTGACCTTCTTCAAGGTGCCAAATTTACTTTCATCCCATTCTTGCCTTTCGTCGCCATCTGTGGCATCCATATATGCGTATCATTGAATGAGAAATGAAATTCAAAAGTTCTTCTTGAATCTGCTACGAGGCTAGCTCAATTCCAGTTGCAAACTTTGCACTATGGATGATACCTTAATTTGATGACGAAAAGCCTGGAATATTTTTCCATTTTCTTTTACTTCTCTGCCAATGTCTCGTTTTATTTCCACATTACTGTCAAAATTATTCTGGGATGATTGATGGCAGCGCTGTCAGTGTAACGGGCTTTGTGAATCAATCCTCTATTGGAACTCATCCATGGGTCTCAGTATCGCCCTTGACTTCACTGTAGGTGGATTGCTCGCTCGCGTCAAATGTGCCTTTATTTAGAGGGAATCCCTCGCTAGTGTAGATTCTGATCAAGTACCAGGAGTTCTGATCGTTTTGTGACTGGATTAGGAGGTGGAAGCTGCAGACTTCCTTGATTAAGATGTCTTCGCTGGTTGTTTGTTCAGTTTCGGGGTATGAGTATCTTCATCTGCAATGTACCTGGATCTACTTCAGAGGCCGAGGTAGATAACTTTCATTGATTCTGCGGCATTTTGGGTACGGGGGGAGGTCATTCGTTCACCTTCCGTCGTTGGAGGTTTTGGTTCACTGTTGTTTTTCGCAGGAGAAGTAGTATCCCTGCTCCTTCATTTGCCCATATGTTGCATGATGTCTATAATATGCGTGAAGCTTCTAGTGGGCGAAGACTTGAAGTGGTCTTTGAGGATAAATGCAAAGATGAAGAAGAATGATTCCATGGAGGTATCTGGTAGTGGACCAAGCGAGACACTGGCGCTAAAGGTGAATGGCTTCACCCCATAAGCAACCCACACTCTATGCAGAAACCTTGGGCACTTGATGTAGTTCTGGAAATGGTGACGAAACGAGAAACAATATTCAAACCAGTCATTGTCCGCGACCTGGAGTGTTAATGCGACCATTGCGAACGTTCTGAAGACGATGAGTGGATCGACGAGGTTTTAGTTGCTGGTCTGGATAAAGGGTTCTGCTGTGACTCTATGAAGAGGAGACTCAGTCGCCAGAAATGTAGAGATATCCTGTGAGTTTTGCAACCTACTATGTCAAACCTTCATTTGGCTATTATGGCCATATCCTCCAAAGATGCTCCACGATGACCACCAACGAAACTGGTACGGGTGCGAATAGAAGACAAATTACCTGCAATCGGGATCTCCCTGCATGATACTCTGGGTATCTTGAAATTGGGCTTGAATAGAAGCTGTACAGCAGCTGAATCGCGTAGGGGCCAGAAGTGATGTCGGTCCAACGCTGTTCAAGGACTTGCGTGCTTGGTTGAGACGGGCCCGAAGCAGACTCTACCATCCCTCCCACCGGTAAGGAGGAAAGCAGAAATAGAGCTCTAGACTAAAACGATATCTAAGTGGTCGAGTTCATCGCAGTGACAATTTGACTTGTTGGTGTTTCCCATTGGCACCAGGCAATTTTAAAATACACGAACACAGATTGCTCAGGCTAGATTTTGATCCAGCTCCACTTTTAAGCCTGTTCACTTGCAAATGGGCTTCCTCCTCCTCCAATTAGTAGATTTTGGCAGGGTACAAGCGTTCCCAAGAAATCTGCCGTTGACGGAATAATTATCTCCGCCTCGGAAAGCTTTACCCCGCACTCTCTGAAATGCAACAGAAAATTGATGATCTAAATGTACATATGTACCAAGATAATTTCGTAGTTTCGTTTCTTGAGGTCGCACCAGTCTCCCTCTGTATCCTGTCTTCATATCATGAAAATCTTCCTTGGTACTGCACTTTATTGTTGGTTGGGGTTTAGCGAGGCCAAGCCAAAACAACCCTCGGCAGCATTCAAGTGGAATAATGTGAACTTTTTGTAAGTTGGTCAACTGACGTGGAGAGACATTATTTGACGTAGTCAGACTTGCTTTTGGCGACTCCTATACATATGTTCAAGGGACAGCCGGACGTCAGAATTACAGCTTCATTGGAGACGCCCAGAACTTTGCATATCCCCCGGAGACATTACTGACGGACAAAATTATTCAAAACCAGGTATGTATGATTGAGAGCTCTATACGAGGCAGCAGTAATAACGAAAAAGATTGGCACGTCAGCTGGTGGGCCCAACTGGGTGGAATATTTAACGGGTTGTTTCTCTGGCCTGCCCTCAAAATGCAGGAAGCAGCTGTGGGATTTCGCGTTCGCCGGATCTGATGTCGCCACAGAATTGTGAGATTCTGATCTCCCTTAAGTGTTATAGGAAACTCACAGCAATTCTAGGACTCCGCTCCATCACAATTACACTGTGTCTTTCGAAGAACAGGTTGTTCAGTGGGCTACCTATGCCAAGCCAGTACTGCCGGTGAAATTCTCCAAAGCTCTCGTGGCTATCTGGATTGGGATAAATGACATCAACGACTCTGCAAAATACACTTTTCCTCGCAACAATGCTACTGATTTCCCGTCATTTTATGGCAAAATCATGGAAGCTGAGTTTAATGCCATCGAGGCCATATTTCATGCGGGATATCGGAATTTCTTGTTTATGAACCTTCCCCCACTGGAAAGAACCGTGCGTATCCATTGATCATCCTCAAAATACCAATTACTCCTTTTCTAACTTCTCTGCTAGCCTGGTAATCAAGTCAGTGCCAACCCACTTCCTAGCAGTATCATGGTGCATCAATACAATAGTGCTATCTCCTCGGCTGCCACCGAGTTCGCTACATCGCATCCTGGTGCAAAAGCAATGGTTTTCGATACGTATTCGTACCTGTCCAGCATTTTGGATAATCCGTCCAAGTATGGAATCAAAAACACGACTTCGTACTGTCCAAGGTACAATGCACCAGATATCGATACGAATTATGCTGCATATGGATGCTTGCCCATCGAAGAATATTTTTGGTATAACTCTGGGCACATTACCTGGCCTATCCACAAGCTTCTCGCGAAGGCCGTTGCGAGATTTCTCGCAAAAGAGAGCTGCTAAGTGAAGTCCAGCTAGTGAAGAACATAGGCACGAAAGTAGCCACAGTTAATATATACTTTCTATCCTATAGAGTATTTACTAGTATGAAGCAATATGAAAAAACATGCGATCCATGAGTCATATCCGTCGAATATAATCATGGCACTGAAGATATAAGCACAGCTGCCAGTCCACCTCAGTATCTATTCTCCAGCAAAGCGGCACTTCACTGCCTAAACAATAACCCTGGCATCGTTCACCTCGCGCGTAAATTCGGATATCTTTGCATCACCAGTATTCACCTCACCAGATCTTTCGGTCAACATGATTTCTGCGTCGCCGGCAGGTCGCTGTCTCACACCCTTCGGAACAGTGAAGATCTCTCCTTGGTATGACACCACGACTTCGTTGCCCTCCTTTCCGTCGACTTTGGTCGTGAGCGATCCGCTGAGAATGTAGAAGAACTCGTCTGTGTCCGGATGGGAGTGCCAAACGAAGTCGCCTTTCGTTCGGGCGATTTTGGTGTCATATTCGTAGTTGACGGTTGCAACGATATTGGGGGAGTATTTCTCTGTGATCTTGGAGAGGACCACGGGTATGGATAGTTTTGACTGCAATTTTTGATTATGTCTCAGCTATGTCGAATCGAATGCTTTTGAGGGAGGACCCCATATTCCTGGATGCTGGTACTGGATATTAGCACTGTTTTGGCATGATTCAAGGAGATCATACGGAACGCGAGCGAAAGAGGATACTTGCACCGTCGATTAGACATAGTAGCAATCTAGAATAAGGCGTCTCTGTGTGAACTTCCGAGGGGAATTTGTTTGTGTTCGTCCGTTCTGAACTTCGAAAGCAAATTATGCAAGGGAACTGACCTTGAAGCTGACATTACGGCATCCGCCCTGCACTTGACACGTAGAGTGCGACTTGAACAGACCTTGACTTAGCCACGAGACTACAGTCACAAAAAGAATCGTTCTATAGTGGGGTTAAGTTTGAAGGAGGTCTATCGCTCGCATGTGTCAATTGTGTATTGCTATTCCACGCCCATACCTACGTGGGGATATTTCGCTTGTCATCCACCTGGCCTCTCCTTACTCCAAAAGCCCTCGACACTACGTTGATAAATCTGCTATTCTGAACTTCTATTTGGCCAAAACAAATGAGAAAGTGTGGATGACTGCATAGCTCATGTTTTTCGTGCTGTTTGTGCCGGGAGGGATGAGAGATACTGTAAAGATCCCTAAGTCTTCACCAAGCGTGAAGGAGCGCGTCAGCTTGTGGATACTTTTTTTCACCTCCTTGGTGTAATGTCCCACCATCCCCTATGTGTCAGTGATCACTACTGATTGGATACAAAACCCAATATCCCCTCTGAGTAAGAGAAGTTCCTCTTGAACTATACAAAATTTCGACGGACCTTCTACCGCAGTGGCCGCAAATAGGGGAGACAACACCTTGACCTGGTGTGAGTAAGTTCAGCTTCGCCATGACACCCAGTGGTACACAATTGATTACCATCACATCATCCGTGGCAACTTTTTCTGGCAGCACTGACATACATCAGATAGGAAAGCCATACTCATCAAGGCTTCGTTGCAACACCTATGCAAAATCACAGCCGCAGCTTCCGACACTACATAGCGAATCATGTCAGAAGGGAAGACCAATCTTCGCAAGGCAATGTTATCAGAAATAGGGATATGGTTGAAGTCGTTCTGCCAGAGCTTGAGGAGGATCGACCAGGGAATTGACCTTGCTGGGTAGCATCTAGGCTGCCCGTGGAGCGGAGAAACTACACCTCTACCATTAGACCATGCCTATCTGGATATAGCACTATTTTTCTGGCCAGCTATGAACGACACTTTGGGCGGTACAGATCACCAATGGCATACGCTTCGTATGAAATATGCAAGTGGAGTAAGCAGGTTAGTTTCGCTGCTGACGGAGCACATGCATATGACGAGCTCGCCCTCCGGCGGCGCCGAGTAGATTATCATACCGTATGAAAATGACGAGTGGCTGCGAGTGATCACTGTCATCTTGCAGCGTGATTGATAAATGCCAGAAAGAGCAGTGTAGCCTGAGGTTCCAGGTCTCGGTACATTTACAGTAAATTTCTATATAGCTTCAAAGCATCCGCAAGCTCCCGTAAATAGCCAGCAACGAAGACCACTCTTTACCAACATCTTCAATTCTTACCACGATAATGAGTAACCCAGCAATACAAGAATTCGGCTGGACGGCTGTACCGCGCAGAATGTCTACACTTCTTAAACAATCGCAAAGATCTGCTCAAGCTCCACAGCCAATTTCAGTTTCGTCAGTTTCGCTTCCAAACTCACATTTGGCAAAGGCAGTCCATGACTTCGCAAAGACAGAGCTGTCTACCGAGACATACAATCACAGTATGCGAGTATTCTACTATGGTAAGTGTCCTCAATTCACCTGACGAAAAGTTTATTAACAGCAGCAACCAAAATAGGACAAGCCATTGTTCGACAGGCATTTCCGGCTTGGTCAACTTCGAATTTCAATGAGACGTACTTTCTTACGTGCCTTCTTCACGACATCGGAACGACGGACAGGAATATTACTGCGACTCTAATGTCGTTCGAGTTTTATGGCGGTCTGATTGCTCTTGATCTTCTGAAGCATCTCTCCGCACCAATTGAGCAAGCTGAGAACGTGGTAGAGGCAGTTATTAGACACCAAGACTTAGGCGATACCGGAACAATTACCAGACTTGGAGCACTGATCCAGCTGGCCACTGTCTTTGATAATATGGGGATGAATCCAACGCTTGTCCATGAGGAAACCATCAGGAATGTCGTGACGGAGTTTCCAAGAAATAAATGGAGTTCTTGCTTTGCGAAGACGATTCGAAAGGAGAATTTTTTGAAGCCATGGGCGCATACAACCCACCTTGGCGAGAGTGAGTTTCCGTGTGGGGTTGAGAACAATCAGTTGATGGCTCCATATGACGATGCATGAGGAAGGGTTCCTTGCAAGAGAGGCGGCAACACGTGATTGGTTTGAGGAGACGGTCACCGAAATTCGGGCTGCTTGTAAGACTACAAAGTCGGGTTGATGCTAAAGAATGGCACTTGACTCCCAAAGTTGTCTGTGGCGGTATCGATATAGTCTATCAAGTGCTACACCTGGCGTAACCTAAAGTTCCAGATCCAAAAGGCCCCCGCTCGCAAAGAACAGATGCATAAGGGAGTCACAGGAAACACTCATATCTGCTTCTGCAACAGACCGGTGGGGACTATGAGATGTGAGGGCCCTGTTCTAGAGATATGCCTGGCAACGGCAGACGGCAACTAATAATCTCCAGCTGGCTGTGCCTTGGCGTACAAATACAAGTATAAATATAAAGACAACACAAATGATTACGCACACAGACACAAAAGTCAAAGAGACAGACCCGAATCACAAGGAGAAAGCAACACGCATCAGAGAGGAGGAGGAGAGAGAGAGAGAGAGAGAGAGAGAGAGAGAGAGAGAGAGAGAGAGAGAGAGAGAGAGTTCTCTAACCTAAATCTGGAAAGGTGTTGTACGTAAAGTAAGGCTCGAGGATACGTCCTATCTTGTCTTGGCCTGGGTCACCTCTCCTCGCTCTGCCTCAACCTCCACTGGGCCTCTCTATCTATCTCCTTATCATTGTCGCTTGGTTCTAGGGGAGTATCTAGGAAAGGTCCCTTCTTCATTGTGTTTCATTCCATTCACGGCTTTCCTGCAAAACAAAGAGTCTCTGCGGTCCTCTCAAGCCTTTCCAGCAGTGTCCTTCGCGTTCGGCTCGGTTCGGTTCACCCTCCCCGTCTGTTGCCCCAAGTCCCCAGAGTTCAACGGCATGGAGAACACTGGGAGACGCAAGAACCAAGCTTGTACCCAGTGTAGACAACAGAAGGTACGAGATTGCCTTGTCCTGCCCTTCCCCGTAGGATGGGGGTTTCCTGGTCTGACGACGTTCTACAATGTGCATGTCCAGTTACGCTGTGATGCTTCAGAGGATTATTCCCAACCATGCAGCCGCTGCCGCCGAAAAGATATCCACTGTGAAGTCAGCGAAAGCTTCTACCGAAGGAAGAAGCAGACGTAGATATCATGTGCCGCATAGCTGCCAACTGCCATTGCTCACAGTATTGTAGAAAAGCCATGCTTCAAACGGAAATCAACCGATTGAAAGAGCAGGTCCAAGGCTATGCTTCCGCCACGACATTTTCCAACGACCCCAGCAATTACATGACGCCTGGTCCTGATAAGAGTGTATTGAACCCAGAGTCTTCAGTATTGTCGCAACCTGTCCCGCCGGGACAAGGAGAGAGTCCTCTTACTCACTCACATGTATCACACTTCCAGCTGCAGAGTCCGCTATCACCTATCAAGCTACCGGAGACACAGCCACGATCACTGGATGGCAAGCTGATTGACTCGAAAACAATTGACGAGTGTTTTTCTTTGTAAGAATCAAGGCACTGGTAGCATACTGGTCACCTTCTATCGGTAACAGCTACCTGGTCCAACCACATGCTGACACTGTCAGGTTTGTCCGACACTACTCCTCCAATCTGACTGTTCTTGACGAGGTCTTGATACCAAATATGTGCTACGAGGAGTCTCCATTTCTGTTTTGGACAATCGTGACGACAGGCGCGAGAAAGTACCAGAACCCAACGATTTTGGAGCTCTTGGTTGGGCGTGTAGCAAGTCTTGCAATGTCTTCCTTGTTTCCTCACGAATATCCGCTTCAAACCATCATCGGGCTTCTTATCCTCTGCATGTGACCACCACCTGTTGAATCTGTAACGAAAGAACTCTCGCACATATTTGGGGACGCTGCTTTGCTTCTGGCGACTCAGAATGGCCTCCACACTTACGGCAATGGGCAGGATTTTCTCGAACACGACTGTTACCGAATGTAGAACAGCGTGAATTTCGATCTAGGTTGTGGTCTCACTGTCTCATCATATGTCAAAGGTAGCTTTCGAAAGCTGGAATTTTGACTACTGTGCTAAACGTCGCAGAACTAGTCTTTCTGATGGTCTGCCACCCTTCACTGTGTTTGATCACTTCGATTCGGACTCCGAAAGTGCTTCTGTCATCTCGAAGCTCCCTCCCAATCTACGTTTTCTGCGAGAGATCCATGACGTACAAATGGAAGCATTCAAGACACTTGTCCGGAATTTCTTGACGCCTCAAACCGCGAACGAGTGCTCCGCACTTCAATCATTAATTGAGATGTTTGACACTCGCGTCCTGGAGCACAGATCACAATGCTCCAACGAACTTGGTATGTGGTCCTGAACCTGTCTATACGGCTCGCAAGCTAAGATCATGGCATCAAGATGAATTTGCACTCGAGTGCGCGAGGTTGAATATACGCGCATTCCACTTTTTTGCTAAAGCCGAGCTCACTGAAGCCCTCGGATTTATTGAGCTGTATACACTGGCAAGATGTATTCTAGATCGCGCGACAGTCCTTGATAGAACCCAGGATTTTTCGCTACTGTAGTCAATACAGCATACGAATGACACTTTTAGCTGCTTGTGCCATCTTGAAAATATACCGAAGCAACCTTGTTCACCGCGTCGATCTAGTGGGCGGAGAATCGTCCTATTTCTCTGCCATTCACCTTTCGAAGAAGCGATCCTTACAGAACGGGGATGTGGACTCCAGATGTGCGCTCATTCTAACACAGCTCTGGTCCAGCAATTTGATATTCAAAAGGAGGGACGGGACAGAAGACAGCCTTCGCATGAGAACACGATGTAGACTGGTAAGCTCGAGCATTAAAATCATGAGATCCAAGTCCCGCTGATGAAGAGTAGTCTGTTGGTATTGTGTTCGAGTGCTTCTGGTGGTGGCGTGCAGAGTTTGATGGCAAACCGAATATATACTCCGAGGAAGGCGAGCCTCGATCTGCAGACACGGCTGTTTCGGAAACCATCCTCGACCCAAATTTGTCAGATATAGAGTTTTATTCAACAGGTTTTCCAGATTGGCAGTGGGCAGCTGGTCCTAATTTCCTAGCAGACTTCCCGGATGGCGTGGGATTCGGACTGGACAGTAGGACAGCAATACCCCCTTGATTTCCCAGTAGGCCCCTTTTCAAAACACAGTTATGAGAATCTGTCAATTCTTTATCGCCTGGTGTTACCTCGTGCACCATTGAAAACAGTTTCCTACCAGCGACAAGATTACTCCATTAATCGGCGGATCTTGGGCTCACCCACGACCTTCGATACCTCTTGTCCTCGGCTGCGGCGGTGACTACTCGGTAGACACTACATAGGCAGGCAGGTACCATTACAGAGGACAGATGATGACTTTGAATACAAGTCTCGTAAATCGGCAAACCGTGTTGTCCGGTGTCACGGCTCCACCAACCATATTCAGCAGCATGGCCGTTGGTGACAGCTCTTTGCGGCCTCTTTGCCCGACCTTTTAATCTATGGCAACCTCCTGAAATATTACATGTGCACCAACAGCGATTGCGGCTTTGATCGAAGACATCGTTGCATCATAACCTAACAATTGTAACGCGTCAGTTCGAGCAATAAACACGACATGATCTTCCAGCCTGCTCGGCTATTCACAACAGCTCTTTTCCGTTCACAAAGCTCTTTTCCGCGCTCCGGACGTTTCCGTGTCGACGTAATTCTCGTGATGAAGATGGCCGCAGCGCTTATTGACGAGTTGGCCTTCGAGATGGAGCGCTGTGATGCCGACTTACATGTGCGAGGACTACCCGGTTTACGAATATGTGCTATAAGAACTGATCACCCGATCATGAAGCGCCAAAATACACGATATAATACCATGCAACAATAATGGTTATACGAATCACTGTTTCTGTATTCAGGCTAGGTATAAGCATTCGTAATTATGCTCTCATTCACCACCACCGGCGGTTTCTCGATTCCATACCCTCCAAAATCGGTAAACACGTTTGATGATCTACGTCTTCACATCAGGCTCGGTTCGTCCAATGTGCTCCTGGAACTTCAAAAGGTCCGTAGAGAATTGGATATCCGGCTTCAGGAATTCCTGAGCATCCTGACCGTATGTCTTGGCGTCACTAGTATGCTTCTCGATGTACAAGCGAATTGTCGCGCCTGAGCTACCCGTCCCTGAGAGTCGAACAACAATTCGGGAGCCATCAGAGAATTTGACGTAAAGACCCTGGTTGGGAGAGACACTACCATCGAGATCGGTGTAAGAGAAGTCTCCAGCATCGGCAACTGTGCGGTCTGTGGTTTGTTAGCATTTGTTCCAGCAATTAAACACGACAGCACATACCGCCAATTTTTGAGCCGATGAACGACGTATCCTCAATCTTGGCAGTCAAATCTTTGACAACTTGGGCGGCACCCTCGCTGCTGACGTTCTCATAGTCGTATCTCGTGAAGAAAGTTCGACCATAAATGCTCCAGAAGTCATGCTGGATCTTGGAGATGCTTGGAGTAATTTCTGGGTTGGCCTCTCCAATACCAGCTATGATGTTTAGCCAGGCAACAACAGCCCAAAGTCCATCTTTCTCGCGTATATGGTTACTACCAGTTCCGAAAGACTCCTCACCACAAATTGACAGCTTGTCGGCGTCGAAAAGTGCGCAGAAAAATTTCCAACCGGTGGGAACCTCGTAGCAGTTCAATCCTTGAGCTTTGGCAACAAGATCAACGGCTCCTGAAGTTGGCATACTACGGGCTAAGCCGTAGACACCTTGCTTTTTGAAGTATGGAATGAGTTGAGCGTGGTGAGCAATGATTGCCAAGCTATCTCCAGGAGAAACAAATGCATTGGCACCGTAGATCATGTTACGATCTCCATCTCCATCGCTAGCAGCTCCAAAGTGAATCTTGCCCTTATCAACAGCCTCGACCAGCGAGTGAGCGTAGGTAAGGTTGGGATCTGGGTGGCCACCATTGAAATCTGGCGATGGAATGCAGTTTTGCGTGCTGGCACTGGACAATCCAAATTCCTGCTCGAAGATTGCCTTCCCGTATGGACCTGTAACCCCACTAAGAGCGTCGAATAGGACCTTGAAGTCGTTGTGTGATTCAAAGAATTTCTTGATCAAGGGAAAGTCAAAGATGCTCTTCAGCATCTCTGTATAATCCGCGCACGAGTCAATGATCTCCACCTCTAAAGGTCCGTATGTTGTCTTGCCAATGGTGTTGATATCAACATCTGGAATATCTGCGATCTTATATGATGTGAGGGTCTTCGACGTTGAGAAGATCTTATTCGTAACAGATTCGGGAGCTGGCCCACCGTTCGCAAGGTTGTACTTGATACCGAAATCATTCTTAGGACCTGGTTGGCATTTTAGCAGAGCTTCATCATCCAAATATGCGACTAGTTTACCTCCAGCATTGTGACTAGCAGTCAATAAGATACCACCAGTAGCTTTACGCTTACGAATGATATGACTGGCGGCAGGTGTGCTCAGAATACCGCCTTGTCCGATCAAAAGCTTTTTCACACCATAGGCAGCCCCAATCTTCGCGATCAATTGCACCACCTCAGGATTCCAGTATCGTCCATCACCACCAATGACCAGGAAGCTACCCTCGACACCTTCTGGGATGGATAACAGAATGCTAGTAACGAACGATTCGCTGTAGTGAGGTTGTTGGAAGACAACGACCTTTTTTCGCAGGCCTGATCTGCTTGGCTGTTAGCTATGAGGCGGGGTACGGGTATGGGCATGGGCATGGGCATGGGCATGGCAAGAGAGCGGGGGTGGGTTGCTTCTCACGTTCCAGGCTTTTGGTCCGTGAAGGACTTGAAGCTGACTTCCTGCACACTCATGTCTGTGTTGTGGATTGTATACACAGGATGAGGAATTGAGGGCAATCGGGTAATCGGGTGTGGTGGAATGGATGATGGAGAGGAGGAGGAGGGGGGAGGAGGGGGGGGGGGAGGGGAGGAGAAGCAGGTTGTGGGTGACCTAGCTCTAGGTAGTCGGTAGGGCGAACAAGGCTCTGGCGTTCGACAGAGGGAGGGGCAGCGCTGGGCGTCAACTCAACCCGACGGGAACGTCACTAACCTGAAAGCCAATCCGGACAACCAAGGAGGGCATGGGTCTCGGAACCACCAATCAACCACTACAGTATTGAGAGCAGCAAGCAAGCAAGCAGAAACAACGACTATTTCAACGAGCGCAGTACAGTATTCGCATGATGGAACAGCATTCGAGATGGACGGCCACTTCTTGAGAGTGCATTGTCGCCTTTCTGCTTGGACGAGAAGAGAGGCTGCAGTGCAATGTTCCTACGTCTTCCTTCGCACACAGCTCTGGCTCTGAGGCAACAAGCGCTGCTGTTGGGGCCTCTTCAGACGATACTCCCGACAAGGTGATCCTCTGACATGTCTCTAGCCTCACTTCTTTCCCTGGAACACGACCTCTTTATAATATCTAGCCTCCGCAATACTTTCTAGTATATCTTGCTTCGCAGTATGTGCATTGTTCTTCTGAGGAACTCCCAGAAGAGTGTCCAAAGACCCCCAGCGCTTCAGAGCCTCCTTCATGGTACTAACATCGAACAATCTATAATGGAGGTGGTCGATGACTTTCTTGTAGGGCTCTTGACGGAGGAACGCCTTGTCGGCATGTATCGAGTTTCCTGATAGGAGGGCGCGCTGGCGCTCCGGCACGAACTTTTTGATGTATTCGAGGAGGTCGGTCGCTGCTTGTTCAGGAGTCGTTTGGGATGCGAGGACCGCTGCGGTCAGACCGCTCTCCCCGTGAGTTCGAGTACACCATTCGTCCTGTGTTGCTTAGAGTTAGTTGTTGGCCAGGTCCGGAACTGAAAATAGAGCAGGTAGGTGTACCATTCTGTCCATCGTCTCCTTCGACTGGTGTATTACTGCCCCCCATCCCTTCTCGTCAATCACCTCTAAGTTCCCGTTTGTTATTATGCAGAATATCTCGATTATAACGTCTTTTTCGATGTCCAGTCCGGTCATCTTATGGAGCGCAAGTTAGTGATTGCATGCGACTGAGGGCAGCTTAGTGGACAGACCTCGCAATCGATCCAGACTAGCGGGTGGCTGTTACTGAGGCCTTCCATTTTAGTGTTTGAGTGCGCCTGTTCTGGGGTGGGAGTATGTCTTCGTGGTGGAAATGGAGGGTGTTCCATCACCCGTGGAAGCCTCGCCATCCAGCCTCGCATGTTCCGAAAGGGAGAGGGAAATGGTCTGCACGTGATTACGACCTCTGTTCCACTGTTATGTTCATAAGTCTGTCTCTGGTCTCGTCTCTGTGTTGATACCACATTTACCTTACACGAGTAAATGCTTCGTATAGAGAGAAAGTTTGGCACAGTGTTAAGACAGGTTCGTGGATCTTCAGCCTTCTCCTAAAATCTTAGTGTTAGTCCTCTCGTCTGATTTGAATCAACCCTCTCCTTTCTTCTTTCCTATCAAGCACATACAATGTCTCTTGATTCTGCTTTTCTCCAATATCAAAATGTGACCATCACTAAATCTTCCTGGATACCTACCAATACCCTTTGGGCCTCGACTTCGGTCTCTGCACAACGATCAACCTCTAGTCGAGATTCTTGAACTCTCAGCCTGCTTCTGCAAATATATCACTGCCTTCATAATCCAAATTCTTCAGATAACTCTGAAAAGATGTTACACGACTCTCTGATACGGCCCTATGACAATCTCTCTGACCTCTTCTGTCTAATCGTCGAAAATGTGCCTGGGACCACCTGCCCTGCTCTCAGTTATTCGAATACCTTGTTTCTGTCAAAGTTCAAGTGGCAACATCAAAGTGCAGACGAAGAGATGAGGCGGCACGATAAGAGAGCACATGCTTGACTATCATGATGCCTGAGTGGTATTGAGCTTGTTCCTTTCTGCTTTTTGGTTGCTTTCGACTCATCTTTGAAAGCTTCAAAACCTACTCTCACGCTTCACATGTTCGCTTCATCGCCGGCATCATTTCGCCCGCTCAAAATCCAGACTACGACCAACGTGACAACTTGAATTGATACTATTGCATTCCACCTATCGAAGACTCCATATTGATGACCATCCAAGGCAGCATTGGTGTCGTCCGCATCTAAACCCTCGATTACTTTGTATGGCCGGAGCACTATGACCACTCCCTTCTCAACCCACTCTGGGAACACCTTCCAAAAGCGGACCGCAAGATCTGGGTGGGTGTCGATGCTCCACTCAATTGTTTCTGCTCAAAACCTGCTTTCTTCTCCGACGCAGCACTTTCATCGAGTCGACCAGGAGCCAAGTGCAGCAAAGTTCTTTTCTTGGTGTTCGAAAGCAGAGAGACACCGACTGTGTGATCGCCTCTATTAAATGTATCGTATAGATACACTAGATCGTCTCCAACGAGTTTTTTGGTTGGATCAGCGAGGTTAGATGCCTTGCGGTCAAGGATATGGGTTGCGCCGTAGCTCCTTAGCAGATTCCAAGGAAGCCGTAACAATAATTCTTTCATTACCGGCGATCCGACCAAACTGAACAGCGAACTTGCCACAGGCAGTTCCACCGCCAATAATAACCACGGCAATGGACTTGTAGTCAAAAGTTTTCGATTCACCTGTTCCTGGGAACGGAATCCGAAGCCACCATTGAGCCCTTCGCCAGTGAAAAGCGCCGTAGCTGAAGTGAAGACATTTATTGGGAGTATTGCCACATCAGCCTCAGAGATGTTCTTCGGGACAAGAACCGTAAACCGCTCGTCATGAAGCGTGTATTGTTGGAGACCCCCGGAAAGATTGTTGGAGATACTGAATAAAGCCTGCGAGAAGACCTTCGATCTCGCTGGGAAATTGGAGGCGTCGGATCCAGCCTTTACCACCTCGCCGACAAGATCGAGAGCCAGAATGGCGGGGAGGTTGCTGCTGATGTTAAAGATATTGTAGTCGCGGAGCTTTTGATCAAGGGGCGTTACTGGTCTCTGTTACAAAGCATTGGCTTGTGTATAATGCGATACTTACTGCCAACAAATGAGACCTTGATGAGTAGCTGGTGTTCCTTGGGCTCAGGAATTGGAACTGTGATTCTGGTGAGAGGCTTAGCAATCTCAGTGAGTGCGAGGGCGATTTGAGTTTTCATCTTGTCCGATCTTCATACTATGTCACAACTGAGGTGATTTGAGGGTTATACATAAGTACACTTTGGATCCGTGAGCAAGAAAGAACGACGGACGTGAGATCACTTCCGTTGTTCACCCGTCCCCGTTCATGAACTTGGAATCGACATCCTAGCTTTCAAGATAAACCGAGGCTAAAACAAGAATCGGAGGAACTCTTCTCCATTTCATTTCACAATGTCATGGATAAATGTAGGCGAGGAGACACAGATGGATTTAGCGGATTAAAACCTTGCAATTGCGTGCCTGTACGACAAAAAATAGTTCTATTGGTGAACATAGCCTATGAAACCGTCAATTGGTACCGTACGTTGAACGGGAACGGGCAGGTCTTCATCATTGGAATGTTGTCATCATAGTGGTGGACTTGATTAATATTTTCGGGTTTGTCAGCATATGAGAGCGTGGGAGAGCCGTGAGAATATCAGGGCTAAACTCGGTGCACGAGACTATCATTTGCCAAACGAAGGCTGAAAGAGACAGGATGCCTCTGAATAAATCACAGAGGTAAAGTTGCGAAGTGATATCTTGGTCTTAGCCTGGAAAGGAAGTCATCTTATTGCCATGGTAGTCTCGGCCAAATTTCCTACCGACATCAGATGGCAATCAAGACCTATTAGGCGGCGTTAGTGCGAGAATCACGTCACTTCTCTGTACTCATGAGACAAAGGACCGGAAAACGTTCGCTAGTCACTGTATGGGAAACAGCCAATGTGTACTTTCATGCCGATCGATCAGCGTCTGCATTTCAAGAGAAAGATGTATGTCTTTCAAGTCTAAGCAAAAGACCGACTTTCTACTTGACCGTGGTTGAAGAGCCAAGTAACGCCATGCTGAAAAAAACCCATTGTTGAAACTTTTCCCAAAGAGACCTTGTAAATGCCGTTGAAGGACAAATGTTTTTCCCCAGATCATACCATCATTAGTCGTGTTGAAGGTTTCGTCCCAGTATCGCCTTACACAAAAAAAAAACCTATAAGCCAAAATAGAAAGAAGTCTAATAACGGTACCTAAACGAATGATTAGTGGAAAAAGTAACATATCGGGTTGAAGTTGCTTACAACTCAGGCTTGTATGGTCCCTCGACCTCGAGACCAAGGTACTCAGCTTGGACTGGGGTCAACCTGGAGAGCTCAGCGTTGACATGATCCAAGTGTAGCTTAGCAACAGTCTCGTCCAAGATCTTTGGCAAGACGTATACACCAACGGCGAGCTTTTGAGTCTTGCCGAACTCAACATACTTCTTTCCGAAAGCCTCATCCTCAGACTTGAATAGCAAGATTTGGGCGAGAACTTGGTTGGTGAAAGAACAGGACATGACGAAAGATGAATGGCCAGTGGCACATCCCAGGTTGACGAGACGTCCCTCGGCGAGAAGGATGATGTGGCGGCCGTTTTTCATGAGGTAACGGTCGACTTGGGGCTTGATATTCTGGACGCTAGCAGCGTTCTTCTTCAACCAAGCAACGTCAATTTCGATATCGAAGTGACCAATGTCTCTATGTGTTAGCTTTGAGCAGAAACATTACTTGAATGACTTACTGCAGACGATGGCGTCATTGGGCATCTTCTCGAAGTGCTCACCAACCAAGATGTCTCGGCATCCCGTAGTGGTAACGAAAATCTGTCCAACGCTTGCAGCCTTCTCCATCGTAATAACTTGGTAACCAGAAACGGCAGCTTGGAGTGCGTTGATAGGATCGACCTCAGTAACAAGGACACGAGCTCCCATTCCGTGAAGAGCCATGGCGCATCCCTTTCCGACATCACCGAAACCAGCAACAACAGCGATCTTGCCAGCAATCATGACATCGGTGGCACGCTTGATACCATCAATCAATGACTCACGGCAACCATACAAGTTGTCAAACTTGGACTTTGTGACAGAGTCGTTGACGTTGACGGCTGGGACAAGGAGAGTGTTGTTCTTCAACATCTTGTACAAGTGGTGAACACCGGTGGTGGTCTCCTCGGAAACACCGTAGCAGCCCTTCAGCATCTCGGGATACTTCTTATGGACGAGAGCAGTAAGATCTCCACCGTCATCGAGAATCAAGTTCAATGACTTGCCATCCTTGAATGCAACAAGTTGCTGCTCCAAGCACCACTCGTATTCCTCCTCGGTCTCTCCCTTCCAGGCGAAGACCGGGACACCAGCGGCGGCGATGGCAGCAGCAGCGTGGTCCTCTGTGAACGGTCAGTAGGAATAGCAGCTTATTGGATCAACGCTTCGTACGGGTAGAGAAGATGTTGCAGGATGACCATGTGACTTCAGCTCCAAGGGCAGTAAGAGTTTCGATCAAGACAGCAGTCTGGATGGTCATATGCAGACATCCAGCAATGCGGGCACCCTTCAATGGTTGATCGGCATTGTACTTCTCACGGGTAGCCATCAAACCAGGCATCTCATTCTCGGCGAGGTCGATCTCCTTGCGGCCGAAAGCAGCAAGACTAAGGTCTGCGACCTTGAACTTGGAGGCTGGTGCAGACATGTTGTTTGTACGGATGGGTGTTGCGGTGAGGGAATGTAGGTCAAGTTTGGGGTCGAGTGTTTGAAGACTCTGCAGACAAGAAGATGAGTTAGTTTTGGTCCTCAAGGGCATCGATTCGATGGAAAGCAAAGAACTACAAACCTGATTGGATTCTTCGAATTGTGATGAGTGAGAGAAAGAGAGAGAGAGAGGGGAATGAGAGACGGGAGAAAAGTGGTGGTTGAAGCTTCGAGGGGTTTTGTGGAGGGGCTTTTTTCCCGCACTAGCTTCCCTTTAGCGCCGAGCCAAGAGACTGCGGCGTTGAAGCAAAGAAGCCCGGTAAAACTTCGAGATTGCTCGAGAGGGTGCTTCCCCCCCAATGCCCATGAAAGCAATGCAAGGGTTCGACTGCGACTGTCAAGAAATATCTCTCAGTACTTTCTGAAATGTCTGAGCTATTGGAAACAGATATGTATGAGTATGAAAAACCAGAGATTTCTCCTCGCTTGCCTGTGTCTACCCCGCTAACCCTGTTGGCCACTCAGTCCCGTCACTGGATAGGTAAGTCGCCGACTGCTGATGCAGAAGGTAGGTAAGGTATAGGTAGGTACGGTCCCAATGTCACCGAGCTCTCACGTCGTTAAACTGGGTTCAGATGTAGACACGACCCGTACCTTCCCTTGTTTCCCTTGTTTTGTGTTGCCCTGCCCTGCCCTGCTCTGTCCTGCTATGTTTACTTCTAAATGTACCTTCCCCAATAGGTAGATTGAGCAACAAAGCAGGCCCGCTTGGGCCAAGCTGTTTGAGACCTTGACAGATATCTTCAAAAAGATGAGCAGGTGATATGTGGACAGCGTCCTGGTAAGTTTGCATATGCCGTATATCTACCAACGTCGCTGATAGAGTCCAAGATCCGGACGTGGAGCTGGCTGGCCTTTTCACCTAGGTGACCTTCTTTCCTCCGCATCCATTTTACTTTGTAATCCGAGAGTTCAAGAGTTGAATGCTCTGAGGTGGGACGATCGGGGAAGACTCCCGTATTATTCTAGTGCTTTTCCATGCTTCATTCTGGCTGCTCAATTGGTGTCAAGGGAAGTGTTTGGTGCCCAGGCCATAGCACGAACAAAATTGAGGAATAGTGAAGAACATTTAGAGTTTTTATGTGGGATATTCCGCCAATACCTACCTAACTATAGGTATCTTGCACTTTTCAACTTGTTGTTGCCTCTCTACTAAGGTACTATCTCACAACGACGGAAATGTTTGGCGGGGTAGCTGAGTCACGCTAGTCCAGGCGCCAAGGCTTCGCGAATCGCTTCCGCACACTCCCAAATTTCAGTCGGCAGCAAGCTGAACGCGCGACAACGACGACGACCCTACACACCTGTGGACAAGAGGCTATCAGGATCAGAACAATAGTCACTCCGGTCCCGATAAGTCTATCATCATGGCGGATGCTACAGCAAAAGAGATTCCATTGAACTCGGTGCAAATTGAGGCACTGGTAGGAGCGAATTCTTTCCCGTTAACAGGATATCGTCTAATGCAATTTGCAGGTGGTTATGAAGATTGTCAAGGCATGCTCTGCGACTTTCCCAACTACGGCGACTGGTTCTATTGTGGGAATGGATATTAACGGGACCCTCCAAATCACCAACTGCTTCCCCTTCCCTACCGCAGATATCGCAGCCTCCGACTCGCACCCCAACGATCACATGGCTGCCTCGAACATCGCTGCTGCCGCGCCTCGATCAAAGGCCAATATCGCATATCAAAATGAGATGATCAAATATTTGCGAGAGGTTAATGTGGACGCGAACAATGTCGGATGGTACACGAGCGCGAACATGGGCAACTTCATCAATACCAGCCTGATCGAGAACCAGTTCCACTATCAGAAGGAGCCAAATGAGAGGACGGTTGCGTTGGTACACGATGTTAGCAGAAGCTCTCAGGGCGCTTTGAGTCTCCGGGCTTTCAGATTATCTCCAACTTTCATGGCCGCATTCAAAGAGAGTAAATTCACGACCGAGCAGTAAGTTTAAAGAAAATTCTCTAGTCCAACTCTGTTAACGTTGGAGTAGCATGCAAAAGTCAAAACTTACATACAAAGACATCTTGATCGAACTCCCAATCATCGTCCATAACTCCCACCTGTTAACCTCCTTCCTACACCAAATGCCAGCCGAACTCCCAAAGGAAGATCTCGAATTTCCAGCCAGCCTTTCAGATCTCACTGCAGATGCTCCCCAAAATCCGCTATATCCAAACCTCGAATCTCTTGACCTTTCCATCGATCCCTTCCTGGAGAGAACTTGCGATCAACTCCTCGATAGCATAGAGACACATTATACCGAACTCAACAACTTCCAATACTTCCAAAGACAACTGGCCCGTGAGCAGACCAAGGTCACTGCATGGAAGACGAAGCGAGCGGCGGAGAATGCTACCAGAGCCACACAGAAGCTTGCACCACTTCCTGAAGATGAATGGGAGAGACTCTTCAAGTTACCAACTGAGCCCAGTCGATTGGAGGGTATGTTGAACGCACGCCAGGTTGAGCAATACTCGAGACAAGTGGACGGATTCACTGCCAGCATTACGAGTAAGATGTTTGCAGTCAAGAGCAATCTGTTACCAGATTCTGAATAGAGGTCATGATTGGATGAGATTGGGGGACTTGCCAGACAACGTGCTGCTGTCTCGTCATTTGATGTCATTTGGGGGTTTGCATTGGCTGGCGTTCAGAGGGATATGCTGATAAGCGGGTCAACTGACCTCAAATGATTGAAGGGTATAGATGTCAGAACTGAGTTGTATCATACAACCTTGCCAGCTGTGTGAAATTAAATATGTAAATTTCAAGCCTGACCTGGATCCTCAAGTAATTCTGAACCAACGTCAAAGTCACTTCCAGCGGCAGATACGGAGATGGAAAAGATGGTTCCTAGACCAAATCTAGTCATCTCTATGAGTTGAGAACGTCATTGCTTTCGTCTTACTTCTACAGAAGTCCACCCATGTTTGACAATGCCCGTCGAAGTGGATAAAACAACAATCAACTCATGAATTCATGCTCACGATTCCTCCCAGATCCTCAAATCTGTTGCTACCTGCCTTCCCTACCCTTCCGCCAATCGTTCAGCGCTTCTTCCCAATCTCTCCAATCTTCCCCGCACCGTTCACTAACCAACCCCCAACTCCTCGCCCTGATTATATTCTCCACGCCCCTCTCCTGCCTCACCAAAGCAGCTAACCTCTCGGTTCTTGCCTCTCTAGGGAAGAATCTGGATGAATACGGATCCAGCCTCTCATCCACGACCCTCTCCCTGTCCCTCTCACTCTCCACCTGGCGCAACACCGACTCAGGATCATCTGGATCGGGACTCGTCGCCACGGACGCACAGTAGTTCAACACATTAGACCGCATCTGCCATGATGGGAAGAGTACCTGGTCCTTGAAGTTGCGACATGATTGGGGGGATATGCGTCGTGAGTTAGACGGCCGTGGTGTGCGGACTGAGGTTGAAGACGGGTCGAATCCAGTAGATGCTGGGGTGAGTAGGGCGTTGAGGTTCTGCGTTATGCTGTCGTCGATTGCGGAGCGGGATATACGAAGGAAGTCTAAGGCGATTTCAGCATCCATTTTCTTTTTTAAATTTGACTCAGGACGTTAAAACCTCTTAGCTGAACAGTACTGAAGCAAAACTGTGGGGTAAGCTCCGGAGGGGGCGCAGGTTGGGTCATTATGTCTGTATGCGCGGGTTTTGGTGCCTCTATTGCGGAGGTCTTTCTCCAGAGAAAGCTCGCCAGTTTGATGAGGAGGGAATTGGTAGATAGAGGGAAGAAATATGGAAATAGTCTTCGGGGGAGCGATATTACCTTAGTTGTACTGTACGCGCACAACTGGAGGCGAGTTGAGGACGGAGCTACGAGTAGCTGGTGAGCTCGTCTCGCTCGTACAGAGCTCGCTCGCAGGGGTTGTTTATCTTAGCTCCCTTGGTCCTAGTGGCCCGATAAGACTCACTACGTCAGAGATCCAGGTCTGTTTGATGGGATTGCATGGCTTTTTGCTGTCACGATCCTTTCTTTCTTTCTTTCTTTCTTTCTTTCTTTCTTTCTTTCTTTCTTTCTTTCTTTCTTCACGAGGTGTGTACATGTCTACTCATACCAATGTTCTCCTTGTAAGTAGTTGCAGCCTGCTGTACAGTAATTTGCAGATTTCTCCCAGAAGCACCAGTCCCAGCCTCGCTTGTTGCTGGGCGGGAGTCAACAGGGAAGTGTACCTAGGGAGAGTCTGTAAGGACTGTCCGTTTGGAGCCGTCAACAGGCCGCCTTGGTTTCCAAAACTGTTCAACAGGGTTTCATTTTGACCTCTTTGAAGAAGCTGCTGACGGAATTGATATAGGCAGGAGGCTTTGCTGCATTCACAGTTGATTTGGTAAGTGACCCAAGAGCGTGTGTCGGAAACATGAAAACATCTCCCAAAGCACCGGTTGTAGCCCAGACTTACATTAGACAGCTTATCTATCCCCTTGACACCCTGAAAACTCGATTCCAGAGTCCGGATTACAAGAAAATCTACTTCGATGCTACCAAAAATGCCATCAACCGGAAGCTGCTCTTCCGGGGGCTCTATCAAGGAGTTGCAAGTGTCATACTTATAACAATACCGTCATGTAAGTTTCTTCCGTGGTCTCAGATGTCCCATATTTAACGACATTCAAAGCTGGAGCATTTTTCACTTCATACGAGGCAGCGAAATCTGGGCTCTCAAAAGCCACCACTTCCTCCACCGGGAGAGCACTAATTCCACAACCCATCGTCCACAGCGCCGCCTCAGCAATAGCCGAACTAGTCTCATGCTTCATCCTCACACCTGCAGAAGTCCTAAAGCAGAATGCGCAGATGATTCGACGTCCAGCATCAAGCTCGGATTCAGTGGCCAAAGTAGCGTACCAACCTTCTGTTACTATGCAGGCATTGAAGCAGTTCAACAAGCCGTCACAGCTGTTCAGAGGATATACTGCTTTAGCAGCTCGAAATCTTCCGTTTACTGCCATGCAGTTTCCTATGTTTGAGAACTTGAAGGAGACTATCAAGGCTCGTAGGAGAGAGGCTGGGACGTTTACTGGGGAGTTGATGGAGACGGCTTTGATTGCTGCTGTAAGTGCCGGAAGTGCGGGATCCGTTGCTGCTGTCATAACTACGCCTGTCGATGTCGTGAAGACGAGAATCATGCTTTCGGCTGCAGGAGAGGCCTCTGAGACGGAAGCAAAGAAGGAGATGGGGACGGCCAAGAGGGAAGGGCAATCGCTTAACAAGCTCGCGAAAAAGAAAGGGGGAACCAGGAAAGGTGGGTTTGCCGTGGCCAGGGAAATTATAGGGGAGAGTGGGGCGAAGGGATTGTTTAGAGGAGGATCCTTTAGAGCAGCTTGGACTGCTTTGGGTAGTGGACTCTATCTCGGTGTTTATGAGAGTGCAAAAGACTACCTTGCCGGCCCAGGCAACAGCAGTGACAAATCTGATTGACTATGCTCTCGTACGATAACGTGTCTCGTGAACATCCATTTTTGCCGATCAATAGTTGTCTGTCCGACTCGGAACCTTTCGAGTTTCTGTTTCTCGCCTTACCATAGATAAGCCGTCAACATACCTAGGTTTAGTGAAGCAGAGTTCTGGCTTTTCTTTTTTTTCCTTTTCTTTTCCTTTTCTTTTCTCTTTTTTTTTGGATAATCACCATACACCTCGAAGTCGCTTAAAGTTTCATCATATTCTGTTAAGGATCTGCAAGCTAGAATTGCCCACCCCTGAACGACACGTCGCCCAGAGTAATATATACGTATGCTTAGCTAATTGGATGGTCAAGTATTACGCTGAGAGTGTCTAAAAACTCATCAAATCTCGTCGAGCCCTTACGGCTGCCGATTGACCCTCAATGCCCTCATATTCGAACAGCTTGTTGAGTCATGCTGCGTCTTGGGACAGATATATACCCGCAGAAAACAGCGATTGATGCCTTGGAATGGAAAATACCTCAGATGGCCCTCAAGGAAATGATACACTCGATGTGTAAAGTTGTAGGTGCGGTCGATTCCATTATATTGATAAATGCATTCCCGTACTGCTTGCGAATAGAGCTCATCAGTAAGCTCAAGGTTTTAGTTTTTGCTACTTCTCATCCTCAAAGAAACTTATCAAGCTGTTGATGGTAAAGCGTTTATGCTGGTCTCCTTCTTTACCTTGTAGTAAGGGTAGACTCATTTGAGACATGTTACCAAGAATAGCTCCAGGAGTAGACCACGATGGACGTGATCTGAGCAGCCAACTGGGCCCCCTTGCCTGCTAGGAGACTACGTCACTCACGGGGGCTCAAATCATCAAGTCTGGAAGTACAGCACTCTCGAGGTCCAGCATGGGTGGTCGCATAGCCTTTACTGAATGTCACTGTTTACCGGGAAATCCATCTAGGCGAGCCGCCTCTTTTCCCGATCGTCGTTTTATGATGCAAGTTATACCTAGGCAATGCAGAAGGAATGATAGCTACACGTATGAAAGATTGAACATTTCGCAGGAGACCGTTCAATCCGGTATTGACACTGGTTGCAACACTATGACTGACGTACATAGGAGAAGTGGTGTAGAGTCTGGGCTATGCAATGTACCCATCAAAATTAGTCAGGCATCTCGGTTTGAAAAGGCACTCTCAGAAAAGTTTTATTATGGGAAAAGCCTTGCTAAGGTAATCATAAACTAGAAGCATAAATTGTCATGAAAGGAAGAAAAGGAACAGGCTCTGGCCAAGCAAAAGGCATGCACGTCGCTGAATGAACGGTATGCGGAGTGCCACGGCTTCATCTCGCTTTGAAATAAGAGCCGGATTCAACTCTTCGAGGCTTTATTAAGGAGCCCTGAGATTCCGTACGTCCCACAGGCTACTTGGCATGGGGTCGCACGAGAGTTCGAGATAGTGAGGTGTATGCCAGATAAAGAAACATAGGAATTCATTCGTCCCTCATAACTTGTAGTCGACACGTCTCGTGGTACAAGATATATTGAGAGTATTGAATACGTTGACCTGAATTTGGATGCGCAGCTTCGAGTCCCTTTGTCCCTGAGCAAGGGGAAGATACTGAAATGAGTAAGACGCATGGCTGCCGGCATCATATCCTTATGAATAGTCCACCAATCCCAGCGTAGGAGATGCTCATGAATGCAGAAGTGATTGGATGTGCACTATAGATCAGTCCTGATTTAGCCCACATGGTATCGTAGAGATTCTGGTGGAAAAGTTTCCCACTCCTGTTGGTATTTGGGACGTGATATTTGGTATCTGAGCCAAATACCATTCCGAGAGAGTAAGCGACTTCGGAGCCTGGACTGAGCTGTTCAGTAAATACGCAGCTCGGGGAACATTGTACTGTACGTACCCTCATATGCCTCACATACCTCACGTACTCATATGTCATATACCCATATGGCGACACCGAGACCACAGGGATGATTGATGCTGTGACCCTGAGTCGTGTGCGAATTGCTTGCTACCTGCTCTTGCAAGCGGTGAAGCGAGGCTGCCAGAGGGCAACAACCCGTGTGCTGACTTTGGATTTCCTCCACCAGACGAGCACTCGAATAGTCGAAGTTCAAAATTTCTGCAATTCGAAGCGCATCTGTTCGGCCAGCCTTGCCGGCGTTTCAGTGTATTGTCCCGGCAGAGACATCGCAGATATCAGAGATGTGAATATAGGCGTAGAGCCCTGATACTACTACACCCATCTCCGTAATACAGTGGGCACTGTATTATTGCATTTCAACCATGAAGATAAACGAACCAATGTCTTTATGGCCCTCCCGCCTCCAGCTTCTAGCCTCTAGCCCTCGGGAAGACCCTTTCATGCAGATTGGGCTCCTCACCGTTAGTCGACCGCAACCGCAATTGTATGGGTGGAGCGGCGTCTTTCGGCGGTGCTTATACTGCGTGCCCGCCAGCGCCCCTTGCCCAAGTTTTAATGCTTTGCGGTGAGAACAATACCATACCATACCATACCATACCAATGGGTTCATTCCAGACAAGGTTTGGCTTGCAACTTACAGTCGAGCCTGCCAGCAGGCAGTCCGGTTTCCGAAGGGGTAATTAGGTAGCTCGCCATCGCCCTCATAAATGGCGTCAGATGGCATATTTTAGAATAAAATGATACAACATCCCCGAACGCTCTCATTTACCTCGATAAGGTGTGATCTCGCGATAGATTACAACTAGAGCAGTAGAGCTTCGGTGGGTTGCGCGCCTTTCTTCCTCTCTTCCTTCTTGCACACACTCTCTCTTATCAAAAGCTTTCCTTTGGTCTCGTTCTCTTCAACTTCCCCCTCTGCCGGGGCTGCTTGTGCAAATTTGTTCAGGATTTCACGCAGCTTTGACTTTGCCCCTTTGACCGATCTTTCGTTTCCTTGGGTCTCCCAACTCGCATCGTCATGGCCTCCACAATGCCTGCACACTCATTGCCAGAGCGCAGCCCTCAATCCAAAGCATCTCCGTTCCAGCTCAACGAGTCGATCACTGCCAGCCATGTCTTCGCTCCTGTTGCGAAGGTCACGGGCACGACCAAAAAAGAGCTCCTCGTCGTCTCCCCATACCTTGAGCCAGCTCACTTGCTTGATCTCTCTACCCTGGATACCGCCAATCAACTGCTCGCAAAAGCTCTCGTTGATCTGAAGTTCATAAGAGATGATCATAGAACAGCGCCATACGCCGATTCCCTCAATTGGCCCGAGATCATCAACTCGGTCCGCAAACTGGCTGAGGCATCCGAGTTCAAGTGGAAGACCACAGACTTGTAAGTGATCGCTTCCTGAACATGACTCGTGGAATAACGTGACGAATTCCCACTGACCTGTAAATCTTGATAGCTACATAGTCGTTTTTCGATCCAGGATTCCCCCCACCACGATCTATGCTGATCTCGGCGTTCTTGACAAAGCTGCGCATGCTGAGGCAACTGAGAGCGGAGGATTCCTAAAGTACGCCATGCCAACTCATTTAATTTGCAACCAATAGCTGATTGAATACTAGATACCTATTCTCATGCCCAGACATCGATGGTCGCAACCTGGCAACTTGTGTCTGGCGTAGCAAGCATGATGCAGCGATCGGTAGTGTCGGTCCGCACCACCGTAAAGCTGCTCATGCTACCCGACTGTTGTACACCGAATGGGCCATTGAGCGCCTGAGACTGGTCATCAATGATGATGTCAGGTCATGGGAGATTGTCGACTGGTCGGCCTGAGAAAATAATGGGTTTGCACGATTTTCCTTTTCTTTGAGCGACAGGAGTTCCGGAGTTGGGATCTAGGCCATCGCAGCGTTTATGAAGTAGCTGATAGACTCCGATGCTTTACTGCTAGACCAAAGAGATCCAATACAAGCCTTGTTGATCTCGAAATTGCTGCCCAGTGAGAGTGAAATCCATATACGAGCCGAGAGATAACATGAAAATACAGCTGATTAGAACGACAAGCCGAGGAAACCAAAATGGATCCGCTCGAGGGGGTAGGCAAGACTGATTGTAAGTCTGGCTTATACTATTGCCTTATCACCTGCAGCTCTCTAAGGTAGTTAAGCTTTCGAGCAGGTAACTTAGGATATTGTTCCAAGGTTGGTTGCTGGATGGGAAGAAGACACGGTCAAGCTCCCAGAGCGTTTGGTCTGTTTGGATTCGAGGCCAGAGTGCCCAATCATATATCTCCTGGCCGCTTTGAAGCCGTTGACTGGAGCAGCCATTCTCGTCTTCACTAGAATCGAAAGGCAATTAATAGACTCAAAAATAGGCCATTGGTGGAGCTATACCACTATTTTGAAGCAGACCATGCCAGTGACGTGAATCGAGCAGTGACATATATTTCTTGGCCAATAAAAGCGATACTGAGATGTATAGAAGCGCAAACAGTGGGCAGCTCTTGATGGGAAGTCGTTGACCGAGGAGGCTCAAAAACAAACGTGGGGGTTCTGTACCTTCCAGTGCAGGACAGAGCTTTCAGGCGTTTGTGATGCACGGGATGACATTTGTTCCACCACAGAGCTTCAGCCGAGTCGACCTAGAGATCTCTACATCTACATCCACACGCGACCTCGCCATTGATCGACAACAACGCCGCCTTCCCTCATTCTTCCTTCACAGTGTTGTTACTCAAGCCCCGGATTCTTCCCAAATTATCAGACAGCGAATAGATGCCCCGTTGAGTTTCCTTCAGAGCTTTCCGGACCCCTCCAAACGACTTCCTCGAAGCAGCCTCGACCTCCCTGTTCAAGACTCTCACTCGTTCGCAACTTTCAGGGCGATTTGAACAGTGCAAATCATGCCACAGCAGCTTAGTGCGAAGGAGCAGTCGCTCTTCCGCACAGTCGTGCGCAACTATGAGGACAAGCAGTACAAGAAAGGTTTGCCTGAAGCAGTTTCTTGTACATTCTGCTCCTATTAACTTCTTCTAGGAGTCAAGGCCGCCGACCAGATCCTCAAGAAGAGCCCCAAACATGGCGATACTCTCGCAATGAAAGCCCTGATCATGAACTCCCAGGGGAAAACCGACGAAGCCTTTGCCCTAGCCAAAGTTGCCCTAACCTGTGACATGAAGTCGCACGTCTGCTGGCACGTTTACGGGTTGCTCTATCGTGCGGTGAAGAATTTCGAGGAAGCTATAAAGGCATACAAGTTCGCTCTGAAGCTGGAGCCAGACTCTCAACAGATCCAACGAGATTTGGCGTTGCTGCAAGTACAGATGCGAGATTATGAGGGCTATATAGTCAGTCGCAGAGCAATGCTACAAGCAAGATCTGGCCTTCGACAGAGCTGGACAGCTTTGGCAGTGGCACATCATCTAAATGGAGATCTCGCAGAGGCAGAGCGTGTCCTGACAGCTTACGAGGATACTTTGAAGAATCCTCCTTTGAAAACAGATTTCGAGAACTCGGAGGCTGTTATGTACAAGAACTCATTAATTGCAGAGCAAGGCAATATCCAGCAAGCGTACGACCATTTACAATCAGCTGGGAAGTACAATCTCGACAGGCTTGCGGTGCAAGAACTCCGCGCGACATACCTCATGAAGCTTGATAGAAAAGAGGAAGCTGCGAAGGCCTATCGAGCCCTTATTGAAAGGAATGCGGAATACAAGTCATATTATGACGCGCTCATTGATGCATTGGCAATTTCGGAGTCGGACCATTCAGCTCGTAAAGCAATTTACGACGAGTATGCGGAAACATATCCTCGTTGCGATGCGGCTCGTCGTCTGCCTCTGGACTTCTTGGAAGGTAAAAGCCTTACATATCTTCGAGCTAGAACAATTGCTGACAGAAGCGCTAGGGGATGACTTCAAAGCTGCTGCTGATAAGTATATTCACCGAATGCTTGACAAGGGAGTGCCTTCAACCTTTGCCAACCTCAAGCACCTGTACTCGAATACAACTAAGAAGGAAACTCTTGCAGCTTTGGTTCAAAATTACATTGACGTTGACAGAAGCGAAGCCAATACTGAGCCAAAAAGGAACGGCGATACATCAAAAGGTGCTTCAGCAGCATACTATTTTCTCGCTCAACATAATAACTACCACCTAAGTCGAGATTTAAACAAAGCAATGGAGTACATAGATAAAGCTATTGGGTTGGAACCTGAAAGTGTTGATTTTCACATGACAAAAGCTAGGATATGGAAACACCGTGGGGACACACGGAAAGCGTCCGAATTGATGGAACAGGCCCGCCTTCTCGACCCACGAGATAGACATATCAACACCAAGACCGCCAAGTACCAGCTACGGAATAACGAGAATGAGGCCGCACTCAAGACAATGGGGATGTTCACGAGGGCAGAGACTGTTGGAGGACCGCTTGCAGATCTCCATGATATGCAATGCATGTGGTTCTTGACTGAGGATGGACAAGCATATGCTCGTCAAGGCAATTTAGGGCTCGCTCTCAAGCGTTTCACGTCAATCTACAACATATTTGATGTCTGGCAAGAAGACCAATTCGATTTCCACAGCTTCTCGTTACGAAAAGGTCAAATCAGAGCCTACGTAGACATGATGAGATGGGAAGACAAGCTGCGTGAGCACCCATTTTTCAGTCGGGCCGCTTTATCAGCAATTGAGATCTATATCAAGATCCATGACAAGCCATTATCGAACGGGACAAATGGAGACAGCAATGCCAATGGTGACGATGCTGCAGAGAGGAGGAAGGCAGCGAAGAAGGCCCGAAAGGAAGCTCAAAAAGCCGAGCGAGAGGCAGCTGCAAAGAAGGCTGAGCCAAACAAGCCTGTGCGAGCTGACGACGGAGATTTGAAGAAGAAGGATGATGACCCAGATGGAATTAAGCTTGCTGCGACGACAGAGCCAATGACCGATGCCATGAAGTTCTTGACACCTCTGCTTCAATTCAGCCCAAGGAGTATCAATGCACAAATCGCTGGTTTCGAGGTATTTATGAGAAGGAGTAAGTCTTTCCATTCGGCATTATTGGCGAGATACTAACAAAGCTGCAGAAAAGTACCTCCTCGCTCTCAAGTGCCTCCTGGCTGCATCGGCTTTGGACGAGGAAAACTCCACTGTCAAGGAGCAAATCAGCCGATTCAAGGCTGCCGTCGATACTGAGTCTGAGTCCCTTTCACCAAAAGCGAAGGCGGTCGTCATATCCGAATTGGCAACGCTAAAGGTCTCCTCATGAAACGTCGAACACAAAAGGGTTGTTTCTACTATGGGATCCAGTGTCCAGTACCGGCATAAAGGGTGCCATTCTATGAATGAGAATCAATTATTTTAAGCCACTTCAGCATGTAATGCCATAATCTGGATGGATGGCCGTCTGTTTGTGAACGTACCCAAGATCAGTGTGGTGGAATTAAAATAGAAAAAGGTTCACATTTGGCACTCATGGCCTTCGGTCCAAACGAATAACAAGTAAGAGTGAGAATGACAGGGGAGATTCGTAGTATCCATGCCGTACTTCGCTTCGCTGTGCGTACATTTGCCATTCTGAATCATTCCAGATACTCCAAGCTGGATTTCCAAAACTACACGAGATGTACAGGCTCTATGTGGCAGTCGATATCGCTATTCCATATCGTACAATGCAACCAACTATCCATCCCTTGGTTTCATCCAAAATAATTACACTTCGCCGACCACTTTCGAACTATTTACTCACTCCATCTTACACCCACTATCCCTGGACATCCTCCCCCTCTCCCTCAACAGGATTAGGCTTCTTTTCCTTCTCAAACCCTAATACCTTGATGCCCTCTCGGCCTAAAGTCCGAATCCCACCTTTAAGCCACCCTTCAATTTCTTTTTCCGGTACCACAATATTCCTCGCTCTCGTCTCATCTTCAGGTGTCAACTCCGACCTGCGCATCCGGCTAGCAATTCGCGGGTCTAAAACTACGGGCTCTAACCATGTACGTTCTGGCTCACCATCAAGTCGAACTCGGGCACTTTTATGCCATTCCTTCTCCTCTTCTATGAGTGCTGATTGCTGCTCTGCTATTTGCGGGACAGCACCAGTATTACTATCGCCATTCTGAACGCCTCCATCAGCCCCCTCTGAGGAGAAAGAACTAGAGAATTCAGAGGAAGGATTGGACGTCGTGTAATATGGTCTGTAAGTGGAGAGTATTATGGCTGCTGTCTCTCGCCCGATGGAATCTGCTAGGACGCGTCTGTTTAGGAACCGATAGAGACGTTTTGGTGTGTTGAGGAACCCTAGGATGTGAGGGAAAGAGATCGGCGTTGATGGGTCGAACTCTACTGGAAGGTCTGGTGGGCTGGGAGCGGTTGCGTAGGCGGATACGGAGATGAAGGGCGCTGGTTGGGGAGGTTTTTTGGTTTTGTCGTCTGACTTTGAGGTTATATCTTCACCTGGGGAGAGAGCATTTGCTTCTCTGGGCTCAGAGATGAGAGTAATTCCTGGTAGAGTTTCCATGGGCTCTTTCACTTTGGTGTCCTCGGATGGCTTCTCTTCAACTGGCTTCGGCGCTTCTTTGAGAGGTCCCAGCCATCCTTCATGTAAACCCCGGACGTATTCCTTCCATGTATGTCTCCCAAGGACAATATCTCCCATCGGCCCGTCGAATTCTTTGATTCCAGATGTCCTGCGGGTCTCGGTCACAACGTCCTCCCCTGTCCGTTGCTCAGGCGGCGTTCTCGAATTGCGTATCCTTTCCGCCAGCTCAGCTCTTACATCGCCCTCTTTCCTTCCCTGTACGAAGTCCCAATCGAGCCCCGATGCAACAAGAATCGGCTTCACATAGTCCTTGAAGTGATCCTGCGCAACTCTTAGTCCGTCCGTGGGCGGTCCTTCCAAATACACAGTGAGTCTCCTGGGCATTGATTTGGCATCCAGGGGTTCCTTCGCAATGTGCTCCACAAGTTTGCACCATTTTCTCTGCGCGCGCTTTTTCTCCCGCTTGTCGTAGATAACGGCGGCAGTGAAGGAGCCTGTTATGGTGAGAAATATGGTCCAGTTTCGGGAGGGTAGCTTTGGCCGGAAGTTTTCCCCGAATCCGAGGTACTTCCACATTGGATTCGGTGGCTTCAGAGGTTTAGCAATTTTCGCATCGACTGGAGTTTCTGGCTTGGGTGCAGGGAAGGCATTTGGCTGTTATCATTAGAACTGGCGATTGAATGCTGTATGAAAGGATTTACCTCTGAAGCCGCTGGGTGCATGGTGTCTGCCATGATTTTAGCCGTCTGTCTTCATTCGGGGTTACGAATGGTCGGCACAAATACAAGCGCAATAAAGAGAAGTTTCGTATGAATTAACTTGCAAGCTTTCGAGGTCGCTCGGAACTTTTTTGGAGGACATGTACCTCGGAGGCGGGAGATGATCCGTTCCGCACCCGAGACCAAGCGAGAGTGCGGAAGGTCAATAACGACCATCTGAAGATGCTACGACGCATAAGCCGATACCAAATTTGCTTCTCGATAAACTAGAGCCGGATGATGAGTTGGTCACGTCGCCTTGACTTCATATTGCTTTGGAGTCCGCTTGATGCATGTTTATTTATATGTGTGAATTGGGACGGGAGGCTTCTGACTGCCCTCGCTTGCTCCTGGAGGCACCAAAAACCGACCTACTCTAGGCAAGAACATAAAGGCATATGAAGCCTCCGATCAGGCTCGAACTGAGAGCAGGATACATGGGAAAGATCAGGACTTTTACACTTCATTCCATATAGAGTTCTCCGTGAACAATCCTATCCTTTTCCGCACCAGCATTATGAGCACGGGGCATTCGATGCCTCCCTCACCCAGCTCGCTTGACACTGCCATGTTCGTCACCGAAGGAGTTTCTTTTCATTATTGGTATGCAAGCACAACACCACTTGAACACAACATGTTGGCACACGTATGACTCTTGCGGCGTCTTTTACTCCAATTCCGTCAGAAGAACCTTCGCAAAATTCATAGGGTGTCTACTTGATACTGCAGGAGTGGCATGCAGCGGAATTTGGAGGCGGAAATCAATCATAAGGTAATTCGCCGAAAGTGGAGTGCCGTGCCAGTCGTTGAACCTAGGTCAAGTGGCCAAGCATCTTCCTCAGAGGATTAGCTTTCCTTGGGTTCATCTGTCCATGACAACGACGTGGGACAGCTGCATGACAAGTGATGGCGTACAGTGGCCCGTCTGGGTACCGCTCTTACATTTGATGTCTCCTTTGCCGTGACACCAAAATCATGCATCTCTTGTAATCCTGCCATCACATCTCCAGACTGACAACGTCAACGGTCATGCTGGTTGGGACCAAACCTGCGAGGTCATTGGGTTGCTTATCTCAATACTTGGTAAACCTGTTCTCTGCTGCAAAGAATAGAGTTGACAGGTTCATGGAAACGGGCGTACTTAACACATACCTTAGGGGCTGCAGCCTGCTGTGCACTAGTGCCATTTAGAAACTTGGGAAGCAATTGATATCTCAGGATGGAGAGAAGTCCAATCAGCCATAGTCCACTCACCCGTGCAATCATACCAGGAAAACGAGGGAAGGTGTGCGTTGCACTTCTTTAGGCTGAAAAGGCGCAATCTTGATGGTACCTGTTGGTACACAGCAGAGAGCCGGCAGCCGTGAGTGCACATATGTGGACGAAGAGAGAGTGTGACTGCGAGAACCCCTATTCCACGCAGTGCAGATATCCTCAGCCTTTAATTGTAGACTGTGCGGCAGTCAACGTGCATGGCCTTTGGGTGGACTTTCTGGTGACAGGCATGCTGTTGACGCAAATAAAGGCACGCAACAAATAGCCCGCTTGCTTGAAGCCGTTGTCTTCGTCTTCGTGCCTAATCCAGTATTTACTGTCCTTGACCCCTGGCTCGCTAACGAAGTATAAGTAACCTAGTGCTGCGGTGAAGGTCGACATTGCGGGTTCTGCCTCAAGTTGCCCCTTCGGCCAACATCTCCTCACTGCGATTGCGACCACAAGACAGAGCAGACCTTGCAACTACTTCTGCACGGCGCCTCTCTTCTCTGCACGACTCGTTGTCTACGCACCTTCGAAGTCCGGACAACAGAATCTACTCGAGGCTGGTTGGCAAAGCGGTGTGTCCGTGGAGAAGGTTAGTTTGGATTGTTCGAGGCCAACCTTGAGCGCACACGACAAGGAGGGTCACTTGAACCTTAGGACAGCTCTTCGAAACACCTCCACTGCTCCGAACTGAAGCCGTCCCGAAAACATGGAGAACAATAATAATAACAACCGTTTCTACCTGAACCTCAACAACGATCGATCTGCCTTCGCCGACCGAGCATATCCCACGACCCCTTCAACTTTCCCCAACCCTATCTTTCCCCCTTCAGGCCAGCAAGGTCAGGCTCAGGCTCCTCCTTCGCAGTCTCAGCAACAGCAGTCATACGGAACAGGCTTTGCTCCCTCAGGATACTTCATGAACAATCCGTACCCTCCCAACTATCCTCAGCAGCCCCCTTCGAGCTCGTCTTCGAACTACCAACAGGCCCCTCAAGCTCCTCAAGCTTCCTATCAACAGCGCCCAGCTCCAGTTGCCGATGCTACGAATGGCCTGGTTCACCAATTCTCCCACCAGAACCTCGGTGGACGGGCCTCCCCATATGGCAACCGTCAACCTTCCCCAGGACAACGGCCACGAACAGCTGGAGCAACTGGTCAGCAACCTGCTTATAACAGTTATCTGAACGCACCTATGCCCTCTGTTCCACAGCAGAACTGGCCAGAATTCCAGCCAGCTCCGGAGAGAAACCCTGACAGGTATGGATCGTTGGCACAGACAAATCAGAAGAAGTGTGCATCGCTTGCGGAGGCGTTCTTCAAAGATAGCGTCAAGAGAGCCCGGGATCGTAATGTTCGGTAAGCAAATTCCACAATCAGAGCTTTTGCACTGAATATCTGTCACATTTGTGACATTGCTAACATTCATCCGAAGTCAAAGCGAGATGGAACAACGGTTGGGAGATCCGAACCAGTCACAGTCAAGACGAGAACAGACCTGGTCAAATGCTGGCAAGCAGGAGGGCAAATATCTACGATTTTTACGAACCAAAGATTCTCCAGACAACTACCAGACTCTGAAGATCATCGGAAAGGGTGCCTTTGGGGAAGTGAAGCTCGTCCAGAAGAAGCAGGATGGCAAGGTCTATGCTATGAAGTCGCTCATCAAGAGTGAAATGTTCAAGAAGGATCAGCTGGCCCACGTTCGTGCAGAGAGAGATATCCTTGCTGAATCCGACAGTCCCTGGGTTGTGAAGCTCTACACCACTTTTCAGGACTACGACTTCCTCTATATGTTGATGGAGTTCTTGCCTGGAGGCGATTTGATGACAATGTTGATCAAGTACGAGATCTTTTCTGAAGATATCACTCGATTCTATATTGCTGAGATTGTCCTGGCGATCGAAGCGGTTCACAAATATGGCTTTATTCATCGGTAGGTGGAGCTTATCATGAGCAAGACTTCGTCAATTGTCAACTTTGCGGAGGGCAAGCAAGGCTAACTTGTTGATAGTGATATCAAGCCCGACAATATCTTGCTTGATCGTGGAGGACATGTGAAGCTGACCGATTTTGGGTTGTCAACTGGTTTCCACAAGCTACATGACAACTCATACTACCAACAACTTCTTCAAGGGAAGTCCAACAGACCAGCAAACAGAAACTCGGTCAACCTGGATCAAATCAATCTGACAGTCAGCAACCGCGGTGTGATCAACGACTGGAGAAAGTCTCGGAGAGTCATGGCATACTCAACCGTCGGTACTCCTGATTACATTGCTCCAGAAATTTTTGGTGGCCACGGCTATGCCCAGGACTGTGATTGGTGGAGTTTGGGTACAATCATGTTCGAATGTCAAATTGGATGGCCTCCTTTCTGTGCTGAGGATGCACACGATACCTACCGAAAGATCGTAAATTGGCGCCAATCACTCTACTTCCCGGAAGATGTTCAACTGGGCCCTGAAGCTGAAAACTTGATCCGAAGGTATGTTAAAATCGTCATAAACGTCAGCTTCAACTAACCCATCTAGTCTTGTGTGCAACACTGAGAATCGTTTGGGCCGAGGAGGAGCCGACGAAATCAAATCTCACAAGTTCTTCCGTGGTGTTGATTTCGACAGTCTCCGTCGTATTCGTGCACCATTCGAACCCAAGCTCGCTTCAAACGTCGATACCACTTACTTCCCGACTGATGAGATTGACCAAACCGACAACGCTACGCACCTAAAGGCCCAAGCTGCTGCCAACGGACCGCGCATTGAGCAGCCTGAGATGAGCTTACCGTTCATCGGTTACACCTTCAAGAGGTTTGACGATTTCAACAAGAACAGCCGTTAAGTCTATTCTTGGTTTCAGAGTCATTAGCAACAATACCCGGGCATGTACATCCATCTATCCTATCTTCTGATCGGCACTCTGGGCTAGGCTCATTGGCGTATAACTCTGCGCAATTCACTTTACTGTCGTCCCGACCAAAGGAGCTTTCTCGGACAACCTTTGAGTAAATCGCCTTTCTCCAGTCAGGCCGAGTCAGGTTGGTGAGCCATTGACTATCGAGACTTGACACGATGGGTGATCATATGCATACATACTGCACTTTGCACGCATGGGCATTTTCTTACATGATTCCTCAAAGAGCTTGATTCGCATTTTACGGCGCAGGTCTAGAATTGAAATGCGCGATAAGTAGCAGAGCCCCACCTCAATTCATTGAGTAACCAAACAATCCAGCAATCTCAAAGTTCTTCTGTGATATAAATCTTCCATCCAGTAACCCCTGAACTCCATGCAATGAGAACAGCCTTCATCGTCTTGAAAGTCCCGACGGAGCCAAACCAGGAACACCACTGTATCGCTCCTCTCTCTCTGTCTTGAACATGACCTGTACCCAGAACTCCTTCAAATCCGGATCCCACCACGTATAGTATCGATCATTGGTACGGTCCACCTCCCGCGCCTGTAGCTTGAAGCCACACGTCTCATACGGCTCCGCAGCTACCAACATGTACTGAAAGTTCTTGTCGGGAGGATCATCAATCTTCTGCTCAAAAGCACTCATGAATCTGACCTTCGGTGTAACATCAGGCGCAATCTCAGGATACTGCAGTTGGAATACCAAGCCCTGCTGTCTCGTAACCGGATCCCTCGTCTTTGTGATCTTGTATCCTGGTCTTCCAATTTTCACCACGTTCCTCTTGACCGCAACCTGCGCACCCACCATTCCAATTGGCATGCCTGTAACAGGATCCAAGCCTGGCCGGCCCTCCTTCTGCTCCTTCGCTGCACGGCGCGCCAGGTTAGTTTGATGTTTGCGGCCTTGCGTGTGGGCGAGGTAGGAACCGTCATTTTGGTGAACTGTCAAACAAAGTCGGCACTCAAAGGATCCGACGTGATTCTTGAAGAAGTAGGGGTCTTTGTCGAGGTCGATGGTCTCCAAGGCGAGTTTGCGCAAACGCTCGCGGCGATCGGCATTGGTTGCTGAAGTTGAGGCGACACCTCCGCCACCGAACTTCGAACCTGCGCGGTTCTGGTAATCCATCGTTGTAGGGTTTGATGGCTTGAAGTGTTTTCGTGGAGAGGTTCGCTGGATTGAGGTTCAAGGAAGCCTGGAAAAAGTGAGCTCGGCTGCCAGCCGAGTCTCAGCCTTTTCCCAAGGCTGCAATTCTGCCGCCCTCTGTCAGACAACCACATCAGCATCGCTTGGACCCTACCTACTTACCTTTCCTCAGAGATGTCGTCTGTGTATTATGTAGGTAAGAAGATTATATACGATACTGAAATCGAGAAAGATATTGACAGTCATCTGCACATTCACTCTTGAGGACGCGTCCAAGACCAGCTCAGACCCTGACATCAAACAGGTAGACGAGTGTCATTCAAAGGCCGATTGTGTACCATCCGCTATATCGGGACGGTGGATGGTACCAAATCAGATAAAGAGTATCTCGGAGTCGAGTGGGATGATTTGAAAGGCAAACACGACGGCGTTCACCAGGGAAAAAGATATTTCACATGTACGTTATTTAAAGTCACATCAAACTGCGTCTTCTTGAAAACATCATTTCTAAGCATCACTGTAGGCTTAAACCCTTCGCCCACCGCTGCATCATTCATTCTCTCCTCTTCCCGCACTGCTGATTCAGAGCGATCCTTCGTTAATGCTGTCCGGGAGAAATACGGTACACCACGCACGACGGATGATTCAGATGAAATCGTTATCTCCGGGAAAACTGTAGAGGAAGTCGGATTTGATAAGGTTAGATCACAGCAGGCTCGATTGCATGAATTGAAGATTGTCTTGGTCGACGGTCAACGAGTCAACAGTGCCGAGAACTCATCTCTCGAGATCAAGACTGTCTGTCCAAAAATCGAAGAGCTGGATCTAAGTAGGAACCTTTTTACCAAGCTCTCGGAAGTAGCAAAAATATGCTCTGAGCTTCACAATTTGAAGACTCTGAGAATTAGGTATGTTTCATCTTGGTACAAGGCAATAATCCGATACTAAATGACACAGTGGAAACCGATTTCAAGATGTCCTCGAGGACTCTCGTCTAGCTATGGACAACCCTTATGTCTCTACGTTCTCAAATGTCACAGATCTCACTATGGATGAGATGCTACTTGATTGGGCCTGGATTGTTGATATTGTTACCCAATTTCAGCAACTCACGAGACTTGCGACCTCCATGAATGGATTCACAAGGCTCAGGCATCCTCTGCAAGCCGAGGGCCTGCTATCATTAACTTTGGAGTACAACTCATTTCAAAGTATCACAGATGTTATTGTCCTAAGAAAGTTGAACTCTCTTGAGGTCCTGCGGTTGAAGGGGAATGAAATCTCTAAAATCGACGAAGAGCCATACGAGCTTCCAAAGCTACCTTCGTTCGGCAAACAGTTGAGACATGTTGATCTGTCCTACAATGCGGTATCTGATTGGAAGTTTGTCAATGACTTGGACCATGTCTTCCCTGGCATGACATCTCTTCGATTCGCCCATAATCCAATCTACAAAATTAGCAAAGATGCGGGATCGTTCTCGAGTATGGACGATTCGTACATGTTTACGCTGGCACGAATCGGAGGACTAGACACATTGAATTTCAGCAAGATCACCCCAGCAGACCGCACCAATTCAGAGATGTTCTACCTCTCCCAGATCACTAAAGAGGTATCCGAAGCACCAGAAAATAAAGAAACAGAGGTGATCTCCCGTCATCCTCGTTATGCCGAGCTTTGTGAGAAGCATGGTGCACTTACAATCATCCGCAAGGAAGAAGGAATCATCAATCCCAATCTTTTAGAAGCTCGTTTGATCAGATTCAAATTCTATATGCCACCGAACAGCCGGCCAGGCCAGACGGACGAGATCAGATTGCAGAGGGAGCTTCCCATGTCGTTTGATGTCTATCGAGTGAAGGGGCTTGTGGGCAAGATGTTCATCATTCGGCCAATGTCCCTGCGTTTGATTTGGGAAACGGAAGAATGGGACCCTGTGGCTGAGTATGAGGAGTATGAGGAAGATTATGAGGACGAGGGGATGCTTGATGAAGAAATTGTTGCGAAGAGAGAAAAGGGGAAGTGGATGAAAAGAGAGGTGGAGATTGAAGATGGTACGAGACAAGTGGGAAATTGGGTGGATGGTCTAGAAGCCACTGTGAGGATAGAGTTAAGGTGAGATGAATGATACCCTTGTGCGACTTTGACTCCCCGGGATACCCGTTGTTCTTTGTTTGAAATCGGTGATAAATGCATGCTCTACAAGTGAGACAGGTCAATCAGAACGTATTTGCGTGCGTATAAATACAGCAGGCCCGGAAGCGAGTTTGCCTCTTGGCTCACAATCGCGAGCACCGAGTAGTTAGCCTCCAGGTCCACAAACGAATCAAGTCATAACAATCCTGGATATCTATCTATAAATACAAAAATGCGTTCACTTCTACAAATCTCGTTCTTCAGCATCGTACTCATCCTCTGGCAGAACGGAGCATAAGTCTCTCATGAATAGAAGTCCCTAAGTCTCCGCTCCTTCCTCAGTCGAACGACAATGCATCCCCACGCTGTTCCTGCAAGCCATAAAGGCAAACCTTGGCCAGCTTACTTTCTCGTCCGCCAACAGGTGAAGTCGTCCCTCTGATCGCGGTAGACGAGCTCCTCCCGGGACAGACCTCGTCGGAGTTCCTCGCTCCTTGGACTTGAAGGAAACGATAGGCATGTTAAATCTGGGCTTGCAACGACGTAGTGGTGCGTTCTATCAGATATTGTCGGTGGATGGAAAGGGTAGAGTTGTGAGAGGTGCTGAGAAGGTCAAGTGAGTGGCGACCGAACTACATCCAAGATCCGTAGCAGCGAAATCTAACTGCGGTACAGTAAACCAATGACTGAGACCCTGGGTTCGGAACGAACGATCGCTCATGACCACTCAAGCACAACACCAATCACTACTCCTCCAACAACTGACAAAGCAGCGCAATTGCACCTAACGCAATTCCGAGTAGAATCTAGCTCTGCCACTGCCAACGCAAGCACCAAACAACAGCCTCAAAACCAACTCTGCCGTCACTGGTGCCGCCATGGCATCTGCAAATGGGGCCAGCAATGCCGATACCGACACAGCATGCCAATGAGCACTTCCGGTCTCCAGGAAATAGGCCTCGTCCACTGGCCTGTCTGGTTCCGACGCGTGAATCCAGGGTATTTCGCAGCCGAGGTCGTGACTTCCAACTCGAACTTGGGTCGAAGTAAGGTCAAGAGGAGTGTGGAGTCGATGGGGTGCACGAGTCTGGGTGGGAATGGAGGAACTTGTTGTGGAGTATTGCATGGACCTGGTAATGTTGGTAGGGAGAGAGTGGGTGAAACGGAAAGGCAGAGTAACAGGCTTAGAGGTGACAGGGTCGAGAGGATGAGTGGTAGTGAAAGGGGTACTGGTAGAGGTCTCAGGAGCGATGAGCTTGGAGAGCAAATCATCGCCAGGTTGAGAACATTCAGCCGAGAGCATGCTACAATGGGCAAGTCGGGCGAGACAGCGAGTGATAGATCTAGTAGTGCATCGTTGGTTGAGAGGGCTGCTGCGAGGGATACAAAGAATTGGGAGGACGAGAGTGATGATGAGGACAATGCCATCTTGGAGAATAAAATGAGCAGTAAGGATAAAGACGAGGTTGGTAAGGGAAAGGGAAAGCTGGTTGACGTTCAGATTGTTGATAGGAAGGAGGTGGTATGTTTGTGAACAGAATATCTCCGCATGTTTTTGGTCATCTGGCTTCTGGAGTTGGCAAATTTGGTGGTCTTGAACGCTGCGCTGCCGCTTTTCGCAATGGGAATATAGCAAGATCATTTCGATTTATCTCCCTTGACAAAATATCTCCATAAGCTAATAGAGATAGCATATAGCTTTCCGTAACTCCAGATGCGCCATTCCTGTTGACTCCGCACCGAATGTAGTGCATCGCTTAGCAAACGCCTTTGTCAACAAACCTCTGCAGACCACAGACCGGTTCCCATTCCCCATAACACATCCCAAGCCGATGGAAGTTCAAAGTGCAGGCCGTCCCAAAAGAGCTCTAATCCTGGCGCATGCCAGCCAGTACTTCAGCAGCATTCCTTGGTTTCTCCATTGAAGGAATCATAGGACTAGGCGACGAGGGAGCTATCCTTCCTGGAGGTGACCCAGCATTGCTTCCAGCCGGAAGAGCCGCCAAATTGATTCCCCCCGAAGCTGGCAAGCTCACAGCACCCTCCAAGACCATTCTTCGTCTCTCATGCCAGTCAACCTCTGTGGCAAGTGATTGATCCAGCAAGATCTCCTTTTCCTGCCATTCCTTCTTTCGGAGCTCCTCCATCACTTCTGCTTGCTTCTTCAGAGCCCCACCTTCTTCTTGAGCCCATTCTATTTCTTTTTTTAACAGGTAGAATAGCTCTTTGGGACCCCTTGCTTCTTCGTCGGCTGTAAATCCAAGCTCGACGGGATATGCGGAAGTCCATCCTGGTAGGCCAAGTGGGCCATGGCCGTTTGTGGTACCATTCGCATGTGGTGGTCCCGGAAGCTGCCCTTCTGGTTGCGTTTCCTTGACGTTGAGCTTCAAACGCTGGTTCTTGTGTGCCGCCGACATTGATTTGGGGATCGGATCTGACGGGCGCAATGCTTCAGTCTCGTGAACTGTTCGGTGGTGCTTGGCCAGCGCGTCTGAACGTGTGAAGGCTCGATCGCATTCTATGGCAATTAGCAGCCATCTCAAATCCTCAACAAAATACATACCAGGAAGTGTACAGTAAAACGGCTTTTCCCTCGTGTGGCTCCTCATGTGTGCCTTAAGGGCATATGCGCTGGCATGTGGTAGCCCTTTCCGCGAACAATCAGACCATTCGCAGGTATACTTTTTCCCACGCGACTCAATATGCTCGTTGTGAATATGCTCCACGAGCTGGTCCATGTTGCTTTGGTCCCCCGCTTTGCAATGCGACCACCTGCAGACAGTAACTTGTTCATGAACGTCGTCGTCGTCCAAGCGGCTTGCTGGAGAGAGTGGTACCTCTCCCTCGCTGTCTGAAGAGATGGACATAGCGTCGTCAAATTTAGGTAGTGCTGCTTTGTATGATGCGTCCAGAGTCTCTTCGATCTTCTGTTGCTGCTCGAGAGGTATTATCGGAGCCGACCCTTGCTCTGGATCTTCGGAGTCGTTGTCGTAGTCGAACTTGACTGACTCGATGGACGAGAGAGGAGAACCCGGAGGGGAATCATCGTCATCCATGGCCGCGGTACTCCAATTCACTTTTATAAATGTAGCTGTTTCTAGCACAAGTGCGTGACGGTGACGGTGCACTCTGGGGAGATACAGTAGCTGCACCGTAGCATCTCGGGGCGGATTAACTCGCTCCGGTACCATAAATTAAAAGAAAATTACAACAGTGCTTCAGAACATCATAAATTTCAGCTTTGTTAAGACACTTTCAAGCAATCAACTCGTAAGTCTTCATCTACTGTCCGACATCTATTGCCTCATCTGCTATGATGACAGCTGTTCTGCAATTCGTAATCTCCAGATTTCGGTCTGGAGTATGCCGAAAGACCAACACATACACAGTTTCTGAGCACACAAACATTTTCAAAGATATTTTCAATCCACAATATCACTGCAAACGCTAATGTTGGCTCGAGATTAACAGTCTAGCCCTCAACATGAGCCATACCATGCGAGTCATATCTCTGCCCGGCGACTGAAAAGCTTGACAGTACCGACTCAATAGCCTTTAACTCGTCACTGGTCAAGGTGATATCCTTCGAGTTTTCAAAGATGCGCTCTACAGTTGTTGCGCCAGGTATAGGTATGACCTCAGGATTTCCGTTCTTCTTCGAGATGGAGCGAGTCCCTATGCAACGGATAAGCAAACGTTCAAGATATCCTGAATTTCCATGCCCGAAGAAGATCTTGAAACGTTGAGTAGACATTGTGGGCTTGCCAACACTTACAAGCAAGGGCCAGCTGAGCCGGTGTACAGCCTTTCTGCTTTGCAAGACTCTCCAGCTCTTTAACTAGATCTAAATTCTTGCTGAAATTCTCTGGCAAGAATCGAGGCATGGTTTTCCGCATATCGCCCTCTGGAATGTCGTCAGGGCTCTTGATCTGCCCTGTCAACATCCCTCTACCAATTGGCGAGTACCTATTCTTCAGTCAGTGCTGGAGAATTAGACAGGTACGAAGAACATACGCAATTACAGGAATGTTGTGCTCCGCGCAAGCGGCTGCCACGCCGTTGCTAAGAATATCCGTAGACCATAATGAAAGCTCCACCTCAACAGCCACAATCTTCGTAACCTCCGCAGCCCTTCGTACCGAAGCAGCAGATACTTCAGATAATGCAATGCCTCCAATCTTGCCCGCTTTCACAAACTCTTCAAGTGCCTTCATCGTAGTCTCAATCGGAGTGTTCTTATCCACTCTTGCGCACTCGAAGATATCAATACTCTTCTTGCCATCCAGTAATATCAGACAGTTCTCCACGGATGTCTTGATACCTTCCGGGGAACCATCAGGTTTCATATTTACTAGCCCTCCCTTGATGCTGAGAACCACTTTCTCAGCATCCTCAGGATACTTGGTAAAGTACTTATTCAAAAGAGTGAGAGAGTTGAAGTCTGGAGTGCCGTAGAATTCCCCGGCGTTCCAAAAATTTGCACCGGCTTCAAGAGAGGCTCGCAGCGCTTTAAATGATTGCTCCTCAGATTGAGGTTGTTTGCGCCATGTCATTCCTAATCGGTAAGTTAAATCCATGACTGATGGCATTGCAAGTGAGAGACCGCAATTGGACTTACCCATGAGGCCAAAGCCGATGGGGCCGATTTCCTTCCCAACAATTTGAGGCATATTGTCAATGAGGCTCGTCAGTTGAATGAAATAAAAGGGCTTAAGCAAATTATGAGGTGAGGTTTAGAGAGGTTTCCTAGGAGTTTATATGTCAAGCTTCTTCAAGGACTTAAGGCTGTCTCCGACGCGCCACAGCTTTTCAATCCGATCCCCCACTTGCGGGCCTGGAAAGGCGGGGTTACCATCAGAAGCTATGACGACGAGACTCAGAAGCGTACAGGCTCCTTGTATATATCTTCACAAGAACAGACGTGCATATTGCATCTTGTATGGTAGTAACATCACCCAGCTTGGTCTCCTCTAAGCTCTTGGTCGCGGAGAAAAATCATTGGTACCCTTCCATGTTTCCTCTTTTAGTCGATGCTTGACAGCTTTAGCGCAGGCATAGTAAAGCTTGGGTACATATCGGCTCGTTCCTGTAATGCAAACCACCTTACATGACAAGATGGAAGAACGAAGCTCAGCAACTCACCGAGATAACTCGCCTTCGATGTTTTCATCTGGGGAAGATACCCCCCGGATGCCTCAAGAACCACGATTCCCGATTTTATGCCGACCTTTTTTTATTTTCCTAGTTCCAAAACCCGTAAAAAGCACTAATCGTATTTGTTGTCAACTTATCGGTCCATTCCTCTAAATCGCCTTTCCCATCTGTCTCTTCTTGGCAGACGCAGACTCCTTCGATGCAAATGGAAACCCACTGGTCCTCTTATCCGCACCCGTCTTCCTGCTGATCCTCCCAGACGTCGAGGCAAACAGAATACACCACAATCCGACGGAAGCCAGGGCACCTGAACCAATCGCTCCCAGGACGAAGGGTGTCTGGCCCGAGCCAGTGTAGCGGGCATAGCAGTAGAATGCCATGGCAGAGTGGTACACAAAGCTTATTGTCAAAACTGGTACCGCGTATGGTGCTTTTGGGTCTGAAGCATCGGTTGTGACAGCGGCATTTGTGGCTGGGATAGTCAGGACAGCTCACTCAAGGAGACAGCCTTAGGCTTGGGACTCACTATCGGAGATCGAAGAGGTAAGGGGGACTGAGCCTGTTAGGAGCACGATCATGATCCCGAGGGTTAACAGCGTCAGTCCCAAGCAGCGGGAGAAGTATTGCTCGAGAGCTGGCATCTGTAAGCTGGAGAACTTGAGAGAGGAAAGCTTTGGCATACGAGTAGCTTCTCTGACATCAGGAGAGAGTAGAGTGATAATTATTGTAGGAGATACAATCAATGGAGCAGCTTGGAGAGCCAACCAAGAGGCAGATCCGTAAGAGTAAGTGTAGAAGACCTGCGAGAATTAGATCTCGACTGATTCCTCGTACCTACCACACCTGGTAGCTGGAAAGATACTCACGTCCATACTGTGACTTTTCAGTGTGATGTGAAAATAAGGGACAGATGAGGATTCGGGTCGGAATGAAGATGGTACGAAGATAGGACTCTGCTCTATTTTGCTGTTTTTTGTTGTTGTTTTGTTACGAGTAGGTTATTTTGTTTTGTTTTGTTTTCTTTTGTTTAGTGCTGTGAAGTAAAGTGACATGACATGACAGCATGAGCGCTGAGCGAGGAGGAGCTACGTCATCGCCCAGCCGACATAAGGGACTCTCGGTACGTACTGTACGCTGTACGAAGTAGGTAAGCTCAGGCTAAGGTAGCGAGAGAGCACTGGAGCATCAAGTCCGCGCATGACAATGGTAAGAGGCAAATGTACAAGGTGCTGTAGAGTGAGTGAGTGAGTGAGTGGAAAGCTGGCCCCTCTCGGCTCTTGGACTCCTGCTGTTGAAGCTCATCCTAAAACTACCTACCTACTCCGTAGGTAAGCTTGTGGGCAATAATCTGTTGTAGTTCAGTGCCCTCTATTCTGACAAGAGGATTGATTGTGCTTCATCAGATCAAATAAGATCTGATGTCTCCACATGCACATCTAGATAGGGTTATGTCTGGAACACTGAGCCTGAGCCTGAGCCTGAGCCTGAGCCTGATCCTATTCCTGATTCTATTCCTATTCCTATTACTATGCCTATTCCCACCTCAATCCTGATTCTGTTCACGCTTTCGCAGGGTCCCAAAAGAGTTTAGGGCGGGGTACACCACAAAAGGAGACGGTCACGGGCCTAAGATACCCCAGAAGTTGAAGCATTTCCGATCCGATAATCGGGCTCGCATTACCAACCAACTGCATTGGCCTACCAAGAATATTTGAGCTACTCCTACCTAAATTCCGCCCCGTCAACAATTTTACGTCCCCGCAACTCCAAGAACGAGGAAATAAACCCACGCTGGCCGGGCCGGGCTGGGCTTTCTCTTTTCTTCTCAGTTCGAACACCATCTACGAGGGATCACCTCATCTGAAAAACAGCAAGCCAACGAGCAGGCCGTTCGTCCGATCCCAAAACGACAAATCTACAAGACTAGCGGCGCGACGTGCTCGCAGCTTGCCACATCTCAAATTATGTCGGCCATCCTGTCTGTGGATACTTTGAATGACTTCATATCTCCAGGTGTAGCTTGCATCAAGCCAGTCGAGACACTCCCGGCCAAGCCACAGAGCGAAAACGCAAGTCACCCTGCCCTTTCATCCATCTACCACGAGTTATCTAACAAATTTATCAGAACGAGTACGAAGTATCATTCAACACCGAAGCCCCTCCCGCCGACCTCCCACCCGCTCAAATATCCCTAACCGACTGCCTCGCCTGCTCAGGCTGCGTAACTTCGGCGGAAGCTGTGCTTGTGTCTCTACAATCGCACGCAGAAGTGCTGCAAGAACTCGATTCGGGACCAGCATTACGACTTAGGAGAGATGGAAGCGGGGTGGAGAATCTAGATACGGGGGGTAAGATATATGTTGCGAGTGTGAGTCCACAGACGAGAGCGAGCATTGCGGCGACGTTCAAAGTCACAGAGAGCGAGGCAGGGTACATGATCGAGCAATTATTGAGTGGGCCAAGGGGTATCAAGGGCAGGGCCGTTTATAGAAATGGTTTCCAGTGGGTTGTTGATACAAATGTTGCTCGGGAGGCGTGTTTGGTACTTGGGGCTGATGAAGTTACGCAATCTATGGCCACTGCCGAGGGGAAATCGAATGCGGCAGAGGAGGGAAGCGCTTCAAAGCAACCAAAGAGGCCAATATTGTCCTCCTCGTGCCCTGGATGGATATGCTATGCCGAGAAGACACACCCGCACATTCTCCCACATTTGTCACGCCTCAAATCGCCGCAAGCATTGATGGGAACATTATTGAAGACGACATTGTGTCAGAAACTTGGAATTTCGCCAGATAGGATATGGCATGTTGCAATTATGCCATGCTTCGACAAAAAGTTGGAGGCTAGTCGAGAAGAACTCACAGATGCGGTTTGGGAGGGACCCACCGGTGCTCGGGGTGTAAGAGATGTCGACAGTGTTATCACGAGCAAGGAATTGCTTATGTTGGCCGAGTCGAGACGAGTGGACTTTGCAAAGTTGCCCCGAGCCCCAATAGCTCGGTTACCATTCCCAGACCAGAAGTTGGACGCCTTCCTCTTTCCATCTACTAAACGACGGAAGAACAACGTTCCAGCTTCCGGCACATCAGGAGGAAACCTGTACTATGTGCTTCATAATTTTGCATCCCAGCACGCAGGCGCGACTGTTCAGACAGCTCGTGGGCGGAACGCAGATGTCCTTGAATACTCGGTCACGTCGTCAGAGGGCGAGATTCTATTAAAAGCCGCTCGATACTATGGGTTCCGAAATATCCAGAATCTTGTTCGTCGGCTAAAACCAGTGAAACCTTCTAGGATGCCAGGCGGAAAGCCTATCGGGAGTGCCAGAAAGACTGCTGGAAAGGCTACTGGTCCAGAATATTCATATGTGGAGGTTATGGCCTGCCCTGGAGGGTGTACCAACGGAGGAGGCCAGATCAAGGTTGATGATCCTATTCTCTCTGGTGTAGAGGCTAGCCATGTCAGGCCAGGTCCGCAAGAGCAGAAAGAGTGGCTGGCTCAGGTAGATGAGGCCTACTTCTCTGGAGAAGACAGTGCTGACGGAAACGTCTCGGTCTCTGGTAACGATTTGGTGGACGGAATCTCCCCTTCATACATTAAAGATACCCTGGCCTATTGGGCCGCCACTACAGGTTTAGATTTGGGAAGGCTCGTATATACGAGCTATCGCGAGGTAGTAAGCGATGTTGGTAAGAAGGTTGGTGATGCCGAGAGAGTCATAGAGATCGCCGGTAAGATGGGCGGTGGATGGTAGTGGCTGCTAGTCAAGATGGGGTCGGTTGGTAAATCTAGAGCAGAAAATTCAACCCATTCTCCCTCCTCTGTTCCCGAACCCCCTACCGCTACTGTCGGGTCCGCGAGGTGCTCGAATAACTTGATCCTCGTCCTTGGGTGTGGATGTGCCTGATCGTCTTGTCTCTCCGTTGCGTTTCTGGGTTCCTGATTTTGCAACAGAATTAGGATCGAACAGTTCCTTAGATCCTGACTGGCTCTGTGGTCGAGAGTTCTCTTGTCGACCGTTACCTCGTCCCCTACCTTTCCCTCGAATAGATCTAGCCTCCTCAGTCGGTGACGTTACAATCCCCGGCGTTGACCTCCCGGAACCTGTCACAAATATCCTCGCACGCGCTTCATCATACTTCTTTTGCTTTTCCTGGCGGGCTTTCTCTGCTCGTGCTTTCAATTCCTCTTGAGTAGGCTGGTCCTGCCTCACCTCTTCCTCCTCGTCGTCTTCCATTGTCATTTTGGCTAGACCAGTGACTGGGTCAACCTTCTGAACCATGCTGGGGGTAGGCTTGCGGCTGAGGACCCTCAGTGCTGGTTTGAACTCTTGCTTGAGAGGTGGGGCTTGGGCCTCGCGCGCAACTAGGAAATAGGGCACTTCAGGTTCCTCACTACAAATGGCTTGTTAGCAGAGCGAGCGATGGGACTGCCAAGTCGACATACGCAGTTTGCCAGATCTTCTTGTTTGCTTCGGCATGTTGGGCAAGACGCTGAGCCTTCGTCAGCTTAACGTGGTCCGCAGAATTGGCAGCCTCAGCTGCAGCAGCAGCAGCATCTTCTTGGTCGGCTTTGGTGTTCCAATCGTCGTCGTCCCAGGCGTCAGGAACGGCGGCTTTCTTGCTCATCTTGGGAGAGTGGTGTTGTGATCTGGTCGACTTCGTTGTGAAGGATGGAGGGGTGAGTGCGAGGGTGTCCAAAAAAGTGCTGCACTCTAACTTGGGAGTAGCACTGAAGGATGACGGGAGGACGGCTGGACGGTACCCGAGCGTACAGTACTCGTACAGTACCGTAATTTACTAGCGTACCTGGCGCGAAGAACGTGGGGTCGTTGCGACCAGACTTGATCTGGCCTAGCTTGGAGCCTTGGAGCCTTGGACTGGGATCTGCCGCCAGAGAGCTTCGACCAAGGAACCTGAGCCTGTGTAGGTAGGCTGGTAGGGTAGAGTAAGTAACTCTGAAGATACCTAGACGGCGCAAAGAGGCTGCTACTCTATTAGTAGGTGTAGTAATGATGTTTGATAGGTGTCCTAGGTACTGTCCAATACCCAGGTACGAATCACATGATGGCTGCCTCTGCCTCTGCCTCTGCCTCTGCCTCTGCCTCTGCCTCTGCCTCTGCCTCTGCCTCTGCCTGTGCTGTTCCCATTTAACGCTTCACTCAACTCTGTCGCCAGCACAGACAGTGTTGTACGAAAGGTACTAGGTAATACTGGCAGACTGGTACTTTACAATAGTGTACCTAATAGCCGAGGCGGGGAGCTGCTCAGGTGCTCAGGTACTCAGGTGCTGCGACTGCTGCTTTCTGCTGGTGCTGTTCCCACAACTCGCCAGGCAGGCAACCAACAACCTGACCTCCGTGAACGTGAACCTGAACCTGAAGGCCAACCTGAAGGCCAACCTGAACTCCATCGTTGTCATCTGTCTCAAGGACCTCGGGACCCAACCCACCCCCACCTGACAGTGAGCGCAAACTTCAATTCAAGAAATGTCCTGTAAGCGAAAGCGAAAGCGAAAGCAAAAGCAAAAGCAAAAGCAAAAGCCAGGCCTTCTTTTCTCCCAATCTGTTGCCCCTCTTCACGGTTCGACCTGACACTTATCCAGCCTCGCAGCAGGACCCCTCCACCGCGACATCCGCTGAAGCCACAAAGACCAAAGCCTCCAGCTCCCATTCAAACTCCCAATTGGAAGACATTGATATGGAGGCTCCCGACTCCCCGCCCGAGACTGGCCATGCCAGCTCCTCCAGCCAGGTCCCACCGACCCCAACCCAAGCCAACACTTCTGGAGGTCGAGTCAATGGTGAGAGTAGCAGCAGCAGCAGCAGTAACAAGGCCAATTTTGGCGCCCCAGGCTCGAGTTGGATGACAAAGAAGTTCAACGAGGAGTATGAGAAGGCCGAGTCAAACTTGTTGGATCGGGGTTGGGAGAGTAAGTCCTAAAGGGGGGTTCGAGGGGCGCTGCCTCTCAATAGCCGAACGTCACTGATCATTCTGATAGACAAATATGGTGATCCTCTTTACAACAGTACACCGCAATAAGTGGAATTTGGGCGGGCGGTAGCTGAAGTGGGTGATACTCACATCTATGCTTTGAAGGTTAAGTCCCGCATCTGGAAAGAGACTTAGTGACGATTGAGACTGACTGATGGCTTTAGGAGAACCTTACAGTGCTTCGCTCAAACATTAATGAACGGCACAGCAATGTGCTTTAGCGAGCAACTACGATTCTCCATAGGGTACATTTACATGGCAGGGATCGGAGTTTGGAATGACTTCTTGAAGTACTGGGCTGGGATGGTTAACAAGTCAAGGCGTATTTCACTGGCATGATCCTTTTCCCCCGCTGACTGCACAATGCAGTATGTCAAAATCATTATGATCATGTGGGGAACTTATTCTACAGGTAAAATTGCCGTCTTTCATGAAATTCATTGTGACACCAGCAAGAGCTGCGTAACACATGAGATGTTGTATTTGAGTTAGCCCTTTCGTGTGAGCGGTTGTGTATATATCGCCAACAAAAATACAAAAAGGGGTGTGCTCCAGACCGCGAGCAATCTGCAGCACTACCTGCTTGGTTCTATACCCACAACGATCTCTCACTCATCTGGAGGAGGTACTTGCTTCTTACTATATGTGTCTCATCCTTCCCTCGCATTAACGCTATGAAAGCATGTGTTTTTTAGCTATCTCGTTTGAGGAGGAAGGCTGGGCATTGGAAGGTACTAAAGTAGGTCAAGCCGTCCTGCCAGATTACCCAAAACGTTCCGATGAAGCAATCACATTCTCATCCACGCGCACCAATCTCACGAGCTAACCAACAATGCTCCATGGGTTTCCAGAACAGACACAGAGACTGGCAACGAACGATCCAACGTACTTTGTAATAACGCCATAACACTCTCGGCGGGATGGAATCTGAAGTTCAAGGCAGCATGTTTCGAGTGTCTCCAGACTTGCGCTTAAATACTCCACCCACACTCGTTGCAAGCCATGGCCATCTAAGGTGGATGCTGATAGTCGGAACCTGCTAAAGCTAGAAACGTGTATCAACGCATTGCATTCTCTATTTGCTCTCCTCTGTACGTTACAGATCAGGTCTTCAAACGATAGAAATATCTGTAATACTTATCTCCTCTATCCAACCAGTTTCGAGACTACCAAGGCTGCAGTTCCTTTCGTCAGATCAATAGCTAGGCACCCTTCGCTATAACGTCTAGCTTGAAAGCCCGAGGACGCCTTAAATCCAGCCTTTCAACTTGATTGCAACCCCAGCTGAGGCTGCAAAGACATCTATAAGTCTTCCCTTGATGACAGTACATTGTACACATACTACGGGTAGAACCCATATCATCCATTTCTAAAAGGTTCGTAATTTTCTCTTAGTGGGCAAAAGCTCCTGTGCGGTGCCATTCTTCTCACGCCTGTATAATATTTCTACTGTACAGAGGCGGGCATAATGACCCTTACCCACAATCTCATTATGAGAGGTCTGAATAGTATCTACCTCCAAGCACCGTCTATTGAACCCGAGGATCACATCTCGTTCATCTCCTCGTCCAAAATGTTGGGCGCAGTGCCTTGACGAACATCATGTTTGGAGGAGAATGATCCATTTCCGGAAATCTCAGCGAGACGGCTGACGCAGGATCACAGACGTGGTGCAGCATCGTGAGTAGCTACTAGGCTTCCTTCAAGCTTCTTCAAGCTTGAGACAATAGTGGTCTGACATGATCCAGATGCTTTCCTCCCAGGCTTTTCGTCCATTCAGGTAATACCTTTCCACTCGCTGTGAAAACCTTGAAAGTTCTTCCAGGTATAGCAGCATGACCTTCTCCTTCGCCCCTCTCCTTGCCAGGCATCTTGCCAACGAAGTCTCCTCTCTTCTCTCCTTTTCCCGCTTCGGGCAGCCACTTTCCTGAAGCTCATCAACGCTCAGAGTGCGAAATATCCTCTATATGTCTCTATAGCAGGAGGCCTGCCGGTCTTTGCGAAGAATTGTGATGTGGAGTTTAAGGGTGGGAGGTGGGAGGAATAGGCCCATATTTCTGATAGTGAGATGGATCATAGTGAACGGTCGTGAGGTAGAACCCAGGGTGGTGGAAATGAGATAATTGTGACGAGAGCGTTCACGTAAGAGGGTTGGAGAGTATTTTTACACAAGACCTCGCGTGTGTGAAGTATGAAAGTTTTAAGTTCATCGCTAAACACGTTGCCATGACCAAAGTCCTTTGGCGGCCTTGACACTATTCTTCACGCTTATCCGGCTTGCATGCCTCGAGAGAGCAGGCCGGACGACAGTATCGTCATCTCTAGTTGCTGGTTCACTCTGTTCTTTACTTTCCCTCAACCTGCTCAACTCCTGGATCTTCCATGCTCTCAAGAACCACATACAGAGCGCGGCTCCAATGTACATGAAACCGGTAAACAATTGTGCGTGCAAGTAAATGTTACCGCTGTCTTGCCGCAGTTCTAGACCGATGGGTTCGGAGAATGTGCAGGGGAGGACGAGTACTAGCCAAACAATTGATAAAGCAGAATTGAGAATCTTAATTCCGACGACTTCTGCTCCGACGGGGCCGATAGTTGTCCAAAAACTAGAGCCGGTCAGAAGTGAAGAGAAGACGATGGAAGTAGTAACTCACGTTCCAGCAACTGTACCTACGATAATAGCGAAGAATATCAGAACGCCATAGCTTGTTGCGAATATCCAAATTACGAGGCTGAAGAAGCCTGCTAGGAAAGTACAAGTGCCTGCCATGTTGATGCGGCCAAATGAATCGCTAAAGTATCCAACAAAGGGTCGTCCGAGGCCTGCATAATGGTCAGTTACTTGTCAAAGCAGCATATGTAAATTGATGATTACCTTGACCAAGATTAAGCAATGCACCTATGACAGATCCCTGACTGGCCGTAAGTCCAACGCTTCGAGCGTAACTCGGTAGCGAGAAAAGAAGCACAATATAACCTAGCATCGAGAAGAATCCCCAGCCAAGCAAGAGCAGAAATTCGACTCGCTTGAATAATTTCACATCGAAAGCCATTTGGACTGAGCCAACCAACTTATTTCGATCTCTGATGAGGATCGTGCACAAAATGTTAAAGAAGCAAGAGATGATCGCCAAGATACGGAACGCCCATCCTAGACCGATGGATTGGATCATGGCATTCGTAGCTAGGGAATAGATCAAGCCTCCAATGCCGCTACCAGCTGCTGCAATACTGTTGGCGAATGAACGATGTTTGCTGAACCACTGGGGAATTAGTCCTACACTTGCAACGAAAAGGAAGCCCATTCCGAAACCAAATGCAAGACCTTGGGAGAGGAAGAGATGCCAAATTTCCCAAGCCCATGACGCGCCTAGCAGACCTGCGGTCTCAAGGAAGATTCCAATGCTCAGGGTGAATTGAGTCCCGAATCGTCCAACACAGACAGTTGCTAGAGGGGCGATGATCAAGGCCATTGAGATTGATAACCCGCCAATGAAGGCATATTCGAGAGCCGATGCGCCTGGGAATGTGTTGTGTGCCAAATAGTGGGCTAAAAAGACACCATAAGACTGTCACATATTAGTGAGTATTCAGATGCCAGGAGTGTACATGATGACACACACTGTTAATCCCCCAAGTATGCGCATTCACAAGTGACACGCATGCCACAACGACCCATCCATACCCGCCGTCAGGAGGAATATCATCGGGTTTCTGGGCCTCTGGTCCTCTACGGTCTTCTGGGTCGTCGGCGATGATCGACTTCTCCGACAGAGCCTCGTTTCTGGGATGCTCCAATTGCCGTTCGAGATCAGTACCGTCTAGATCTTTAGACCGCCTCATTGCCACCAAAAGATATGGAGAGAAATTTCAAGGAGATAAAACCCCTGGAAGGATAGAAAGAGGGTCGAAAGAAGAGGCAAATATATACATGTCCCAAGGCTTTCATGCAATAGGAATTCGTCGGCAGCAGTCGCCGCAAAGTATATCGAGAAAAGGCTCATACGCTCAACAGTGGAGAGGATGGACATTTTGAGAAGGAGATGAGGATCCTCTCAAGAGGCTAATGGATGACGAAGTGGAGCAAGGTAGCCAGATTTTTCCATTCTCACGCTCTACGCCGCCACTACCCCGCGAAACGGGTATTGCAGCGCCATCGGGAATAACGAGAGAACGGCAACAGTAAGGACTTGGACTTGCCTCGTAGAATGCACTACCTACCTATGTAATCTACGAGTAGATGCCGTGATGCCGACGGGACCCAAGCACTTACCTAATGCCTTCGATGGTCAGTACGACGGACAGTACAGTACTGTACGGTATTTTCTTTGTCGTCCAGAAGAGCGACTCATAGTCGGAAGGAACATTGGCACTGTACTGGGAAGTACTGCAATTGTGGTGACTGATAACGACGCTGTCTGAGAGGCATATCAAGCAAGAAGGGAAGGGGAGAAGATTGCAATTTATGTACAGTAGACGAGGCTCTGAGCAGCTTGCCCTTGCCTTACCAGACGCCCCCAAGTTTGCGCGTGTTGGTGTTGATGATGGTGATGTTGGTGTTGGTGTTGGTGTTGGTGGGGGGTGCAGGCGTGGTGTTCCAAGAGCCAAGGTTGTGTTGGTGTCTGCATGCTTGCGCTGGCATGGATGGCACGCAGGCACGGTAGCACCACTCGGCGACTCTTTTTCTTTTCCATTTTCGCTGGAGCTCTCCACTCATTATTACAGTACAGTATTGATATTAATTGAGGTGCTGAGGTGGAAAGCGGTGAGAGGGATGTTCACGGGGAAGAAGGACGAGAAGCCAGAGCCAGAGCCATGTCCATGTCCATGTCCATGCATGCAGAAGAATGAAGGCTTTCCATGAGAGCCATGGCAGGAAGATAACCTACCCACGCTACATTTTTACAGCAGTTTCAGGTCAACAAGTAAATTCAGATTTACATTATTGCAATGATTCACGAGGAACAAAATCGATCCCGCTGCTGCGTGGTCGAGTTGAGTGCACACTGCACACTGCACACTGCACAGGCAGAGACAGACAAGTTGGCGTGGGGTGGCGTCGCCCGGCAACAGATTACTACTAGCCTTGTTGACATTCTGGGATCCACGCTCCACCACCGTTGCCGGCAGACCATTCGCCAGCGGATACAGCACGAAGCATCTCTTTTGTTTTGACTCACTTTTCGTCACACACAGCCAAATGGCCTGCTACAGTACCTATTAACTTTAAATTTACCTGATATTGCCCTTATGCGCTGCCCGTAAACAAACTGGGCCCTCCCACACTCGTTGCTTCTTCTACAACTATCTCCCCGGATCCAAATACAAATACAAACATTGGACCTTCGCACCCGAGCCTCACGAGATACCAATATCCTACAACTCCCTTGCACGGCTATTTCGACTTCAAAGGAGTACAGAGATCAAGCATAACTGGGCATCCAGGCTTCTTTTCAAACAATGTTCCCGAGAGGACGCCCGAATGAGTCCAAGGACCGAAATCGTAAAGTAACACCACCAGGACCAGTATATATGAGCAACGACCAGTTTGGTATGTTATCTCTGCCCCGAAAGACAGCTGCACCTACTCCTGCGTTCTACGTCTTCGACATTCACTTTCAGTTCCCTGCAATACACTTGGTTTTGAGCTTCAGAGTTCCCACCGGAAATCTAACTTCTCGTAGCTTCATATCTGTCGGACCTTCGCAACAATCGAGTTGCTCGACCCAGTGGTGCTAGGCCACTACCTGACAGCAACCGCCGTGACTCTGATAGAGGGGTAGCCCCGACGGTGCCCGCAGATCAAGCTTCGACGTCTCCAGTCGCATCTGCTCCTCGTTCCTCCAGTGTTCAATCTCACAGACGAGCTCAGTCATCTCTCTCTATATACTCGTCTGTGACGTCGCGAACTGGCAGACAGCTAGTGCAACGTCCCGATGGTTTGCAGAATGCTCCAAAACCTTTGAAAGCATCAGATGTCGTCCCTACAGCAACTTACATGGAGCGAGGTCTTCGCTGGATGGAGAAAGAAGAGGCCGTGTCCTTGAGAGAAGCTATGGAAGATATGGATTTGAAGCCTCACGAAGAAGAGGAACTTCGGATTCACAATGCTGCTCAAGAAGAAGCTTCGGAACTTGTTTATCAACATCAATTCCCCGAGTCTGCCAGACAAACCGACGCTCCTTATCGGTACAAAGACCATCTGCGAAAGAACAGCTACCAACACGCTCGCGCGCAAAGCGTTGGCCGTTACAGCGGACTGAACATTGCAACTGGGTTGGCACGAGACATGCCTCGCTCTGTGTCCGGAACCTCAAGCTGTAGCGGTGGGCTCCAGTCTCCTCGCAGTCGAATCTCTAGCGAAGGTTCCGACTACTTCAGACAGAGGAATACTAGCCCTGATACCACCATTCGAAGTTCTATTGACTCTGTAACGGATATTCGGCCATCAGCAGGCTCCAGTAAATCTTTCGGTAGTCTCTCAAGCCGCGTTAGGCCTCAAGGTTCAAGGAGAAGGAGCAGTGGCAAACGCAATGTCAGTGGGGAGGTTACTGGTACTTTCACAGGTGAACAAATCTGGGAGGAGCCTGAGCAAGATAGTTCGGACCGTGGACGCACCGCAGAAGTTCCTGGCATGCCAGCACCACTTCGTATCAAGCCTCGAAATCCTTTGAACCGGGTGCAATTCGCACAAGATACCGCTACACGATCCCAGAGTACCCCTCCAGAGCCAACCAAGAAGCTTTCTGCCTTTGAGATCCACCGCAACCCACCTTCTCAGTCGAGAAACCCAAATTACACTGCGAATCCTCCTCTTGCAGCTCATGGTCTCAAGGCCAAAGCAATCCCCGATAATGAAGCACCGGCTGTGCCCACGAAAGACGGACTCGAGATCAGAGGCGAGGACATTCGTCAAGCTACTAGTATGCGTCTGAAGGATCGCAGTCCTAAGCTGCCGACTCCCACAGCTGTAAGCAATAAACCGGGACGCCCGATTGTAAGCTTCGACTCCAATTGGAAACCGAAGGAGGCTGATGTGAAGCCAGAAGTGCGAAGAAGATCACCATTTGATCGGATCGACAGGGGCTCCTCCAGCAGTCAAAGGCAAAGCCTACCTGCTCACTCAGATTCGAAGGATGTCCCATCCCCTATCCCGACCGTTCAGCTTCCTGACACTCCCTCAATCCAAGTAACAAAAGAGGCTACGGTCCCTATTCCAGTCATCAATTTTCCAGATTCTCATCCATCTGTCCCTAAAATCAATCTTCCTGACTCTAAGCCGAATGTGCCTACAATAAACTTCCCGGATTCTACACCCTCTTTCCCTACAATTAACCTGCCGGACGCACCCACTATCTCAGTTTCAACTCCTAGTATACCTCAGATTACCGTCGGGGACGCTTCCACTTCTCAATCCGCTAGACCACTTCCTTTTCCAAAATCGTCTGCTGGTCGAGCAGCACAACGACCAGTACCACCACGTTCTCCGCGTGGCCACTGGTCTCCAGCTGGAAAAAGAGCGACTGCAACATGTCACCAATGTCAACTATCGATCGAAGGAAAGGTCGTCAAGCTCAGTGGAGCTGCAGAACATTTCCATCCTGAATGTTTTATCTGCTTCACATGTGGTACGGGCCTCGAATCTCTAGAGATTCATCCTGAACCCAAAGAAAAGTGTGCCGAACGTCTTGAACGAATCAGACGCAGGATACAAGGAGAGCAAATCCCAGAGATCGAAGGTCAGACCGTGGCAGAAGACGGCGATGAACGACTGCGATTTTATTGCCATCTCGACTTCCACGAATCTTTCGCACCACGATGCAAACACTGCACAACGCCAATCATTGGCGAGCACATGGTAGCTCTTGGTCAGAGCTGGCATTATGGACATTTCTTCTGCGCTGAATGGTAAGTGACTCTCGGGAATCTGATCGTTCCCCTCGGTCTACCTTTCCATCGGCATGCAGTCTCTTATTTTGCATCCCAACTTCAAGCACATTTACTGACTCTCTGATCCAGCGGTGATCCATTCGAGAAGGGACATACGCATATTGAGAAGGACGGTTACGCGTGGTGTCTGAACTGCCAAACCAAGCGGACAGAGCGGCAAGCTCCCAAATGCAAGCAATGCAACCTGCCCGTTATTGGCGAGTATGTCCAAGCACTGGGCGGCGAGTGGCATGAAAAGTGTTTCCGATGTGCAACTTGCAAGAACTCTTTCGACGACGGCGCTTTCTACCCTTTGAAGGTTGGGAATGGCACTGCCGTTTTATGCATTAGATGTATCGAACGGGAGTTGAAAAAATGATCACGTTGGTTCCGCTTGCTCTGTTATCTTTTGGGGTCTCTCCAATCAAGTCTTTTTTTGCAGACGCTCCTTGCATTGACTCTCATTTGTCTAGCTGAGCATCGGGAGGATTACCCTGGCATCTCAAATGGCGTTGTTTGTGTTTTGCGGATCAGAAAGAGCGATGGAGCCCGGGGTAGCAAAGCAACATATCAATATTAATAATCATACTTCATTTCGAAGATGTACATGCTTGTAGACTGCTGTAGTTAGATGACCTTACGAACCTTTACGCCAGAATTGCGTCTAGTCTACTGTGCAAAGAGTTTGACACAATGCTTCTTCGCTCCTTCCAGAAAGCTAAATCAGACTGTCGGTCTTGAAACGAATCCGAAGGTAGAAACAGTTCAAGGATAGATTAGCCCAAGGGACTGGCAAGCTACTGAGGTACATATTGACTATCGAGTGGCCAACTAATCGCTGGCTAGGGTTGAAGCCATTCGGATATTTCTCATTCACCACAGCTGGCAATAAGTTTATAAGTCTTCTACGTCTTCAGTCGCACGAATTTAAATCACCCTAGGATCTATGATTGCCTAGTCTATTATCGCCGGCACTGGTTCGCCATGGTATTTTGTTTTGTCACTTAACACTGCTAATATGAAGGGGGCATAATTGTTTCTGGTGTCCCAAATCAGCTTATGATGTGTAACGATAACTGATAGTAATTTGTCAAAGAACTTCTGTTTGTTATAACATCTTAATCCTAAAGTATTTTTTCGTCTCAGTGACTATCTTAGGTTTGTGAGTTCCATTGTACTACCTCCAAGGGGAGCTAAGTGTAGAAATGGACGCTCATGAAAGTCATGTAATATGCTTTAAGTATTACAAGAGCCAACAACCCTAGCTGTCCTGTAAAATCGAATCATACCGGGAAATATGGATTATATGACCAGCTGTAAGGGAAATCATAGTCATGCAGGTGGACTTGATGTTGTTTATGGGTATTGAGTGAATTACAATAACAGCAAAGCCCGCAGCACATAATGTACTGCAGAATGGCTGCAGCTACAAATTTTAATTGCATATACCCGAATCATAGACCCGGCAATTTGCACAACTTTACAGCTTACTTTTCCCGGCAACAGGCTTCATGAGAGCTCGCCCGTTGCTCAAACAAACCTTGCCACCCTCCACTCGAGTGACAAATCTAATTTCTTCCCAATCACCCTCCGCATGTCCAGTTCTCCAAATGTCAGTGATGAGCTTGTCTCCAGGCTTGACGGGGGATGCGAATCTCGCTTGGAACTCCTTGATATTTTTTGGGTCACTGCCTCCGATGGCCTTGAGAAGACCGTGAGCTGCAAAGTTCCACGATGCAAGGCCGTGCATAATAGTACCACCAAAGCCCATCTGCTTTCCTGGCTCAGGTGTGGCGTGGAGAGGATTGTAGTCACCGTTAAGTCTAAAGCCAGTCAGTCAGGTGTATCCCCCGCTAAGATTAGCTGAGTTTGACAAACCTATAAAGCAACGCCGACTCAGCAGTCAACTGATGACTAACAGAAGCATCTGGCTTTTTTCCCTCGGGAGGAGGAAAGCTCTTCGTCGCAGGACCCTTAGGCCCACCCCAGCCACCTTGCCCGACAAAGAATCCGCTGCCAACAGCTCTGCTGTAAACCTCTCCAGTCTTCTTGTCCACAATTTCTTGTTGGGTCTCAACCACTGTGCCAGCCTTTCCCTTGTCGTAGACACCAAGTACCTTGGATTTTAACTCGAAAGTGCTGCCTTCCGATGTTGTAGGAAACGGCTTGAGAAATGTTATCAAGCGTTGGCCGTCAACAACGCGGGTGTAGTCAAATTTGGGGACATCTGGGATAGGAGTGGCTTTTTGTGCGGCGTAGAAGTCGATCACTTCTTGGCTTGTATATTTGAAAGCTTTACATATGTTAGATAGGCTGAAACTTAAAAATCACTTTTGAGTACATGACTGAGGGGGGAGCTAACGGAGTATGATTGGATATGTAGGGAAGACAGCGAAGTCTGGGTGCAGTTCCTACAGCTCGGATTAGTGTATAATTGAAGTAAATGAGACAATCGGTGCATACGTAGAGGAAGTGCAGCTCATCAGCTGTGCAGCCAATGCTGTTTGCAAAGAGCAGGACGTCACGCTTCAACCAGGCGACTTCCTTTGTAGGATACTCAAATCCAGCACCAGGTCCGCTCATTGTGTTTACTATGTCTTGTAAAGAATAATATAGAATTGCAAAAGAGGAGAAGACTTGGCCAAACTGATATGAGAGAGATGGAGGGTTGAATGTTGGGGAAGAGAGGTCTGAAGCTTCCCAGAGTCCCACTTCCCGTCCTCGGCTAGGACATGCCTCGGCTTCAGCAATCGGCTGTCTTTTTCGCAAGCGTGACCGTTACAGTACCGTTCCCGCTACCGTGACTTTACCTTACCTTGAGATTATCAGCTCCTTCCAGAGACTTTCTTATTTTGTTGTGCAGTTTGTCTTTGAGACGAAGAAATGGTGTCGATCCTGATCACGGGTTGCTGGAGCTCCTGGCTGTGACTGGTGACACTGGCGGCTGAGCTGTAAGCTGTCCACGATACGGTGATGGACGGCCTTGTCTTCTCTTGAGATTTCCAGTCATTATTGCGGTCCGCGCTGCCCATACATACATGCCGGCTGGTAGGGCTGACATTGAGTCTTAGTGGTGGCTTGTTCACCAATCAGCCTCACTCACCCTGCCTCTTCGAGACTCGCAAGTGCGGCGAAGAGTCACAAGGGCCGAGTGAGTATTTGATTTGATACCTACATTACCAGTCTTCCATCTTTAATCAAGGGAACATCAGAAATATCCTTTCGAAGACCACCTCTTCCGTCCTGAACTCACCACCATGGCTCCAAGCAAACGCCTAGGCCTAGCTGTATCTTTGGCAAGCAAAGCAGACTCGCCCATCTACTTCTGGCGAGAGTACGGGTCTCAACACAGCTATTTATCACAATGGTACCCATCCCCGTTTACGGTCTCCGGCACAAGCATTACCTACACCACTGCCGAACAGTACATGATGCATCAAAAAGCAATCCTCTTCTCAGACACTGAAGTTGCTCTAAAAATCTTGGCCTCTCAATCCCCCAAGGAACAGAAATCTCTTGGGCGTCAAGTCAGTAATTTTGATGACAGAATATGGGAAGAGAACAGAGAGCGGATCGTCGAAGAGGCTAGCTACTGGAAGTTCAAGACGGGTAAGGACGAGGGAGTGCTGAAGGGAGAGGGAGTGAGTTTGAGGGATAGATTGTTAGCGACCGGTGATAGGGAGGTGGTGGAAGCAAGTCCGAGAGATAGGATTTGGGGCGTTGGGTTTGGAGAGAACAATGCTCCGAAGAGGAGAGCGGATTGGGGCTTGAATCTTTTGGGAAAGGCCTTGGTAGTTGCCAGGACGAAGTTGAGGGAAGAATGTACTGGAAATGATGGGATATCTGATAAGGCGAAAGAGAAGGGGGAGAACGTAGAAGATGTTCGTGAAGGACAGAAAAAGAGACGCAGGAAGAGTGAAGATTAAAAGTCTTCTAGCAAGGGAAAAAATGCTGGTTGCTGTTCGTATGTGGTCTATCAGACTCGCTGACATACTTGCTACCGAGTTCCAAAGTCGAAGGATATTTCAATACTTGAAACAATTTTGAAATGCTCACCTGTTCCAAGACGATCATAAGATGTACCAGCGTCTTGAACGAACTGGTCAAAGGATATCTCAATGGGCAGCGGGTGAGCAGTGTTTAGTTCATCATTTATAGTGTGCTCGAATTTTCTATCAACCATTATCACAAACAACATGCCACAAAGTGAATGACTTTTTCCACGTCCGTTGGTTATCTCGATGCCCTCAGATTCTATTAGTGTGTCAGGTAACAAGGCAAAATAGCAAATCGCTGCTTCCTTAATTCAACGCCGTTGAGACACGGAATATCATGCTCCCCAGGTTGCAGATCAACGTAAGTGACAGTCGTGGGCAGCAAGAACAACCATAAGCAAGAGCGAAGCAGGACAAGGGACCCGCAGTAAGCCATCAGACCAACCACAGATAGCCCACTCTCCAAATGTCGACATATGGTATCACCCATTTCGAAAGGAACAGATGAGAGCGGGCAGGTGGTTCGAATTCTAAGCCGATGGCAAATTTGACATGTTTCCCTTGCCGTTAGCAATCCACTCTGGCTCGATCAATCTTTCTCGCTCCTGGTACAAATACTTGTATGCAGTACGGATCGTGCCATCACTGACACCAGCGACTGCAGAAATTTCTTTCGGAGTCTTCGGTCTGCCAAGAAGGTAGGATGCCATGTAGATGCAGGCAGCGGCAACGGAGAGAGGGGAGCGACCGGCGAGATCACCGACGGTAGACATCTTCTCAGCGAGACCTTGGGAAACCTTGACAAAAGCCTGGCGTTGAAGTCCCAGCTGGCTACAGTATCGAACGCAGAGTTCAGAAGCGTTGGTAGAGCTAGTCGTTTGGTATGCGTCTGTGGATGGAAGCAGACCTTGAGACAGGTTTGTTAATATGAAGCAAAATGAAAATAGTAATCGCCAGTAACTTACCATTGGAAGCAGCCTTTGCCTTGTCCTCACTGTCGTTGGCGAAGAACTTCTCGAGAAGCTTAAACGTTCGACCAATGTCTTTCTTTGAGACTTTTGTCAGGGCGAAAATCTCTCGGAAGGTTCGTGGGACTCCGCACTGGCGGCAGGCAATGAAGATACATCCAGCAATGATTGCTTCTTGAGATTTGCCCTTAAAAGCCTTTGCATCATCAACCAACTTGAAGAGGTGCTTAGCGGTATCGGATACGTTCTTAGGGATGTTGACAGCGTCGCAGTGGGCACCGATCTCCTTGTAGGCCGCAAGAAGACCTTTGGTGGCCTTGTCATTGGATGATTTGTTTTGTGCTCTCATAAGGTCACGGCTACGCGCATTGCCATCTTGGAAAGCGATAGTCGTGGTGAGTTGAGATCCGTTAAGGAGAGGATTTGCGCCGTCGCCGACACGAGAAGGATCGTCGTTGCCCTGGTCGTCGTTCGCAAAGGTTCGCCACTCAGAGCGAGTGTCAACGATACGATCACCGAGGACCAGTCCACAAGAACCGCAAACCATATCGCCAGAGGAGAACTCCTCTACCAGATTGGGAGGAAATTCCTTGCAGTCCTTACAGACCATGGTCATATTTAGATTCTCGCTCCATTCGCCTGCAGCGGAGGGTGGCTCGGGAGGAATCATTTTGGATTTGTACGGCTTGGGCCGGTAGATGTTATCGAGTTCGTCAAAGACCGGGCGCTTGCTGCGCCTGCGACGAATTTGTTTTCTCTTCCGCGATATGACAGCTCGAGCCTTGAAGTCTTTGGTAGGTTTTCCGCAAAGAAGTGCAGTCGAGAGTTTGACAAAGAGTGGAGAATGCGTTTTGGCGGTATTGACTACGAACGAAGGAAGTGAGCCTTTGTTGGTCGTCGCGAGATCGGCGGCTGCTGTGTTAGGTGAGTATCCTTCACAGAAACCTGCCGATTGCGCAGAAATCTGCGTCGCAGATTATGTTCGAGAAGATGCGAGGGGATGCGAGGGATTTTGGAGCTTCTCGTGGGAGAGTATGAGGATGCCGTGTAGTATGGGATGATCGATTTCGGTGAGAATGGGCGGGTGGCAAAAGAAGGTGCTGCTGCCAGGACGATCGAATTTCTGCAGAACCAAATACCAATGAAGGCGTCTGAGAAAGATTCGGAGATCGTAGAAGTTGTCAGTAACTATCGTGGAGGAAAGGTGACCGGCAACTTTGTGTTTGAGGCGACAGTTCGACGTCTTCTATGGCGAGCGAGCGTGGGCGAAGAGGATGAAGGAGAAGAATCCTCCCTTGACTGAGCCGGACAAGATATCAGTGCCTGCTACCGTTAGCGTTGCTGACTGAGGCAAGAAAGCAGGCACAGAACATCCACGTGACTTCTTAGGCAGGTGCTACGCGCAACTCGCTACCTTACCGCGATGGAAGCTGCTAGGGAGCTCAAGTTGTCGAAGCTCACTTGATTATTCACAACTCCAAATACCTTTCGCAACACAACAACGACTATTCTCTGTCCTTCTCACTGATTATTCTCCTTACCTCCACAAACCGCAGGCAGCCATGTCTACGTTAGAGGATCTTGATGATCTTGAGCGTGAGCAGAAGGAAGACAAGAAGGATGGCGATAAAGACAAGAAACCAACTGATCAAAATGGTGATGCTGAGATGAAGGATGCTGAGCCAGAGGAGAAGGAAGAGGACCCCATAGATGAAGAGATTTACAATCTCAGTACACAAGAAATTTCGACGAGAAAACGGTTGTTGGAGAACGATTCCCGGATCATGAAGAGCGAATATCAGCGGTTATCTCACGAGAAAGCTACGATGGGCGAGAAGATCAAGGACAACTTGGACAAGATCGAGAATAACAGGTATGCTACTTTGGGTGTATTCCAAGGCGTCTGGTGACTAATTGCTTCGCAGGCAATTACCATATCTCGTTGGAAACGTGGTTGAGCTCTTGGATCTCGACCCAACCGCAGAATCTCAGGAAGAAGGATCCAACATCGACCTCGATGCGACACGCGTCGGGAAATCTGCTGTCATCAAGACCTCTACCCGACAAACCATCTTCCTTCCTCTCATTGGGCTCGTTGATCCAGAGCAGCTGAAACCAGGAGATCTGATCGGTGTAAACAAAGACTCATATCTGGTTCTAGACACATTACCAGCCGAGTATGATAGCAGAGTAAAGGCTATGGAGGTTGATGAGAAGCCAACCGAGAAGTATACCGATGTAGGAGGACTGGACAAACAGATCGAAGAATTGGTTGAGGCAATTGTATGGCCAATGAAGGAGGCTGAGCGATTCAAGAAGATTGGCATCAAGGCTCCAAAAGGTGTGCATGATCCCGCATAAATGATGGCTAATGCTAACATAGAGAAGGCGCCTTGATGTATGGACCACCTGGTACTGGGAAAACCCTCCTTGCCCGAGCCTGCGCAGCTCAAACAGATGCCACATTCCTCAAACTCGCCGGACCACAGCTAGTACAAATGTTCATTGGTGATGGTGCGAAGTTGGTTCGAGATTGTTTTGCTTTAGCGAAGGAGAAAGCTCCCGCGATCATTTTCATCGATGAGCTGGATGCTGTTGGTACCAAGCGTTTTGACAGTGAGAAGAGTGGGGACAGAGAAGTGCAGAGAACCATGTTGGAGCTTCTCAATCAACTCGATGGTTTTGCATCCGATGATCGCATCAAGGTTCTTGCAGCTACAAACAGAGTCGACGTTCTTGATCCCGCTTTACTTCGTTCTGGACGTCTTGACAGAAAGATTGAGTTCCCACTACCAAATGAAGAGGCACGAGCACAGATTCTCAAGATTCACAGCAGAAAGATGACAGTCGATGGTGGGGTCAATTGGCCTGAGTTGGCACGAAGTACAGATGAATTTGGCGGTGCGCAGCTGAAGGCAGTTTGTGTGGAAGCAGGCATGATTGCTCTAAGGATGGGCAAGAACAAGATCAGCCACGAGCACTATGTGGATGCCATTGCGGAGGTTCAAGCAAAGAAGAAGGGTAAGTTCGGCCGTGACTCGGAAGCTCTGGCGCTTTGGCTAATCCGTTGTAGATACCGTCAACTTCTATGCTTAGTGGGCTGCTTGGTATTGGTTTGTACGAGGGGAGTTTGGTATGGCATGGTTTACATACTAGGCCCTGTAATCATAGACACATCATGGATGACTTTCTTTCCACATGATCAAGTTTCCGTAGATAAATGGAAATTGGAAATGATGAGCTTCCATACACCTGTTTTATAATGTTTCTGGACTCCGACTCTATGTCGCGGATCAGCAGGTACTTATCGCCTGAACGAACTGTCATTCATTTGCTTTCATGAGCGATTCTTGCATTGCAGAGTCCAGAAAACGAACTTGGCTTGTCATAATGCCTGCTAGTGATAGAGATTCTCGGTTCTCACGAGCTTTCACGCAATTCCTACAAAGTCAATTTGAGCATTTGTTGTCCCAGCTTATGGGGCCAAAAAGCTGTAAAGCACAGATCCGGCTTTAGAAGTTGAGCACGAACATACCCGTTTTGGGCAATTCTACTGGCATGAAATCAATTCGATGTTTTCGGCCTCTTGTGGCAGAATCAATGTCAAATGTAAGGTCATGCTTGGAAATAAACACCAGTATGCCTACGTCAGATCGATGGCACGTTTAACATCTCAAAAACCATGAATCGTGTGAAAAGTTGACACAAAATATGCCATTCAGTTGAGACTTCAAGATCGACCCTAAATAGTTGCAAGGGTAGAAGTAAAGTCCAGACGGTGGAGTTGAGATCAGAGGAGATTGAAATGGAAAGGCAGATGCACGGCCTCAGGCAACAGGGCATTTACATCTTCTTGGCAGCGCTGCGATGCGGACTCTCAACCTCGATTTCCCGAACACTTTTCAAGCACCTCTCCTCTTACCCATTGACACCACCACATCCGCCGGCATGTTCACACAAACTCTCCGCGCTACGGTACGAGCTATCCTCAGCTTCAGATACAAGAAAGCTAACAATTCCAGCGCTCCTCGATCGCTCGTGTGGCGAGGCAGCAAGCTCCCGGCATGGTCTCGAGACGCACCTTCATCACTCCTACTGCCGCTCGTCAAGGTTCGTAGCTCTTTTATCTTTCGACAAATAATCAATTATACTGGACGTTTGAGCCGCTTGGCCACACAACGACTCTGGATGGAAACGCGAATGGAGTTAAACGTCGAGCACGAAGCTAACATCCCTTTTCTTAGCGGATCTCGTCCAAGAACTATATGTCAAGGAATTGAAGGCCTATAAGATCCCACCAGTCAAGGCTAACGATGCGGATGGACACGTCCAGAAGTTCAATGCACCAGCCCCACCCAAGTCCCCCGAGGAAGCGGACATCGCCAACGAGTTGAAGTCATACGAGACACAGACTGTGGATATTGAGGGCCAGGCTGAGGGGGGCGTTGTTGAGAAGGAGGTTGATTGGTTCGAGCAGGAGCCAGAGGAGGAAGAGGCTCACCACTAGACAGTCTCGGGGTGATGGATGGGGTAGACTGGGCGATGCCGGAGATGGATGCAATATCCAGCGTGTATAGCATAACTAGAGAAGGGGACATTGTACAGTGAAGGCCTGATTTACCAGTTCTCCCAGAAGTGCCCATATATCGCTAAATTGTGACGTATCCACGAGATAGCTTGCTTCGGGTCGGTCGCCAGTGCTATGTTAAGTTGCTTCAAGCCAAGTACTCTTCAGAACGGTCTGAACCCGTCAGAAACTGAACCTAGTACATGTACTGAATGGCCGAGCGTCATGGGAGGAGTGACTCGGCTTTTCTATCAGACGATTATGTACATTTGGACGTTGCTATTCGGAAAATTCACACGTCAATACAACCAAGGGTACTGTCCAGAACCCGAAGACGTAAAGGAGACATTGACCCTTCAACCTTGATCCTATCCCAGGAACTGCAGAGCTTCGAGTGTGAGCAGGTCGAGTTAAACGGAAAGAAGGGCCATTTGCTGACTTGTTTTTGACAGTATTCTCAGTTACTTGCCTGCAGGTGGCTACGTTCGAGCCGGGAATCTGGGGCAGCATCTTCACATTTCATGACGACAAGGCGTTCCAATAATGATTATGATGCCTGAACCAGCACCCATAATAGTGTTTGGATCATATGTACGATGGAATAGTCTACTTCTTGGCCCTGGGGTAGGCTCCGCACAGGTGTACTTGTCCGTTCGATAAGTCATTGTATCGGGAAAGATTCAGGCAATGTGTAACTTGGAGCAATGTGTAATTTGGAGCGATGCGAACACATTCGAGACGTAGGACTATAGGAGTGGGTTCATTCCTCCATAGCAATGAAATAATCCAGCAGAAGACGCTGATGAGCGACTTGAAGCTCAAGTTTCTCAGTTCGTGTTTGCATTTGTACCTACACTCTGTAGCTTGGAGCAAGGACGATACACCAGATTTGGATTCCTCTGGCACATCTTCACATGTCAGAGTAGGTTGGCGCCCTTTCAGGTGTCTGAACTCAACATTACTGACCACAGTTCGTTGATTCAGATCCGACGAGGATTCCATTGACGGAGGTTGTTGGCAGTGAGTTTCAAAAAAAGATTGATTCGGGTTCTCATCACCTCCCCGCTAGAATATTGCCGCCAAGCTCAGATATTTCGCAATCCAGTCTCTTATACCATTAGGACAATCTTTACAGCCATTGCTTAAGTTATACTTTCAAAGTCCTTAGAGGTATGGACATCATATACTGGCAAAACGAACAAGTGTCGTTTGCCCTTTTGCTTTGCTTATCAGTGTAGCTTTCGATGTTCAAAAACCGTCAACAGCTGAATGTCAGAGATGGTCTCCAACTCATAGCTAGAGGAATTCGATAACAAGTGTGATTTCTGCACCGTGTAGGGTAATCCTTAACCCCAACATGTCTTGGGCACACTTGCTTTCTGCGTTGACCGCTTTGTTTTGGTTCATGCAGTCGGTCACAGCTAGCTGCGGCATCGTACACGCTACCCATATATTTATCCTTAATGACCCTCTAACGAGAGTTATTGTTCATTCCCGGGGTCACTTGAGAGTGCTCGATGTTCTGGCATAGCCGCGTGCTTGAGTAAAGCATCAAGCAACCCCAAGGCCAGTCCCAATCTGCATTCTCTTGCATGATCTATTGCCTATAGCTTTATGAGATTCTCAATGTTCTATTAATGCTTCTTGTGAGCTCTGTGTGGATGGTATATTTCGTATTTGGAGAGCTTGCTGTATCTAGGTGGTGTCACACTTCCTTTGCTTAAGGCTTTGTTGTTTCTTATTGTTACGAATAAATTCAAAGGGTATTTTCAACGTGAAATTCTCTGAGTCGTTCGTTCACAGAAAGCACATAAGACGATAGCTGTTGGAAATGTCTCCTCAAATTGCTCTTTTGTAATTACTAGCCTGGGCATTTCGGCTGTGAGCACAACTGTGCTCCAGATGCTCGGGCAATTCGAAGTTGACCGGTTGAAGTCTAGTCAATAAAACTATTCAAATATGGCAGTACAATCATCACTCTTGTCATTGATTTAGTAGACACTAATGTTAAACTGTTTCCAACTGCAGGCACTTGTAACTTTCCAAAGTCTAGACTCCGAACTGTAAGTCCAGCGGATTTGTACGGCATCCAAAATCCATACCAGAGAGCTCGGTTTTCCTTCCACACTCACAAGCATAATCACACCACCACTGATGCTTAGGCATACCTACTAACTTTCGTACCTATGCTTCGTGGTTGACCAAATGCATACCTAGGTAGCCTAAGCCCATCTTCCAAATTACCAATCACCCACACCTTCCTTACCCGCTCCTGCGGAAACGAGTCAAAGGGGCCGAGAAACTCAGCCCATAGCATTCTGCCAACTGTGGAATGGGGCCAATCGGTACACCGGCCCTTGAGTTGTTGTCTAGGTGAGGGGAATCTCCACTCTACTCGGTGCAAACGGAAAATGATGCACGATTTGGACCTAAAATTCCAGGATTAAAATGGGGACGGAAAGTTGAAGAGAGGGGAAATATAGCTTAGCACAGCACAGTCAGCAAAGCGCCATGGTTGATGGGAAAGTTCGATACATGGTTGTATTTATCATGTACTACTATTTGTTACTGGCCGAGCACAACCCATGGAAGACTTTGCAGCTTGAAAGCTTATCTACGTAATGTCGTCCGTAAGTGGAAATTTCCACCCAGTGCGTTGGAGGCAAAGTAATGTAGTAGCCAATCCAGCTCACCTATTCTCCGGCTGGTAAAGCGGGCGCGAAGTAGGGTTTCTGTGGGGATGAAAGGACTACAATGCTTTTTGTTGCTAACAAGACAGCCTTATTGTTTGTTCATGTTAAAAAGCCACCAAGCAAGTATGACCCGAAACCGCAGTCAAAGCGATTCAATGCACCTCGTCCAACCCATGAGAGAACATTGCCTTTCATGCATGCTCCAATTTCATTTCTCTCTCCCAATTAAGGCACAGGACCAAGTTGCTGCGAGTGCCAAAAAAGCTCGTTGCTCTCATGAAAAAAAGATCGCATGGCGTATATCATTCCCATATCCACATGTCAATGAAAAGGGCATTGCAGACTCAATGCCCATTTCTCGACGATAGCCAATCTGTCATATGCTTTGTGATCGAATGATGTCGACCAGAGCGCACCTCCAGGACTCCGCCCAAATGCAAATAACGCCGGCCCTATGCATTGGTATGTAAAAGAAGTCGTGAAACGCAAGGAAATCGCTCAAAGGGCGGGAGCTTCGTCGCACCAATTTACATGTCGAAGTGTCCGCCATTGAACATACTTTGATCCTCATTTGTGCTTGTCTTTACGATGCCGCTCATTCGAGAGCTTCGCTTGTCTGCAAGTGGGTCCTCCCACTCCTGGTCGGCCTTCTCATCCTCATCCATATCATCGTACTCATCCTTGATGCCTCGTGCTTGCATGTGCTCCTCCATGGAACTTTCATCAACAAATGTGAAGCCCTTAAAGTTAGCCTGCATGCCTGGCGAGAGAGGTGTGGAAGTCGCAACACCAGCTGCGAGAGCTGCAGCACGAGCATTGAGTGAGGATGCGCCGTTAAGGGCGTTGGTGAACTCGGGGTCGAAGTTGGATGTATCAGTCTCTGACTTCAACTTTGGCTTAAATGGCGGAGTGATAAGCTTCTTAGTCAACGCATCCCAATCAATATCAGCAAAGAATGGATGTCGCTTGAGTTCCTCCGCATCGTCAGTCGCTCCGAGCCGATGCTTTGGATTTCGGTTGAGAAGACCCTTGACGAAATTTCTCCCCTCCACAGTTAGGGTTTCCCTTGGGAAACGTACTTTGCCGAACGCGATGTTCTTGTACATCTGTTGAGTATCCTCGGCGTAAAATGGACTCCAACCACAGCACATTTCGAATACAAGAACTCCAAGTGACCAGAAATCGACCATCTTTGTGTATCCAGCTTCGTCCAAAAGAACCTCTGGGGCCAGATATTCGGTGGTACCACAGAAGGTATTGGTCGTGGCGTTCTTGGTCAAATTCGCCTTAGACAAGCCGAAGTCGCACAAAGCAATATGTCCATTGGCATCCAAGAGGATGTTTTCCGGCTTCAGGTCTCTGTAAACGATATCGTGCATATGAAGGTGTTGGAGAGCGAGTATCAGTTCGGCAATATAGAACTTGGCCCGCTTCTCATCAAATCGACCTTCCTTTTGCAAATGCCAGAACAGCTCGCCACCAGACATGTAGTCGGTGACGAGATACAAATCAGTTGGAGTCTGGAAAGAGAACTTTAAACCAACAATAAACGGAGAATCCGCCATGGCTGTTCTGACGAGGATATTTCGCTCCCCAACCGTGTGCGCAACCTCTTTCTTCTGGACAATGACCTTCTTTTGAAGCACTTTCATGGCATAAATTCGTCTTGTGTCCTTTTTTCTGACCTGGTAAACCTGTCCAAATGTCCCCTTTCCAATGAGCTTTAGAATCTGGAAATCATCGGGGCCATAGTGCTTCTTCTCAGTTTGTTGGAACGTGATCTCAACGTATATCTCTCCCGGCAGCCCCGTATCAGTGTCATTTCGACCCCGGAGCGGGAACCATCCTTTGATTGGCGAGTTGTCATTTTCGGTCAAATTCGCTTCCAGATCGACATGACCCAAGAATTCCTCCGCAGCACTACTCCGGTCGTAGATAGTAAGGTTGATTCTCGCATCTGATCCAACCACATCGCTGACCAAATTAGTACCGTACACCTTACAAGGAAAATGTGAACACCTACAAAACGGCCTCAGTGTCCCACTTTGGATTAGTCATCGATTTCCGTCCCTTGCTCTTGAAGTCACGATAGTCCGAGAGACTGGTGTTGCTGCTTTGCCGACTCTTCATTGGAATTGCCATGGGCCGACCAGAATCACTTCCTGATCGGGCGATAGGGATTCCACCCATGGGACTACTCGTTGGGTCCTCATTCTCATCGATGTCTGAAGGCAATGGACCTTTCGAGACAAGCTCATTTCGTTGGAACACAGCCACAACATACGGGTCTCGGCTCTTACGCAAACCTCTGGCTTCAGCGATTTTGACAGTAAGCTTTCCTTTCGGTGATGGTGCTGGAGCACCAGTCGGCGGGGACAAAGATGCTGCACCGGGAACTGCTTCAACGTTTGCCTTTGCTGATTGTCCGTTTGCTTTATCTGATCCCCCGCTAGCATCCGATTTGACGGTTTGGTTGGACAACGCGCGAGTTGGAGTGGGAGGGATACTCTTTGTACGCGGAGCGTCATCTGTTAGCTTCTTGAGTCTATCATAAGATGGAGACTCGTGAAAATCAGAATTCAAGCGGGAAAGTGAAGGGGTACTGGGTGAAGTGGCGGAATTGCGATCGCTGGGGTTCGAAAAATGGGCCGCGTGAACATTTGAAGTGGTTAATACATTTGAAAGCGGATTCATCAAAGACGCCCGGCGAGCGCTCGACGGAATCGATTCCGAGATGCTCTTGTGATGTCGGGAAGACGGCGCTGCTGTCTTCGCAGCACCCTTTTCCTCATCTTCAGAGCCAGAATCGCTGAGCTTTAACTTGTGCAGTGATGGTGTTTGGGAAGCGGGTGGTGTCGGGTACGAGTGCAAGCTTGATGATCGGGGAAGTGTAGGTGCAAGAAGCCCCAACTGCTCATATTTGGGGAACGGCAGGGCTTCTGATTCTGTCTGGGGACAGGCACTTGCAGGAGCCGCGATGGACTCTGCTGTGGCTGGTAGCAGGGTCTCAGCAGCCTCCAATTCTTCCGGGCGGGAGAACGGAGGTTTGCTTTCAGCCTCGCCCCCCGAAACAGGAATTTCAAGCGGACCAGAATTTGGACTTGCAGAAGAACCAGAAGAACCAGAACCAACCTGTCCAAAGTAACTGTGCATTATGCCTGGCAGCCTCTTGTCTGAAGGATCGGGCTGCGGAGTTGCTATTCCCGACCGAGGGGTATCGCTGTCGAAGCCATTTGCATCATCGTCCCGGCTGTTGAGCACATCAGTAAGAGTCGTATTAATAGAGCATTCATTGTCCAGGAAACGCGTGGACAATCTTGTAAAACGCAGAGATCCAGCAGACGTGAAGAAGAGGAATTAATTGGCAGGGGCGCTGGCATTGGATGCACAGCGATCAGAAAATTCCTTCACTCCAACCAGCAGTGCAGTGCATTGCAGGGCAGAAAATCACCATTATCCGACTCTGAACCATTTTGGAAGCACAGCCGCATGAAGAGGCCTTGATGCCGCCCCGCCACTGAAAAACCCCACCATGATGAGTTGAAGAAGCATGTGGGTGCACGAAACCAGCATCAAACTTGAATGTGGTTCGGCACATGGGGAAAGACAAAGATAGACACGGCGTGCCCAGGCTGAAGCTGTGCACAACACGTTGTAGCCTCCTCTTTCTGGTCCAGAGGGGATGAAGTGCATGTCGCCCAACTCTGCGCAAATAACGTACCTCGCCATCATCGCCTGAGTTGCTTGCTTGAGGAGATCCATCTCGTTGCCTGCCATCTTGAACTATGCTTATTGTGCTCTTGTCGTTTTTTCCGTGGGGCAGGTTGAGGTCGAAGTCGGAGTCGAATTGTTGTCGAGGACTGCAGATTCGAGATGATCGTCGGAAGGTAGGTAGGTACTTAGGTATGATGAAGTTGCCCCATTTACACCCACGTCCGAGAGTGCGGTTGTCTGCGTCTAGGACAGCTGTGAAGCTTCTGCGACTCCTAGTGGGAGCTCTGGCGACGAGCAGGAGACTTCGGTGTGTTTGAATTCGTGTCTGGCGAAGAGCAGAATCGAGAAGGTGAAGTCGACTCAAGGTGGGCTTGAAAAGTGAAGAGGTAAGGTAGAGTAGAGTGCTGCCCAAATGGTGGTACTTGCGTTGCTCGCCGGCCCTTTACCGTGGGTCTGTCCGCTAAAATACGGACGCAGGCGAACCAGTCCAGTTGAGCCACTACTGGACAGGACAGGACAGGGCAGTCCGTCCTGAGTCTGAGTCCTGACAGCCAACAAATGACTCGGGGGCGGGAGCCGACGGAGACGAGACAAGACGAGATGGGGCGAGACTGGCAGCCCAGATATATGTAATAATTGGTCTGCGAGAAAGACGCACCGACAAGTCACGGCAAGTTAAGTCAAGTCAAGTCAAGTCAAGTCAAGTCAAGTCAAGTCGAGTCGAGTCCTTTATATACGCGGAGAAATCAGCTCGGTTGAGCGTAGGCGTAGGTACTCGGATCGCGTCGGGTCCAGGCTGCTCCAGGAGCTATGAGTACTGTAACTTATGTCTGGCCTGGATATCAGAGGCTTGGGGTGCGGTCCTCAGCGATCAACCGATGGGACCAGAAGGGCTGGGTGGGCTCAACAGACGGAAAGCTGGTAGATACCAACGGCGGCGCCTGAGAGTCGAGGAGACTTGACTGCTTATTCTTATTCTTATTATATCTTGTCCGTCTCACTTATCTAACTTATTCTTTCCTATCTTCCTAGCCCCAGCAGCCTGCATTCTAGAGCACAACAACAGTCATCGATGCGAGGAGTAATTCGGCTGGCCAGCTTCAACTCCATACCTGTGTGCATATGTGCCCAGCAAGAGGATAGATGACCGCGTATGTTGATGTCGCGCTCGGTGTAGAAGAAGGCACTGTCTGAGTCCCTGGCTGTCTACCTGAGCTGCTATCCTCAAAAGGCCCTATATTATTGGTGCACTATCCGTTCTGCCAGCCTGTTGTCACCTCTGGCAACTCCCCATCTTGTGTCTCGAATGTCTGGAGTTGCAGATGTGCCCATCGACGTCATTTTCCCGATAGGCCTGGGTTACAGATCTCGTTCTCCACTCTATTTATGGGCCGGTATTTGTATTGCATGACAAGTTCAAGGGTCTTAATGGGTTGATCACATCAGACCGAGGTCGGATAGAGCGGTTACACAGCTCAGGTGAACAGCATAGCATATTTGGCAATGGCTATTCTGATATAAGCTATTCTTCAGTTTGGCGTGATTCTTCGGTAAATAATGCCGACTCACCGACTTTTGCTGTAGACCCCACTAAAATATAATGACCTAGAATTGTAACCTCTATAACTCTATCAAATCTCCATCGATTTTCTTCGGAATTAGGTTATTTTAAAGCTCTTGCCTTGAATATTCGAACCTGAGCCTGCGAGCTGTCTAATGTTATAGCTCTGAACCTGCTAGCTTAGAAAGTATCGAATATCGACTGAATATTGTCCTATGGAGTTAATATTAACCTACGAGCTCTTACTAGAGAGTTTAGAACGATATATAAGACGATATATAAGCGGAAACAGACTCTGGATCGTTAGATATCACCTTCGGAACGTTGTCGCCGTGGCCCTCCACCTGTTATTACTAACGATATAGGCGAATATATTAAGGCGTTACTTAAGAGGGAGCTAGATTTATATTAGGACGAAATCGCAGCGTATCTATAGAAGGCCTACGAAGTTAACGTGTTAGTTAATTAGGTCTCTAAGGCTCTCTAAAGGCTTAATTATACTAAGAAAGTACTTAAGGTCTCTGCGAGTTAAAGGAACGATGAATTAATCGCGGCTTAGAGGCGAAAGATAGTGTTTTAGGAGGCCCGGGACTTATACTTTATCGACGAATTAGCTTGTAATAAGCGTACAACAGATAGGCGTAGAGGATAGGCTCCTAGGGGAGCTTCTGTAGAGGTTCAGAGAGTACTTAAATAGTCGATAAGGTAGTCGATTCTCCTTGTGTACTTACTTTATAGTTATTATTAGCTATTAATATACTAAGGCTCGATTATAGCTGAAATCTTCACTAAATAGCTGGAAAAGAGTATCTTACCTGAATACGTAGAGCTTAGAATTAAGGTGATAATAATAGATAACGCGTTAATTTATAGTAACCCTTAAGTATTAGCTCTTTATATAGCTTTCGGTCTTTAACTCGAATATCTCCCTTTATATTACCCCTTTTTCAACCCTATTAAAGAGAGCTTCGCAGACCTAAAATCGTGGATTAGGAGATACTAGCGCTAGAGTAAGTATACCTAGGAGGAATTTAAAGGCTTTTTAATAATAGCTGTAAGGTTAGTTAGAGTAGGAGCTAACGCTAAACGTAGAGCTAGAGGCTACTTTCGCTATTTAGGCTATTAAGGCGTACTGATTAAAGAAAGTGACGAAGTTGATATAGAATAAGGGTTAATTAAACAGAAACTACGTAGAAACTATAGCTATAAATACTACTGAAACTTACTCCTCGTATTCTCTATTATTACTCTTATCTTCGCCTTCGTCGAGTTCGTTATTTTCCTAAATAAGAGCCTATTAATTATACCACTTCTTAAATAGCTTCAATTGCTTCTGAATCGTCTTTAAAACACTACCTTTTATTCTAAGCTCTATTACCTCCGAAATTGATATATCTTTAACTATATTAATATCGTATTCTTATTCCACGAAGGTTCTAATAGTAAAATCGAAGTAAGAGGCTACTAAAGTTATAATTAGAGGTATAACTTAACGAAGGAACGATTTTAAAGTAAATAACACCTCCTCTACCTCTGAACTACTATTACAGAATAGACTCGACTCCTGTAGATCTACTATTGATATAAAGTCATTTTTAACTTGTTTCTACGGTTGAATACGTAGTAATTAAGGCTTTAGAGCTGTATATTCGTATGCCGGAGGAGCTATATTCAGCTGAGGGTGAGGGGCTAGCGAATAGCCACTTAGAGGGTTACTAGCGTGTAGAGACTATATCAGAGGGGGCGGTATTAGCGGATATTAATATAAGAAGGCATTTAGAGGCTAATATAGTATCTGCGAGGGGTGTTAAGCTAATTAATATTGTTCCGGAGATAATGATTTGTTATAGTACGTCTTCCGGTGCTTTTTTTTCCCTCGCGCCTTTAACGACTAAGGCTCTGAACGAGCTATAAGCTCTTTTGAAAAGTTAACTCGATAGAGAATAAAAGGTTCGTCGATTATAGTTAATTTGTCTTTAATATCACGTCTCTAACGCCTTAAATCGTCTAAGGAAAGGTAGTAGTGTTTACTATTGTTAATAAAGTAAAACTTCGTGGTATAACGATAAGAACTGACTTTATAAGCCTATCGTACCTGAATAGCGGTTATAATCTCGTGTATAGTTCCCTTTTTAGCCTCCTGATATTATGAACCCCTTAGCGCTACGGTTCAGTTAGCACCTATATGCTAATAGTACTATTAGTAGTACTATAGGGGTATTAGTACTAACGAAGGAGCGGTACTATTAATAGGGTAGTACTAACCAGGGAATAATACAGGATAGCGAGTAGTACTACTATACACTTACACTTAGTAGTAATAGTTACCTAGATTATAGTAGATAATAGGTTATATAATAGATCCCTAGATCCCTGGATCCTTTTATAAGGGAATAGATCTAAGGATCTAAGGATCTAGTATCTCAAGGGATCTAAGAAGAACGAAAGTTCTATATAAGACTAGTATATCTACTATTAGATAAGAGCTTTGTACTTAACTTTAAATAGTATTCTAATACTTAGTAACTATCTTCTATTTACGTGATATACTTACCTCTCGATCGTTAGAGATTAACTATAGCTTTCTGTATTTATAGTAAGTAAATACCGGACTATTACACTTTAAGTACTTTCTCGTTAGAAGTACTAACTTATAAAGATAATATATCCTCTATTAAAGGATCGTTAAATAACTACTCGGCTCCCGCTAAAGTCTTTAACCTAAAGAATATACCTAAGATCACTATCCCGGATCTCTACTATAGAGACTGATCTAAGCTTAGAGTATACTTTACTTAGGTTAAGCTTTATACGAGCTTTAATAGTTACTAGTTCGCCACGAAGACTAATAAAGTCCTTTAAGTTTCGTTCTTTCTTTAGGGATCTACCTTTAACTAGATTAAGACCTTCCTCTTAGACTATATTTAGAACTGGACTAAGGATAAGAGAGTCTCTATAGTAATAACTAAGGAATCCTAGAAGATCTTTATAACTTTCAAGGGTTTTAAGTATAGGATTAACTATATCTTTAGCGATATTAATTAGAACTATACTACTAAATAGAATATCTAGAATCTAAAGTAAGTTAAGTTAGTAACTATATATACTACTACCTTCTAGTAATTCGCGAATCAGACTAGCTGAAATAATAACACCCTTCGGGTATAGTACTATAAAAAGTTAAAAGACAAAGTAAAAGATAAGATAGTAAGATTAGACGCGCTTACTAACTTATAAGAACTTATCGAAATAGCTATTAAGATTAATAACTAAAACTATAAGAGGGCACTTAAGAAGAAAAGCTAATACCGCTCCGGAATATATATATATTAAGGAAGAGGGAGTAATAATAAGAAACTATTCTACCCTCGGGAAATAGAACTTAATATAACGTTCTGGAAGCTAAGTTATTAAAGAAAGCTACATAGCGGTAAGCTATCTAAGAAAGTTATAAGTAAGTGATAAGAGAAGAAGCTATACTTCGAGTATAGCTTTCTTAGTT